TTTTTCCTTTTCGTCCCGAAGACTGCTCCTCTTTCATATTGGCGATATCAATTTGACACTCCCTTGCTTTTTTGCCACGCTTTGAAACTATGCGGCACAATAGCTAACTAAACACTGTCCAGCGGCATTGTCCCGGCTATCATCCCATCCTGCCCGATTGGATCTTTTGCACCAGCTCCCCAAAAGGCCTAGCCAAAGCGAAAGGTACGTAAAATTCGTTTCTCTGGCTCCCTTTGCGACACACCCATTTTACGCGCTGGCGTTCTGGCATGTGGCATGCCGCTGTCTCGAGTGTTTGCTCTTCTTCGAACCGCTGCATCTGCTCTTGTTAGTTGGCGCCTAGTGGGTGCCTTTCACAGGCTGCTTCCAGAAAGTCTGGCCCAACTTGCCGGATCCATATGCGCCTTCCTGTCCTCACACACGACGTCAATCCCTCCTTTGTCCGAGTTCCCCCCTTGTATCCTAGTTGGGATATCCCACGGGGCCTCGGTCCTTCGAACGAAGCCGCGAACCAAAAGGGCAAACGGTCGAGAGCGGGGAACATGGAAGAAAATTTACATGGAACCCGCGCCTTGGCCTTTAGCCTCGAGAGTGGCAATACTGCTTCCTCTTTTGGTCGCCTTTTTTTTCCCTTTTTTTTTTTGGCCTTGTCAATCGTCGCATCTGCACTTCGGCTAGGACTTGACATGTTTATTTTCCATCATGAAACTTGTTGCCTGGCTTCCTTCACGCTTTGCGATTCGCCACGCCCTCGGGTGGACTCCCTCTGTGGTGCATGGGAGGAAATGTCAGGGAGGGATAAGCGCCTGGCTCCAACCGCTCTGCAAGGCGGAGCCAAGTCCCAATTGCCTCGTCGCAGTGTAACATTTTACATTTCGTTCCCCCTCCTCAGTGGCTGCACTTCGAGGCCGGGTAAGCAAGTAGCGCCGCTGAGAGCCAAGTGTGGGCCAGATGCATGCATGGCAGGGCCCTGCCAACACATCACAGACTGCGGCCCAAGGCACGCACAATTTACCTTGCACCCCCCTTCTGCCCCCTTCCAAGTATCCCATGTCTCCATGTCTTCTGACAAAGCGTGGCTCATCCCTCTTCCCGTCACCTCGCCCCATACCACCATTACCGCATGTCACTCGCGCCGCGACCTTCTGTCGAAGCTATTACCTCCCCGTCTATATGTTTCATATACGAGTAAATGCGTGCTAACAAACACGGCCGAATAGATCTTCAGGGACGGCAAGGGTGATATATCCATTTCTCCCTGTAATCATTTTTTCTCCAAGCCTCGATTAAGGGCAAGAAATTGCTCGGGATTCGCTTTAGTTTCGTTTCAACGAAATCGAACCCGTGCTTGTTTTCCTGGCCCGACCGTTGAAGATCCGAGATCCTGTTTCGTCATCGCCAGGCTCCTCATCGTCTCCCCACCTGTCATTTTCAGTGCAGTACTTCGCGACAGGCTCCTCTGCATACTTGGATCGCCTGTCCAATACTCAAGGTAAGGCAAAGCCACTTATACGTCCCGCCCCGCAACCTCGCAACCCCCCCGTCCTGCATATGCCGTGGACGACTATTTGGGCAGCCCACTTACCACATTCGCCTCTTGCCAGCTCATCCACGCATATCCAATAGATTGTTGGACCCATCCACTCACAACCCCCAACATCAACTCCCAAGGGACCACCGACAACGAGGTACCCAAGTGTCGGCAACGCGTGCCCAACTAATACCCAAATTCCTGGGCCATTTTAAACCTCTACCCTCTGAGTAGGCGTTTGAAAGCGTCAATACCTATTCGCCATTCTTATTTTCCCACTATCCTCGAATCGATACCCACAAAGACGACCGACCCCCTTCCCCGCCCAAGACGACCCCAGACGCCGAAGGTCATTGATCCCCTAAAGACACCAACGCCAAAAACCCGCGCGGCACCTTCGAAATCCAATTGGCGCTCACATACTCGTGGCGAAGACCTTTGGATTTCATCGCAATCGGTGCTCTCGGCTGGTTGAGCTCGACTCAGTCCAGCGGAGCATGGAGTACGGGCAATACGCTCAACAACAGCAACAGAACGCTCACCCATATACCAACTCTGGCTCAGCGAACCCTATAACCTCGCCGACAAGCCACGGTCTTCCTTCGCACACCACGCAAGCGTCTCCAATCCTCTCCCAACAACACACTACCCAGAACCAACACCACAACATGTATCAACCACAGTACGGGGTGCAGCAGCCGATGCACTATGGCATGCCACAAATTCAGGCAGCGGCGATGGCTGCGACAGCAGCAGCATCTGGATCGACTTACCCTTACATGTCGTCCGACCCCGGTCTGCCGCAGCGCTCACCTACGATGGGCGCGAACCCGAAGAATGAGAAGAGAGGACCTCGGTCGCCGGCGCAATTAAATAATGTCTCGCAGATGGCCGGCCAACGCCAAATAGGTCAAGTCGCCAGCCCCGGTGTCCCCGGCCCCCAGGCGATGATGGGTCACGTTGGACGCCCGGGTGTAGGGCCGGGAGCTATGGGGCATCCTCAGTCGATGCAACACCCGCAAACCCCCGAAATCGCGACGGGACCGGTAGAAGAGTCTCCTTTATATGTGAATGCGAAGCAATTTCACAGGATTCTTAAGAGACGTGTGGCGCGACAGAAACTCGAGGAGCAACTCCGGTTGACATCCAAGGGACGGAAGCCTTACCTCCACGAGTCTCGACACAATCACGCAATGCGACGACCTCGCGGACCGGGTGGCCGTTTCCTCACAGCTGAGGAGGTAGCGGCTATGGAAAGGGAAAAGAAAGCGCAGCAGGATCCACAAGGAGGTGACTTGAAGGAAGGAGATGCGGGCTCTAACCAGGCAGAAGTGACGACGACATCGACTGGTGGCACGAAGCGGAAGTCCGACGTAAATTCGAACTCGCCGAACAAAAAGTTGAAGTCGGAGGCGAATAAAGCCCAACAAGGCGGTGGCGGACAGGCGGCGTAATTTGTGTGGCAGGGATGGGGGCTCTCACATATCCGCTTGCCCCAGCTCCGACGCCTAGCGACTAGCGACTAGCGACTAAGCGTGCACACGCATTTGTTCCGACGCCTTGTCACTACTGCTATTACTTTCACCAAGCCTCGTTCTTTTTTTAATTCCTGGACAAGCGGCATTCTTCCCCCCATGTTGCTCTTAACAAATCAAGGGCCCTGAGGAGGTTGATGTTGGACACTCAACTCGTACACTTGACTGGAGAAACCCATGTCATAGTCTATCGAGAATCCACCGCGCATTTCTGGGATTCTCTAATCAGCAGAGATACTCCACAGCCTCAGCCTTTTGGCTTAGGATGCGGGTAACTCCCAATTTTCGCTCCCAACCTCTCGGAGCATACTCTAGTTATTTCTTCTACCTCTGATGACAGCCTCTTGACTGGCAACAGCATAGGGCGTATCTACGGACCGGGGAGAGGGATGCATAACAACTTGGGAAACGGGCAGGAAAGAATGTATGGACGATTCGACGAAGGATACCCCCTTGGTTTTTTTCCTTAATTTTTTTTTCTGTTTGTATTTTCTCTCTCTAAAACTCTATCCCCTCAAATCACCGATTTCTTTTGACTCGTATTTATTTTCCCTCCTCTTTCATAGCCTCGTCTTTTCCTTTGTCATAACTCTCTCTCCTCTCACGTACGTACGCACATATACACATTTTCCCTGTTTTATGATGGGAAGTGGTTCTGTCCCCCGTCTATCGAGAGCGTCTTTTTATTTCATTTGATGCAATCATTGCCTTGTTTTCTTCTGTTTCTACCCTTGATTATACTGCTATGAAATTCCGGCAGGGGCGCCGGGAGAAACTGGTCTGGTTACCATGGGAGGTAGTTTTGAGTTGCAAGGAATACATGGGATGGGGAACAAAGGCATTTGTGAATTTGGACTGGTATACAGGATAAGATGGGGGGAGGGAAGAAAAAAGAAAAAGAAGAAAAAAAAAAAAAGGAAAACGTCTAATCAATACGATTAAAATTAAGAGAGAAGCGCAACAAGGTATTTGCGGCGGTGGTGATGACTGTGATGCGAAGAGAGTTGTCTTATTCTTTTCTTTTGTCTTTTTTTACATTGACGGCGAAGAGGAAAGAGACTGCCTTTTGATTCCCCCCCATCGACCTTGTTTTTCTTCTCGAAAAAAGGCGATGCTGTCCTGGAGGAAGCGAAACTGATATAGAACTTTTTTGATGAGGGCCCATCTGTCGCCGGACATGGTCTGCCATGAATACAATCATAGTACTAGTCGAGAGTTAAGAAGTGCTTCGTCCATTGTCGTATGCATTGTCATATGCAAGTAGAGCCGAGCCGATCGTTGGCTGCTAGATGGGTACTCGGGGCACTGAGATCGATTTGATGCGTTCGACGGCGCATCCTCGACCACGTCAATTGGAATCAAATGAGAGGGCAGTTCGAGATGACGGCGCCTTATACGAAGTAGAGAGGGAGTAGTTTACTTCATAGGGGTGAGAGAGCGTATCTGGCCTGGCCGATTGTTTCGGTTAGTGTCTCGTGCCCCGATGCCTCGTGTCTCGCGTCTCGGCACCGAACAATTGCGAAGCCAGGCCAGACCAGGTTTCTCCAATGAATGTCGCCGTTGAGCCTCGGCATGTTGCAGCTCGCCAGCTTAGCTCCCACCATGCTCGACCCTCCCCGCATGCCCCGACGCCGTGCAAATCTACCAAATCTAGCAAAGCAACCTCCCATGTAGGAAGCTGACCTCGGAATAATCGCCCGGGGTTTGGAAAGCTAAAAAAGTACAATTCCGGGAAACGTGCAAAGTATATAATTTGGTCCCCAAGTGCGAAATATTCCCTCCCGTCCTGTAACACTAGTGGCTTCAATTTCACCTCCAAAGACAACGTTGAAAGTCGTTGCAGGAAGTAATACGGGGTATATTTTTTGGGGGGGATTTAAGCATTTCGTCATCCTGTCTGGAAAAGGTAGCCTCCTCACGCGCTCCCTCACACCATGGCTGGTCCGATCCGGCACCCAATCAACCAGGCGAACCTGGAGCGATATCTCCAGGAACACGTCCCGGAGATTAAGACGCCCCTCGACATTAAGCAGGTAATTACCCACTTGCCTTTCCCACCTCCCTTCTCCAAATTATCAATCCTCCATCCCATCGCAAATCGCTGACCATCGAAACCCCCCCAAACCTTCGCAGTTCGGCTTCGGTCAATCCAATCCCACCTACCAACTCACCTCCGCCACCGGCATCCGCTATGTCCTCCGCAAGAAGCCCCCGGGCAAGCTCCTCTCCAAGACGGCGCACAAGGTCGAGCGCGAGTACCGCATCATGCGCGCCATCGGCGAGGCCAACGCCCAGGGGTCCGCGAGCGTGCGGGTTCCCGTGCCGAAGACGTATTGCCTGTGCGAGGACGACTCCGTTGTCGGCACGCCGTTTTACGTGATGGAGTTTTTGGACGGGAGGATCTTTGAGGATTTTAGTATACCGGGCGTGGATCCCGAGACGAGGACGGCGATGTATGTGCTCCCCCCCTTCCTCTTGTTTTGCGCGAATCTTAGAGAAAATACGAAAAAGAAGCAGAACAACTAATAGAGATGGCAAACATAACAGGTGGGCAGACGCAATCCGCACCCTCGCAAACCTCCACTCCATCAACCCCGCATCCATCGGCCTCGCCTCCTTCGGCAGAGACAAGGACTTTTACTCGCGCCAGATCAAGACGTGGTCGACCATCTGCAAGGCGCAAGAGGCCGTGAGCGATGTCGAGTCGGGAGTGAAAGTCGGACCCTTGCCGCACATGGAGGATCTCGTGTCATATTTCGCCGATCTTAAGAAGCAGCCTGTTGACAGGGCCGTGATTGTCCATGGAGATTTCAAGATTGATAACTTGGTCTATCATAAGACGGAGCCGAGGGTTATTGGTATATTAGAGTAAGTTTTTATCCCCCTCACCCTCTTCCCCCCTAGTACATGCTGCGCTGGCAATGAGATGGGCAGACTGCTAACATGCTCTTTGTTTTCACCAGCTGGGAAATGTCCACAATAGGTCACCCCCTTTCCGACCTCTCCAACCTCCTAACAGCATTCACAACCGCCCCAGCCCCCTCCTCCCCCTTCACAGCCTCCCACTCCTTCGTCTCGAACCCGGCCTTCATCCCCGGCAACACCCCGGGCCTGCCCACCCGCGAAGACCTCATCGCTATGTACGCCTCCGCCACAGCCTCCGCCTCGGCGGCCAAGGGCAAGGGATCTGCGGGAGGCTACGACCCCCGGCCCGGCGGCGAGGTCTCCTGGGGCGCCGCGTTCAACCTCTTCAGGCTGGCCGCTGTCTTGCAGGGCATCGCGGCGAGGCAGGCCGTGAGGCAGGCGAGCTCGGCGCAGGCCGCTGTGCATGCGGCGGCGAGGGGGCCGTTGGCTGAGCTTGCTTGGCGGATGATTGAGGATAGGGAGAAGGAGGGTAGGGGGAACAAGGCCCGCTTGTAAACCTTTTTCTTCTTCTTTACTTATTGCAGATGTTCGTGTTTTCGTGTTGGTTAAATAGCATCAACATGGTGATAGAGGGAGGAAGCATTAGGACTATATAGACGTATACAGCCCGAAACGCATGTGTATGGAGGAGTAGTAGAATAAAGGGCTTGGTTCAGCCGCGTTACAGCATTAAATATGTCAATTCAACCATTGCCTTTATAATAATAACTTAGTACGCCTTGCCCGCCTTGCCCTTGTGTTTCCGTCTTCGCCGTTTACCACTGGAATGAAATGAAACCATTGTCTTTTTGCCTTTTAACAAAACCGCCCTTCGCCAATTTCCTCCTTACCAACACCGTGTTTGAAAGATGAACCAGACCTTGCATCAACAATTCAACATGAGAGAAGAAAGAGAAAAAGAAGAAAGGGTGAAAATAGGAAAAAGAAAAAAAAAAAAAAAAAAAAGGAAGCAAAAAAGGGGGAAGAAGAAAAAGAGTGTGGAAGTAACATGATCCGAGGGTTGAGAAAAGCAAGGAAGAGGAGCACGAGAAAGTGTTTAAGAAAAGAAAAGAAAAGAAAAGTAATACATGGGTAAAGTACTTCGTACATTCATGCTCATTGTCAAAGAGCTCCCTGGAGAATACAGACATGGCGTCATTTCCCGAATTTCGCGCTTGATAATCAGCGGCCGAAGACTGTCCAGAGCCCTCATCTGAGAAAAATGGGCGTTGTTTCGACTGTTAGAGTGGGGCCGACATTCAAACCATGTCGAGAATGGCTTCGTCCCATCCGGCGAAGTCGATATCGAACCAGTCCTCAAGGTCTCCAAGGTCGCCACCAAAGGGTCCATCAGGTCCGTCGTCTAAAAATGGGTCAAAGCCGTCGACATCATCGTCTTCTCCCGGGCCATCGCCAATCAAACTGTGGCCAAGTAAGTCGTGCCAGTGAAGAAGGAGCGCTTCGCCGTCGATGCGGTCCGCTACCCACTTCTTCTTCAACCAACTAGGACCGGTGATAACATGGACTCCCTTCTTGTGAAGATGGTGCGGATCGCCAACAGCTTCTAGGCTGCGGAAATGGCGTCCGAATGAATCGGTGAGATGAGGGGCAGCCAGACACATAAAGCTCAACGGTCGTTCGGCAGCCGTGATTTGCACAACGATAGTGTCCGACTTGGACTTGCCCTTTCCGACGAGCTTCTTCATCTGCTTGCGCAGAAGATTGTCTGGGCATTGGTTTGTGCTGGGAGCGCCATCCCAGTAAACGTGGAAGGTGGAGTCAAGGAAGGTGTCCTCGTCGTCGTCATTGGGATCCTGTATGCTTGTCCTGGATAGGTTGAGCTGGATAACATCGTAGAGCGCATCCATGCGCACTCCACCAGTCGCGGTGATCGGGAGAGTAGTGATCGACATGGGTCCAGCGGTAGATTTTTCGGCAGGCTTGCTGACGACGGGATAATCGACTGTAGCCTTGTAATAGTCGTAATACGGGTGAGCCAGATAGTTCACATTGACATGGGTTCGTTCGCAGTATGCAAGTCGCTGCATCGGTGGCTGCCTGACCAACATGCGCCGCCAGCTAGCACCTTTCCGAAGGTATTTCTCCATCTTGAGGTTGTCAGCATCAGGCCACTCTATCGCCATCTTCCATTTCGGCGGGCATCCAGGTCTGGAGACGCCGGCTCCAGCACTTTGTAAATTAGTAATGAGGTCGATATTAGGGTCGGCGTGCCCAGTAGGCACAGCCGCTCCGTTCGCTCCAAGCACCTCGTTAAGCGCCGCCATGGCGCCAATGTCCTCCAGGGCACCATCTTCATCATTATACAGCAGGTCGACATCAATTGGGTTCACAGATGTGCCGGTCATATTCTCGGCGTTCGGATCAGCGTTGACGACCTTGACGTGGGGGTATCGAACGTCGAACATGGGATAAAAGTCCAAATCTTGGAAGCCGTGCATGTGATGGCATGGTGGAGTCTTTCGAAGAGAAAAAAGGTGGGCAAAATGCTTCTCCAATATGGGGTTCTTGACGGGCTTGGGCGTGGGTTTGCCAGGGCTCGCGCGGATGGGTAAGAAGAAGAGGGCCTGCTGGATAGAAACGGAGGTCTGGATCACGCTGTGCCAGTGTTTGGAGACGCGACAGGCAGTGGTGAGAAGAGTCTCTTGGTCGCACGCAAGTAAGATCTTCTCAAGGAGTTCAGTAATGGCTAAAACACGCCGGACGGTTGAGTTCGTGGAAGGCAGAGCCTGTGTGGAGGGGTGGTGGTCTTCCTCTCCCTCCCCCTCTCCATTGCCCTCTCCCTTTCGGTTAGGAGGCGACGTAGGAGTATATTGTGACGTTCGTGCCCTCTTGCAGGGCTCATTTGACTCGCAAACGGCAGATAGTAGGCCTTGTCGTTTGCGGGCTGTCTTGGAAGCCATGACGACCTGTGTGTTCCGCCGGCGGGCCGACAGCAACACCGGACTATAGACAGGATTCCTCCCAACACTGCCCCCTATTGTTGGCTATGTCAAATATCGGACGTCGGTTCGCCAGCTAGGGAGAGTTGAATGAATGGGTCAGAGAGGAAAGGCTGAGAAGAGAGAAAACGGCGAGAGAGGGGAAATATTAGTATCCTGCCATGCAAAGCACACTGCTGAGTACTACCTGGTCGTTAGTCTACGGTTGGCCAGTGCAGAGTTACGGGAGTTTTGAGGGGGTTCGCGAACTCACGAAGGACGAGGAATTGCTGCCCGGAGCATTCAGAGCCTGCATGAAGTGTATGCAAGTGAAGGGAGGGAGGGGATCAGCGTCACGGCTGCGTTTACATTTGGGATAAAGTGAGATCAGAGGAACAAAACTAACGAACAAGATACGTCAAGACATGTGAGAGCAAAGTATTACGTGAGTACAGCATGGCCGTTACTGCCTACTAGGGGTACCTAGGGAACACTGGCCCAAGGATGGCTCGAGCGTACCATGGACGCCGCGTGTGTCAAGCTCCAATTGTCTCGACCTCGTTTGTTGGAGAATGGAGACGAAGATGGAGACGAAGAAACTAGCTCATCAAACATTAAAACATTAAAATGATTTATCCAGTACGAAGTCAGAAATCCTAGATTTAGAAAGATCGTGATGCGTCGAGTCTATGGAGTATTTCACGGAGTCAAAGCAAGTTTTGAGAGGGAGCACTTTTACTCGGTAGGTTCCTGGCGGAATACGCAGTACAAGTCCTACAACTAGATCGCCGATCGTTCTGCTAGGTTGTCCCTTCCACATTGCAGCCGCCTCCACGCACTTCCTTCATCAACTTTCAGCTCCAGTCGAGGTCCAGAACTTCCAAGACCAAACAATTTGAATGCTCTTTCCTTCAACTGTTCGTACATCCAAAGGTACATCGATGTAATTACCAATACTCCATTGATACTGAGGTACAATTAATTAGATTGGGCGAATCACGGGAATTTTGAGCGGGTTGATCTTGTCTGTCACAAGTCCTCCCTCTCCCTGTCCCGGGAGATAAAGATCAATTGATCCAGACGACACTAGACCGAAACACGGAGACCGGTGTGCTTTGGCTTTTCGTTATTGCATTAGGAAGGCTCCTTCGTCGTACTACACCTTAGTAAAGTGACACCCTGATCTTCAGCCCAACTTCACTAGTTGTGTTGCTCCATGTTATATTCACTTGAATGCCACATCTGGTATTAGACTTGAAGTGAGTCGAGGATCGGTTGGCCTACGAAGTAAGATGAAATCACACCCACAAATTCTCAAGTTCTCGTTACCTTCGCATCTACCTACCATGGTATGGCAGGTTGGCGACGTACTATCGAGGACTTGCTCCGTAGCTTCGCTGACGCGACTGACAGAGAACGAATCTCGTGTTCCTCCTCTCTCCATCGATGCCCGGTAAAAAGCAACATTGTGAGAGCCAAGGTCTGCTGCCTCGCAATTCAGCTGGTTGAGGCTCATATTTGCTTCACATTATATTTTACTATTATTATTAGTAGTAGTAATAGTAGTAGCCTTTTAATTTGCTCCCTCTCTCCCCTAATTTTTCTCCGGTCTAGCAATTCGAATGTCGCGCTCAGAGTGCCGTCGTGGTGTACGATGTTGGGATGAAGCGGACCCCTCAACATTATCGCAGGCACTGGAGAGCTTCTCCCAGTGAGTCAGTAGAAAGTCGTGCCTTGAATCTCACCGACTCGTACTTCAGTCCAAACGGGCTAAAAAAAGAATAAAAAAAATCAACGAGACGTTCGATCAAGGACACGTTGATTAACCTCACTACGTTCACCGACCAGCTGGCGCTCTCTCCCCCGGTCTCTTCCTGCCAGAGTTTTCGTGCCCAACTGACAAATCCCGAAACTCATCAGGCCCGCCCCGGCACACCGGTACGGAGCATCTCGAAATTACCTTGAAAAGAAGTGCTGCTTTTTTTTTCCTAAGTCGTTACCTTCAAAAAAAGAACACTGCGGCCGGCGATTTCCGTCGCAAGTCAGTGCAACTCTGGGAGACGAGTAATAGCAACTGCGGGCTAATTACATAAGATTCCTGGAAGCGGAACTGCCAGATAATGTTATAGGACAAAAATGCTGTGAAGTGGCATCAACCAATATTACTTGACCTGAGCACCGAGGTATAGAAAGCGGAATTTTTGCGTTGATCGATAATACCTGTACAAATCGAATCGATCGTTTTCAAGTGTTATGTTGGTCCTGGGTGATGGGATCGAAGCTGGAGATCGACTTTCTTAGGTTCTTTCTACAAGTTTCAAAACATGCAGTGGCCTAGCAGTGGCTCCTGGTGGCTCCTTGAATCTATGAGTCTACAGTATGATTCTCCCAGATCGCTAGATCCAGCATTAGCGCACCTCTTCCCCAACCCGACAACGTCGTAATTAGTTCTTATTCGAAGTTTGGACGCACCTGGAAATGAAGCCACTCCCTGAGCTATGCCATATCACCAGGCGGGGGTCTGCTACATCGCTAGTTGAGCAAACCCCATGTTTTTCTTCTTTCCCCCATTGATCCTAAAGCTTGGCATTTCTTGGCTTTGGCACCTTCCTCCCACGTCGTTTTCCGCTGCCCCGTTCTCTCCCCATTCTCCCCTCAAGTTCTGAACAGGCATTCTCCAACTTTTGGAGCAAACACTTCTACCCACCAGGTCATGTGTCCATCCAATGGGACCAGACTCGCCAGGCCGCCCGCAGGGATAGCGACCTGCAGCTCAAGAGTCCACAAGTTGATTGGATGCCCGAGCCGAACATGTCCAATAGACCACGAAGATAATACGGGGAATGGGTGAACAAAACTAAGCTCTTTAGGAAGTAGACTTGTATGCATTTTTTAGCGCAAAATAGCCATGACCCCGTCAAAGGGTAAGGGGCATGGGGCAGCTCTCTTGAGGGGCAGTTTTATGTTAGTTTTCGGATGTGTTTTGGCCCCAGGTACGGAGGGTTTGGCACTTTGTCGTTGTTTCTCGGTGCGAGTCGGTACATATGTCGGGTCTGGTGTAAGTCAGATTAACCCAGTCAGTTCTCTACTACTTTCCGAGGCATGGAAATATTAACTGTGTATGTGGCGGTTTTGGGTATCGTATCCACAAGGAACGTGAATTTTAAAAGAAAAAATTATAATCAATATAAATCCACAGAATTCAAAATCATAATCATGAGCTTCATCAATAAATCCAGGTGTAGCCGACTTTCCATGCCCCACCCGGGGGATCTACCAGCAAGATCCATCATGAGCATCCGACACCGACCTTTACCGATCGGACCGAAACTGTGGGGACAAGCAAGTATAGGGGACCGATAAAGGTTGGAAAAAGAAGAGTGCCGAGTGTCTGGTCTATTATATTGGGGGGAGGTTTTTCAGTCGTTCTGGAGAATGTAGCCATCGGAAGAATATTCCGGTGGAAGATCCGATCGGCACCAGATGTTGACAGGCGAGGTCATGGCAACACACTAGAACTCGGCATTAGAACAAAGCACTTTCAGGGGAGAAGTTTGTGGGCGAACGAGTAAAGGAAACATGAAAAAAAAAAAACGGAAAGACGCATACCTCGATGTTGTCTCGCTTTCCGCTCGAGAACCCGACGACCACATTCATGGTATAACTCCGGGCCACGTTGGAGGACGAAAATGAAATGGGCACTTCGGGAACACCCCGGTCTCGCCAGAGATTGCTATCAATCCTGCAAGTGCCCCTCTTCCCTCCCGAAATGAGAGAGAAATCTCCGTTTATGGAGCAAATGGTCGTAGTTGACTCCGTCGCTCTGCTAGCAGGACCGCTCTGCACCGATGTAGCCGCCGTCAAGGAAATATGTAGTCGTCGTAGCCGGATGCAGCCGAGGCACGACATCAAGTCTTCCGTTACCGTGATATCCAGCTCCATCGGTACGGGCTGGCCGAGTTGTAAAACGGTAGGCGATGGTAGTGTAAGATCCACTTGCAATGCGGGACAATACTGGGGAAGATATGGTGCCTCGTACGGCGGGGTGACGCCCGGATTCAAACTGTCCGCCGCGAGCATCGCGCAAATGCTCGTTGTGGGAATCGATAGGGGGCGATGAAGCACGACGTGGTTCGGTGGCCGGAATAGAATCGCGTGCTTCTCTACTAGCTTCGAGCGCACTTTGGACGCTGTGCTGACCTCGACCCGAACAGAGTAGGTGACGGTGGCCCTGAGGTCATCTTCGCGCATGTCAAGGCTTGGGGGTGCGTAAAACTGCGAGCATGGGGGGATGGGGAATTGAAGGCGAAATGGAATCCGAAGATGACCTTTCTCTAATCCTCGGTGGTCCTTCTCATATGTACTGGGGTTCAAAGTGTGATGGCAATCTAGGATCTGGAAGAACCGCGTTAGTAGAACTGTGACACCCATTTGGGCTTGAGAAACATCGATAACCTTACCTTCTTGGTGATTTTGATACCTCTAGAATCCGGAAATCCGTCTATCCAAAACTCCTCTTCAACAGGTACGAACGACAAAGTCAGCTTCCCTAAACTCACGATATTCGTCAGTTATCATGACCTTCACGACGAGGTCTTCCGCAGAGGGAAAAAATGCGGGTTAGTATCGGAGCCGCATCGGGTCCGCCTTGGGGGGGTCAGGGCAACGGGAGATTTACCAGTCAACGACACCACCACGCTTGTGATAGAAACATCTTTCTTTAACTCTAGTTTTATGGCGCCTCCCACGACATCGCCGACCGTAAACCATGGTCTGCCATATGGATGTTTGATGGCGATGTCGCACTTCATGGGCTGCGCCAGTCCGCGGAGATGCGAGATGCGCATGAGTCCAGGGGAAAGTTCATAGAACCGTAGAATATTTGAGGTCGTCCATCTTTAGATTTTACCACGAGCCTCCTACGTCAGCCGCCTGTAGGTGAAGATATTTTTGAAATAAAAAGAAAAAAAAAAAGGTCGGCCCAGCAGGGACGAGTCAACCCGGCTGCCCTGAACCATTTATACACCATATTGTACCCATGTAAGTGCAGTAAGTGCAGTAAGTGCAGAGGGGCAAAGCCTTGGCAACATTGGCAACAATTGAATGGGGTTTATGGGGTCTTCCCCAGACTCCATCGGACGACAAACTAGACTAAATCAGGTATCAATGGGTCTAGGGCCGTAGCTTAGGTTGGGGTAAAAGTTGGAGGATTCCACGACTCCACTCCTCGTACATGGCGGGCTAGAGGGTGCGACATATCGTCGAGGGCATCAATGATCAGTGCTCGCTCCCCTGTTTTTTCCTTTAGGCCGAATCTGGCAATCTTAATGGGACGGTGCTTGGCCTGATTGTCTCGTCTTTTGGGGTCACGCATAAGATTTGATCCTTCCTGCAGGCATCTTCAGAGTTCCATGTCAACCTGGCCTCAGCCAAGCCTCGACTTTCTTAAAAAGGCCAGTCGACCACGTCAAACCCATTCCATACTTCGTAATACTCCGAAATAACGCGGCCCCCCTAAACGAGCAATGGCCCTTTATTCCCGCATCGAATCTAAAATTTCGTGTTCCGAGTTGTTCATGATGAGATCGCTAAGGTGTCTGGCCGTCGGGGGCTTGCTCTCTCGGGCATTTGGCTTCTTTTGAATTAACGCCCGCTTTCCCCAAGCGTTCCATCAATCTTCTTGGCTTTGCTGTATCTACTCGGTACGCCTGCCCGTTACATCTACAACGCAACCAGCCTCGATGTTTTCTCAGAGGCGCACTACTGACTAGAACAAATTCTCCGTGTGCCGAGCCATGTGCACGGCAGGGATTGCAAGCTCACCTTGCAGCGATGTTGTGATTTGAAGAATTGGATGAAGCTTCCTAGACAGCCTTGCCCGATCTGGTCTCCTGGTCTCCGGCCGAACAGACCATCACGTCGGAACCCCCGATGCCATGTGAAATGAGACGCCCGTTTCTGCGGCCCGGGGAAACGGGAGCAAGGGGTCTGGACATCATTCCGCCTGTTATTGGCGAGATCGAAAGCACGTCTCGCCAAGGCTCCTAACCGGCTCGGTAGTGACATCGGCAGAACGTTTTGTTCGCCAAGAAATAACTCTCGATAGATGCAGGCAGGCAGGGTTCAGGATCTGCCCATAAAGCTTATATCTCTTCTTTGCGTTGGATTCTGGGTGACCAGGGTGCGGCCTGCTCACACGTGGGCATCTTCCACACTTGAGTTTGGGGGTCTAGTCCCTCCCCCGTTCTCACTCTCACCTCCTTGCCCCCTCCGCGCTGGAATTGAACTGCCATGAGAAGATGGCTCACTCCTAAAGAGTTGTAGAAGTTTGACCAGCTCAGCGCGACAGCCCAGCAACTGCTGGGCGGCGCTGCCCAAGAACACGAAGCGACAGGAATGGCGTTCGGAGAGGATATTCACGGAGCAGATGTATAGTTCTCATAAATAGTAGTTTTGAAACATCGGCGGGTGTCTTATACACCGCAGTTGGTCTTGCTGGAATTTAAGTTGTGTGTGTGTGTCAAGACTAATAGTATCCAAGGCGGAGTGGCGGGCCTATGCTTGGTGGAGGGAGCGGTCAAGAACCGAAAAATGAGAGGGAGAAGAAGGAAGAAGTCGGAAACGGAGTGCTGTAAACAACAATAATAACCTAACTGCGAAAATTATTGATGCAAAAATATTAGACGTGATGCGGCGAAATAGAAGCCAAAAGATAGGTGAAAACTGTGTTGAGCCGACTGGGTGTCAGTCGTGATGCCGCCGTTTTACACCCTCTCATTCAACAGTTTCAATAGCGTACGTGACTTGAAACTAGGAATCATGGGACGACGGATTTGAGGATGGGGGAACCGAGTATATGATTAATGGTTTTCTATTCCAAAATTTTGAGGGCGATATCGACGAGTCAGGTTTTGAATAACTGACTGCAGCGAAAAGTACAGTGTACACTCCAAGTCAGCCTCGTCGTAGTTTATGAAGTTAAGTTTAATTATCTTATCATATCCTAAATCTCGATGCAAGGGCTGAGGTGGAGTGGGTGGTGCATTGTGATGATCGGCGGAGGAAAGAAAGTTGAGGGCCCCTCCGGGTATTACTAAACTTCCGCTTTGCAGTGTACACTACGGAGTACACTACAGTGGGTGTACAACCGCCTGGGTATCTTGAATCTTGCACTAGCCACCAAAGTCTCAGATCAATCAATGACGGTGTTCCTCAGTGGATATGCACCTTGGAACGAAGCATTATTGGTCCAATCACTGTTGCCTCATAAATCACAGCACAGATATGCATTCGGATTTCAATTTATCAAATCAATTCGAATACAACATATCATCAGTACACTGATTGATGCCCTGCGACATCCGAAAGACGCGGCTCTTTCCATCTCATCGAAACCATCTCACATCACGCGCTCAGCCACGTCTCGTCGCGCTGCATCCCTTCCATAAGAAGACCCAAGCCATCTATTAACCCTGATAAACATTCGTCATAACCTCATTCCTCCATTGGTGGCAACGGCAGACAGGGCCGGGTCTGAACCGTGATACGACACCCAACCGCCACCTTACGTCCACCCAACGATATGTCCCAACCCGGTTCCCGTCGTCGGCGGAATACAACTCAGATCGAAGGTATCAACCACATTGGCGAGCGCCGGCCTCTTCTCATCCAGCTGCCAAGTGATCGGGATCGGGATCGGGAACGGGAGCAAGACCAAGAACGGATTCCTCTCTATAGCTGTGTCTCCAACCCCCATAGTCACCTGCCGGTTTATACAAATATCCACAGGATCCGCCGAGACGTCATCTCTGTCATAGAAGACTACCTCAGCCAAACACAATTGACAGACGTCCGTATCAATATCACTGTTGTGAGACCCATAGTTGATAAGCTGTATGAATTGGACGACATCTCGATTGGTGAGTGATGCATTTCCATTCCCATCTTGCCAAGACATCATATATGCACGCCCCAGTTCCCCCCCATCGGAGGGAAATAAGCATATATCACCTTAAGGATACATTCTAACCTAGGAACGTCGGGGCCATAAGTATACTGTCTCCTCGTCAATCGAGCCCAGTTCCTCCACGAACAGTCCCATTTGAGCAACCGCCATAACGTCAACTTCAGTCGTGCCACCCTGTGTGAGCTTGTCGCTACTCGGATTCTGAGACGGTTTAGCGAGGATAACCATGGAAATGAAGGTCTTCTTATCCTTTCTCATATTCTAGTAGCTGGTTTCGAGCCATTTCAGAATGCGCCAGAATCTGTTAAGAGGGAGTTTGAGGAGACCACCTCCTGGCTCTACCATCGGCCACTACCTGCTCTCGAGATAGCCATCCTTACCGAGAGCAAGTACTTCTTGAGTTCGACTCCTTGCCAGAAAGTGTAAGTAAAACTATGGATTCCGAGCTTGAAAGAGGTCGGCATGCTCCTCCCGCTCAATGCACTTGTTGACCCGACCTTTTTCCTTTTTAGCACAAATGCCATCTATCAAGGGCGGGTGATATACACCCCATCGGGGCTCCTTGACTTAATACCGGATCATTACAAACAGAAACCGATATCAATATATGATCCGCGTGAAGGACCGCTGCTTAACCAGTATCGCCTCATAGTGCCAAGGACGAGGAACATTCTCGAGCTCATCCAATACATGACGCTGACTGTGCTCTATGTGGCATTCATGGCTGAACGGGACTCCTCGAGACTCAGCATACTTGAACTGTGTTTTTCGGTTTATGCTTTCGGATGGTCTCTCGAGCAGTTCGCGACGATTTTAGGTCACGGATGGTAGGCTTTTTTTGTTCGCCTGCCCTTCCCATACTTCAGATATATACTCACCCTTTCTACCAGGCATGTCTACACCCAGAACCTGTGGTCATTCCTCGATGTTGGGTTTATCGCCATTTACGCGGCATACCTAACGTTGCGGACGTATGGCTGGTACATGCACGATTCAGAGCCGGGTCAACAAGCACTCGACGTCATGGCGATAGCTGCGCCGGTCGTCATCCCTCGACTCGGGTTCAACTTGCTGTCGGACAGCATGGTCTTTCTGTCATTAAGGGCAATGATGGGAGACTTCGCCATGTTGACAGTCTTGTCAGCGTGGTGTTTCGTTGGCTTCCTCATATCTTTGCAATGGTTGCACCCAGGAAGCCATGATCCTTTGTATGCTCAGAATCCAACTTGACGCATAGTCAGTCCTCTTACAATGACCCTTGCTGACATTAGTTACACAGTACAACCGGAAAGTGGATGCTCTGGATTTGGTTTGGTCTTGATGGAACAGGCATCCAGAGATCTGTAAGTCTACCCAATTATACATATCGAAACCTTCCCTGGTGACCACCCAAACTTCGGATACTGATGAGATGCTCGCTTGCCAGACCGAATTTCACTGGCTTCTCGGCCCGTCCCTGATGATTGCGTTTGCATTCCTTGGGAATACACTCTTCTTGACTATTCTAGTTTCTATTTTGTCGAATACCTTCGCCGCCATTGCTCGTGACGCAGCGGCAGAGATTCAGTACCGCAAGGCAGTCGTTACGCTAGAGGGTGTCAAAAGCGATGCTATTTTTGCCTATCAACCGCCATTCAACATCCTAGCCGTGTTCTTTTTCGTTCCCCTTCAATTTGTTCTTAGCCCTCGGTGGTTTCACAAGATTCACGTCGCAACCGTGCGGCTCGTCAACCTACCGATACTCCTCGCCATTGCCCTCATGGAACGGCGCGTGCTGTGGACTCCTACCCTCACATCAAGGTTGCCTCGAGTCGGCTCGGCACGGTTGACCCGTCCATCGCAGTGGTTCTGGCAGCGGTGGAATATTGCAGCGCGTCAGGATATCCGTGCCGTCTTCGACATGCCTCCTCCCGATACGGTCGAGGAAGCCATCGCCGCCGACGACGAACTCACTCACCACCTCATCCGAAGGCAGTACACACATCGGGACTCCACGCATCAGAGCGAGCGCAAGTTTAGAAGAAGAGATTCTACATACCCCGGCCTTGCTCCCCAGATGAGGGGTTCGGTCGAGGAGTCAGAGGAGGCGCTTGATATTTCTGATATGGATTCGCGGCTGAGTGCAGTTGAGGCGTCTACCGCTCGTATTGAGAGGTTACTGGAGAAACTATGCTCTCAAGAAGAAAGGAAGAAAAGGCCGGTGCCGGAAAGCACAGATGGGAGTGCGACTTTGAAGGACGTGGATGGGTAAATGAATTCGAATATCATCCACTTCCTTCCAAACATGTGAAACCTTGCTTTTATACACATGCAAACACACATTCATGTATAAATATATAGAGGCCTCCGAATTTGATGGATCAAGCTCGTGCATTCAGCTTTGTTCTGCACCTGTTTTCTGGATGTTTGAGAAAGTAGATGTGTTGATGAGCAATGGTGTCTAAGAGAAGCAGTGATGGTGATGGTGATGATGGTGGTGGGGTCGTCGTTCAAATCGAAAAGCTCAACATTGAACTTTTAATGCGGACGACTTAAAATTCAAACCTCACTTCGTAAAGAAGGCAAGGCAAATCGACGAATTAAGCTTATATATTATCATGCTGCCTCTCAACTTTACAGGAATAAGATCAATGATATAAACTCATCCGCCATTCACCAGCCAAGATCTTGTTTCCGCGTAGCTCATCAAAAGAAAAAAACGCACACTCGTCGCTCACCTCACCATCCACCCCACCAAGCATCAAAAGATGCTGCCAACTCCGGATACCTCCCATATTCCAACTTCTCTAGTCTACGACCCGGTAGAAGATTCATATCTTCTGCTCGACACCTTCTCCTCTGAAACGGAGCGCACTTTTCTCAAATCCCACTTCTTCCCAGAGGTGCCATCATCCTCATCGACGCCGCTCCCATTTGTGCTCGAGATCGGCTCCGGCTCCGGCGTGGTCTCCGCATTCCTGACTGCGAATGCGCGATACATTTTTGGAGGAGGAGTGTTATGCGCCTGCACGGATCTTAATCCCCACGCATGTCGTGCCACTCGGGAAACCATCACAAAAGAGCTCGCGCGGAAAGACGGCGAAGAGAAAGAGACAGCCGAGCAACTAGATGTTGGTACGGGCTTGTTTCTGGGCGTCTCCAACGCGGACCTCGAAGGACCTTGGACTCGGGGCATCGTTGATGTTCTCGTCTTCAATCCACCCTACGTCCCTACGCCAGAACTGCCTGCGAAGCCGGCGAAGTTGACTGATCCAGCCACCAGCAAAATGGAAACCCCCGGGCTTAAGCCATCGTTTGAAGAGGAAGAGTATTTCCTTGGTCTTGCATACGCAGGGGGATATGAGGGGATGGAGGTGACGAATCGCGTGATCGAGAAGCTTGGAGATGTCCTGTCGCCTCGGGGCTGCGCTTACATCGTCCTATGCGCGCAGAACCATCCCGAACAGGTGAAGGAGCGGATACGTGATATGGGCCCCGAGTGGAGGGCGGAGACGGTCGGTTCAAGCGGGAAGAAGGCGGGCTGGGAGAAGCTCCAAATCATGCGAGCATGGAGAGAGAAACCCCAATGATCAGACAAAGATTGACGGGATTTGGGAGACAGCCTCTACGGAGAAACCAGCCAATTCTTTTGGCTTCAGAAACTTTTTTGTAGCTATGTTTGGTCTCTAAGTGCCCCAACGCCAGGATACCAAAACTTGCATAGGAATCAAATATATGCAACCCCAAGCCCCGGTTCTTATCCCCAGCTTTCCTTTTTGTGATCGCCGAATCCACCTGCTTATATTTCATTATCCCATACCCCCCAACAGCGTAGCCACCGTATAACCTTTCCTTACGACAACAACCCCAACCGAGAGAGCACCTCAACCCCGCCCACGGAAACCACGTCCCCTTCCCCTGCCACCACCGCGACCGCGCCCGCGCCCCCTTCCGCCACGATCCGCCACTTCTTTTCGGGCCTTGTTCTTCGGCTTTGGCGCGTCGTCGATGAGTAGAGTGTCGAGAGGCAGCGAGTCGGGGAGGATGAAGTAGCGGATCGTGCTGCCGCGAATGTTCATTGTATCGAGAGAGATGGGGTCCTGGCCCTTGGCGGTCATGCGTACGTTTCGGAGGGCCGTGTTCATTTGCGGTGAGACGGACATGATGGTGCCGTGGACGATCGTGCCTAGAGGAAGTATGAATTGTTAGCCATGTGTATGCTTGAGGAGGTGCGGAGGATTTGTGCGTTGTTCCGCCGCGATCCTGGCCGGCCGGAGGAAGTGGGTGCCATACCATTCTTTAATTCTATGGTGACCGTCTCATTGGCACATTTCATCAAAAACCTGCAATCGGAGAAGCATTAGTCACTGCATCTCGAGGAGAGCGGAGGAGGGCCCCGCGCCCGTTGAGTCGCGTGGCACCAAGCGAGCCTGGGCAAGACAATGACCGGAGCGGGGAGGTTCAATCGCATACCTGACGAGCTTCATCGTGGCAGGACTGTCGTGAAAATAGATTGAAAAAAACGTAGGCGGGAGGCGAATGGAAGAGCTGGCCTGGTGCGCTACCCTTAAACTCGGTGTGCTCGTTAAGGCTTGGGTCGGTGCGAGTCTCTGGTGGGAGGCTGAAGCTATAACAGAAATTGTTTGGCAGGCTGTCATGACAGTGGCAGACGGAGCTTGCCGTCCCCAAGAAGCTGCCCAAGCTACCTTTGTACTCCAGGATTAAATCCTTCTCGTCACGGGCCAAAATGGTTTTAAATCACGTGACATAAGATTGATACGCCGTCCCCAAGGGGTCTAGGACGACAACTTAACTTGCTCCTCTCGAGACAAATGATAGAAACATTCATTTTCCAGGAATCCTCAGTAAATCACCTGGTGTTTCTCTCTTCTTATTAGGACAATCAACCGGCGAACAGTGTCACTTCTGAGAGGTTCTTCGTGTCGCTCCGGGAGAGCCTTAGAAATCTAAGTCCTCAGATCAACACTACGGGACCAAACGCCGTGTTGCAGAATCCAGCGGCACTTTATATTGAAATAACGCGTTCCTCTACACCGTGAACGAGCTCACTGCCAATCCAGCATGTGTGGCCCTGAATAAGCTTCCTATTCATAAGCTTATTTGAAGAGATCCCACACCACATGTTGTTGAGGCTCTATTGCTTCTCATCCCGCAAGTGCAACTAGGGATTTTCGTCCCATGCAGGCATCCGCGAGGATGGCATCATTCCCGGCTAACTCGGCTTGCCCAGTGTTCGGGGATAGAGGCAGCTCCCCGACGACACATTATTAGGAGTGTTCGATATTGCCCCATGCCTCCCCATTTTCGTGCCCCTTGGGGGGTTGCATAAGTCAGAGAGAACTATGTAGAAGAATGAGGGAGGCAGTCTTGCTCATCTCCCAAGCTTTCATATGCGTACTGCCTGCCCCATTAGCCGGGGCCCTTGCTGTGTGGAGGCGAGGCACAAGGAAAATGAATGCTAGACTCTATTATATTTACCAATGGGAGCATCTCGACTCATGCACTCATGTATGGAACAGCGCCACGTTGACCCTGTCGTGAAAGCCTATCGAGAGCATATCTGGGGAGAAAACCGATCTTGGCACCTGTTGCATGAGCACCTGGCAAGTAGTTGGCCGAAAATAACACCAGGATCCATGACTTATGGGGTCACTTTGTTTGGTTTGCCTGGCTGTTTGTTTTTGCTAGCGTGGTAAAGGGAGAATCTTGCTCTTTTCTTGGTTTGAGAGTCCCAGTCAATTATACCATGTGCTCAGGACAGTGACAACCTTGTATAAATGACGGCCCCAATAGCTAAAGAATCTTAATATGGTTGGCTTCTTGGAATGGATATCTTCAAATCACCTCGATGGCAGGTGCGCTCAAGTAATCTAGCATCGGGAAGGGACGGCTTGTGAGATGCCTCTTAATTCACGGAGTCTTTTCGCGTTCGTGTCTCTCGTGTGTTGTGTATGTGTGTTGTGTATCTCGTGTTGTGTAAACTCACAGAAGGCATTCTAGCTCCAGCATCCATACATACCAGCTCTCCATCCAAAGATTGTCCAGGCAAGTAGGAGTTTTCATTGATAGCTTCCTCTCTCAAGACATTACCGACATCAGCCACTTCATCAGTTCATACATTATCAATTACCCTTTCTCAGCTGATAATCTCCATTCCACTTCAATTCAGGATCAGGTAAGGTAACCTGCTAGGCCTCTAGATTCTTTACATTGTCTTCTCGATCCCCTCTAACTTACTACTCCCCTACCACATCAGACCAGAACAACTAAGCGCCAAGAGAACCTCAGACAAGACTTCCCATATAAGCTACTGACTGACCTGCAAATCTGCAAATGTAGGTCATGGTTGGTAGATAAGCTGACATCTAAGGCCCTTGCTTTCACAACCGTCCTTGTTTTCCAAATCATTGTGTTGATTCGAAATGATGGCAATCCTACACCAAGCTTTAGCTATAGGCGTCCTGTTATATGCGATGCTGGCGAACGGATATCATGGCCCTTACAACTATGGAGCTACAGCAAGCAATTTACTGTTGAAGAGACAGAATATATCCGAGACGATTGTGATCACCAACCTCACGAGCGAATCCGAAATTGATCCCCCAGCACGGGTGGAGCTTAGAGAATTGAAGAAGGATTCATATAAATGGAATCTATACCTCCTTGCCCTAAGCATGTTCCAATGGACCGAGACTTCGAGACCCGATTCGTGGTATCAGATTGCTGGTAAATATTTCACCTTGAGCTACCGATGACGCGCAGATGTCTAATCACTACCCTCTCTTTAGGGATTCACGGTTACCCCTTTGCTTCTTGGAATGGAGTGGAAGGCATAAATCCCTGGACCGGCTACTGTCCCCATTCGTCCATCTTGTTCCCGACGTGGCATCGCCCGTATATGGCTCTTGTGGAGGTAAGTCTCCCATATTATCGAGATACCTTTTCCGCTGGATCCAAGGTCACGGCTAACTGTATTACGAAAATCAAGCAACAATTATACTATCGCGTTCAATTCATTGCGTCGCTCTTTCAGAACGAGACCGAACGTGCTCTATATCAACGGGCGGCGTCTGTTTGGCGCATGCCATACTGGGATTGGGCGTGGAGACCATTGGATGGTGCTCCCGTATTTATGGAAGAGTTTGGCCTGGAAAACATCAGAATGTATGGCCCTAGCGGATGGCAACTCGTCGCGAATCCGCTGTATAGCTTCCATTTTACCGGAAACAAGACGCTTGATTTCCCCGCCCAGGTATGGACCCTGCCAACGCTTTGGCTCAAAGTTAGGCTCTAATCCCCGGTGCAGCTTCGAGAGTGGAACGAAACCAAACGAGCCCCTTCCGACCAGACGGTTGGCGCGGTATCTCGTAGCGATGAAGTTGCAAACCAGCTTGAGATGAGGCTCGATCAACTTCAACAACGGCTTTTCATGCTCTTTTCGTCATATCATAACTATACGACGTTCAGCAACATTCAGCATCTCCAACAAGAGAATGGGAAGTATGAGTCGATTGAAGCGATCCATAATGCCATTCATTCGTCGGTTGGCCAGGGGGGACATATGGACTACATCATGTACTCCGCCTTCGATCCCATCTTTTTCTTGCACCACGCCAATGTCGACCGACTCGTCGCTATGTGGCAGGCACTCAATCCTTCTTCATGGGTGATGCCTTTGCCGGCATCAGCAGCTACATTCACTACCAATGTGGGGGAGATCCAGGATGCTAATACGGACCTGAAGCCTTTTTATACCAGCGGTGGCCAGTTCTGGAATTCCGAGCTCTCGCAAGATACGCGATCATTTGGTTATGTCTATGACGACACCGTCAATGTTTCCCTTACTAGGCAGTCTGATGCCGAAGCCCTGGAGGAATTGAAAAGAGTGATTAACGAAAAATACGGCCAGTCTAGCCCATCCGCCTCCATAGTTCTCCAGCCGCGCCTGAGAGCTAGAGACCTCACTACCGATACTGAGATGGCCGAAAAGTTTCGGAAGGACGCGGTAGCCAATGACAGGTTTATCCCAAATCTCTCGAGTCACGGATTTTTCTCGAATCCTCCTTTCTCAGCTATTCTGAAAAAAGGGAATCGGTACACTGAGTGGATTGCGAATATTAAAATCCAGAGCAAGGACATCGACCGACCTATGTCGATACTTTTCTTCATCGGGGACGTTCCTGATGATCACAAGAGCTGGAAAGATTCTCCGAATGTGGCAGGGTCCTTTGGAGTATTCTCTATGGCGGCTGCCTCAAATCCAACAGCTCATATTACTGGGACCCTACCCCTAACATCGGCGCTAACGAAGATGGTAGCCGCTGGGTTTGTTCACAGTATGGACCCAGAAGACATGAGTCTCTACCTCGAACACAACCTCAAGTTTCGAGTTTTGGATGCCAACCACGAGATAGTCGACCTTGGCCGAACAGGAGGCTTGAGTATCACAATAGCTAGTGCATCTGTGAAAGCACCTTCGAAGAATACTGGGTTGCCGGAATGGGACAACCTGGTGGAAAGGTTTACATTGATGTAAGAGGGAGTCTGCAATCACACCTAGAGTAAGATTGTGCATCACGGGATTCAGCTGCGAGGGGAATATCATGTTTGACCCGATATCCCAGAACGAGATAGTATGTTGAGTACGAAGTACAAAGGTAGATAAACAGGAAATCACTCTTGAAGCAACCAACAGAGTAGAGAATCACGTGCCATACAGCGGTGTCCTTCGTACTTTGTAAATTGCTTTGGATGCCCCTCTAAAATTTCTTATCGATAACCATATCGATAACGAATTCCAGATACAGATTTTTTTTTTCTGGCTTTCCTCTCCAGCCGATTTTTTTTCCACTAGCCCACGGAGGTTTGGCTGATAATCCCCCAATCGTGGCGGACTCGATCCTTCGAACGACTTGCGCGAGGACACCTTTTCACACAATATACTCCGGGGTAGCCTAACTATGAGCCAATCTGCCCAAAAAGGGCGCAAGACCGCTGCCCGAAAGGGCCAGCCCTGGTCGGTAGAATACGACACCCTCCGGCGCCAACATCTTTTCCAGAACCCACCGAAGGATCAATCCGTACATCCTCTACTTAGAGACGCGGTACAATTCCATAATGAATCGTTTAATGCGCTATTTGGAGAGCAGGGTCTGATGCGACACGCTATTGCGGACATTGGGACGAAGTGGTTTCGAGATGGAGAACTGGCCCAGACTGGGGAGTCGACGAATGACCTGAGGATACGGATTAAGGACGTCGCTCTGCAATACCCAGAAATTATTCCCCACCGACTTTCTACAGAAGAGCGCAAGCCATTGTACCCATGGGAGTGCAGGGAGAGGCACATTTCGTACCGAGGAAAGCTATTGGCAACTCTAGAGTATACGATCAACGACGGCGACCCTGTTGAATTCGACGTGGACCTTGGAAAGCTGCCTGTAATGGTCAAGGTTGGTCTCTCATATATCTTTCTATATTCGCAGGCAGTTCATGTGCTGTTTGAATGCAAACGCTTACAGTGTACTAGTCAAACAGGTGTCATCTTGAAAAGCTTGCACCGGCTCAACTTGTCCAAAAGAGAGAAGATTCCGAAGAGCTCGGAGGATATTTTATTGTCAACGGTATCGAAAGGATTATTCGACTTCTTCAAGTGAACAAGCGAAACTTCCCCATTGCCATCGACCGTAAGAGTTTCGCCAACCGAGGCCCCGAGTACACAACCAAGGGTGTCGTCATGCGCTGTTCGAGGCCTGATGAAACTTCCTTGACAAATACGCTGCACCTTCTTAAGGACGGAAATATTATCATGCGCTTTGCATGGAGGAAGCGCGAATACCTAGTTCCGGTCATGATGATCCTCAAGGCCCTTGTCGATACGAATGATCGGGAGATCTTTGAGGCCATCGTCGGTCCTGCCGAGTCGCCAGCTGCGAAGGACGCGCGGCTAGTCAATCAGCTCGAAGTGCTGCTTCGAACATTCAAACACTACGGTCTCTATTCAAAGACGCAAGCCCGCGCGTTCCTCGGAAGCAAATTTAGGAGCGTCATGGGAGTCCCGAATGCCATGTCCGATATCGAAGTCGGCGACGAATTCCTTCGAAAGATTGTCCTGGTCCATCTTGGAAACGTTAATGTGACCCACGAACAAGATTACGACAAGTTCTCGACCCTGGCGTTCATGTGCCGCAAACTTTATGCCTTCGGATCGGATGAATGCGCGGCAGAGAACGTCGATGTTGTAGCAAACCAGGATGTTCTGCTTGGTGGCTTTTTTTTCGGAATGATTATCAAGGAACGCCTGGAAGAAATGATCAGCACATCACTTCGAGCCTGTCTTATCCAATATTTCCGTACTTATCCCAAGGATACTTTCACCTCCTCAAGGTTTGAGCAAGAGTTCCCAAAGCGTATCTTCACCAAGGTCGACTACAAGATTGGTCAAGCGATGGAATACTTCCTATCAACGGGTAATCTATCCAGTGTCTCAGGACTTGACCAGCAGCAGGCCTCCGGTTTTACTATCGTCGCTGAAAAGCTCAACTATCTCCGATACATTAGCCATTTCCGCTCTATTCACAGAGGTGCCTTCTTCACCGAGCTGCGTACGACAACGGTACGGAAACTGACGCCCGAGGCGTGGGGCTTCCTCTGCCCCGTTCACACTCCTGACGGTTCTCCCTGCGGTCTTCTTAACCACCTTGCTCACAAATGCAAGGTGATGACGAAGTCATTGGATGTGTCGGGTATTCCTCAGCTCGTCCAGGAACTAGGCGCCGATGTACGATCGTCGGCGACAACGAAGGAATGCGTTGTCGTCATGCTCGACGGCCGAATTATTGGCTGGTGCACACCTACTACGGCTAAGCGAATCCATGACTGCTTCCGACACTGGAAGGTTGAGGGTTCTCACAATATTCCACTAGAACTGGAAATTGGCTACATTCCGTTGTCGAACCGGGGCACTTACCCTGGTGTGTATATGGCGTCGAAGCCGTCGAGGCTGGTGCGACCAGTCAAATATCTGCCACTGGACAAGGAAGACAGCGTCGGACCCATGGAGCAAATGTGGTTAGGTATCGCCGTAGTACCATGGGAAATCGAATCTGGTTTCCATACTCACATCGAATTCTCCCCGACCCACGTTCTCTCGATTCTTGCCAACATGACGCCCTTTTCGGACCACAACCAATCCCCCAGAAACATGTACCAATGTCAGATGGCCAAACAGACAATGGGTACGCCAACGACCGCTCTCGCACACCGTACCGATAACAAGCTGTACCACATCCAAACAGGCCAGACTCCGATTGTTAGGGCCTCACTTTTCAACGAATACGGCCTTGACAACTGGCCTAATGGTTTCAATGCTGTCATTGCCGTCATTTCCTACACCGGTTACGACATGGACGACGCTATGATCATTAATAAATCGGCTTTTGAACGCGGATTTGGCCATGGTTCCATCTATAAGACGCTGAAAATCACACTGAAGGAGGATGGTCGCGCGGTGTCTGCCCGACGGGTTAAGAAGCTGTTCGGTTTCCCCAAGAGCGCCGAGATTAAGGGTGAATGGCGCAGGACCCTAGACGATGATGGTCTCCCAATGGTTGGGGCCATGGTTAAAGAAGGCGACTACATTGCTGCGTGGCATACCGTGGAGATGGATTTTGCTGATAACTACGTCAATGCGGACGGTGAGACCAGGTTTGAGAGGTACAAGGATTCGGAAGTTGGTTATATCGAGCAGGTACGGCTGATCGGCTCCGAATCCGGATCGGAGCCGCTCCAGACGATTTCCGTTAAAATTCGCATCCCTCGACCGCCACAAGTTGGTGACAAGTTTTCGTCGCGTCACGGACAGAAGGGTGTCCTTTCAAGGCTATGGCCAACTGTTGATATGCCCTTCTCCGAGTCGGGCATCCAGCCTGATGTCATTATCAACCCGCACGCTTTCCCGTCTCGAATGACCATTGGTATGCTTGTTGAGATCATGGCGGGCAAATCTGGCGCTCTTCACGGCCTGGCACAGGATGGAACTCCTTGGACGTTCGACGAGCAATATCCGGCCAAGGACTTCTTCGGAGAGCAGCTCCGGAAGGCGGGTTACAGCTATCACGGCAGCGAACCCATGTACTCAGGCATCACGGGCGAGGAGTTTTCCGCAGATATATTCATGGGTGTCTGTTACTACCAGAGGCTGAGGCACATGGTTAACGACAAGTTCCAAGTGAGAACTACGGGTCCTATCGTCCCGACGACAGGCCAGCCAGTAAAGGGCAGGAAACGCCATGGTGGTATCCGTGTGGGAGAGATGGAGAAGGACGCGCTTCTAGCACACGGCACTGCATTCCTGCTCCAGGATCGGCTCATCAACTGCTCCGACTACACGAAGACATGGATTTGCAAGCCATGCGGATCGTTCTTATCTGTTCAACCGATTGTGTCACCATACATTGGCAAGAGGAAGAAGGACACGGCAGTCCGATGTCGAAAGTGCGCCGTTATAGTTAAGCCCGGCATGGACCTCTCGGGCTTCGACGGCGAAATGTGGGAAGACGGTCAAGGTAACCTCTTCATTGGCGGTGACCAAACGACCGAGATCGCCGTTCCCGGTGCGCTCAAGTACCTCGACGTCGAGCTTGCGGCGATGGGTGTCAAGTTGAGGTACAATGTGGACAGCAGCACAGGAACGCGTAAGGGCCCGGCTCGGCCAGTGAAACTGAGCGAAGTGAGTCTCGGCTCTGAGGACTCCAAGTAAAAGGGGGCATGGCGGCACGGAGAGAGACTCGGCGCGGGATGGAGATGTAAGGATCTGCACGGTCTATTGCGGTCCCGAACTGCATGATATGTGGGTCTTAAGATGATTGTATTTAATATGTCTTTTAGGTGTCGTGAGGGTTAGTGACAAAATACGACTTTTTTCTCGCTCTTCAAATTGGCTTGCCGATCTCTCCTAAGCATTGAAGGTCAAGATCGCAGACGCGATGTCTTAAGTCGGCTCACATCGCGTCTCACAGGTGGTAAGTGTTCGCATCGTTGTGAGACTTGACGCGGGTGGTCGCCGTGTTTGCGACCAGGTCAGACCCGCCCGGAAGCCCGGGTGACGGGTGACGGGCGAGGTCTGGGAGGGGCGACCGATCAGAGGCATTATTCCCTCGAATTGTTAACCCCAAACAATTCGTAAACAAGAGAGGCCCGTTCTTGTGCGTGGCTGGGAGTACTTTGTAGAAGACGACATTAAGTATCCCATCGCTTGCTTGTCGTCACAGTTCCACGGGTCTCCGAAGGATACCGGGAAAAGATGCGTGGACCGAGGTGAGCGGGAACCAATCATCAAGACAAGGGGGATGTCTGCCCCGGCGGCACTGTAGGACACCGAGATGACTGGGGGACCTTTCCTTTTTCTCCCGAGATCTTGTTCTTTTTTTTTTTTTTTTTTTTTTTTTTTTTGTTTTTTTTTGGGCTGGTGTGGCTGCTCCAGGAACCGCCGGCGGAGATCTTGAGGGGTAGACTTGGCCAGACTTGCTTTTGCGGCGGTTCGGTGGGGGAGTGTCGGGTGCGTTCGTCCTCGGACCTGCTACCAAAAGCCTCAGCTCTCAGTTGGTCACATTTAATCCCCGTCCTTAAAGATTGCACCTAAGCACTAAGAGTAGATAGCGCCAGGAGAAGAATCATTTTTCGGTAGAGTCTTGGACTCTCAGGCACTGAACACGGTGTACCTCGGTATTCCACCTTCTGCAATTGTATTATCACGCACTCCTAACCTGTTTGAAGCGGTTTTCATCGCACTTGCCGCCACCACTTCATAGTTTGACACGGCCCCCGCACCGCTTGAAGTAGTGTACTGCACTCCTTCCTCCTTCTCCGCCAGGCCTCCCAAGCTTCCTTCCCTTCTAAAAATGTAATGCTGCTTCAGGAGCTCTCACAGTTGGGTAGCGGTTGATCAATTGATGGAAAGGGCAGCCTCCCGCTCAATCCCTTTTGAGTATCACACTTTGACCCGAATGAGCCTTAGCGTGAAGAACTAGTGCCGCTTCTGCTTGTAATTGCTCTAGCGCCTATTCCTGATTAGTGGGCCAGAGCAGAGCAGGCATTACCCCTTCACCTTCCCGCTATGATTCCTGCAGGTCTTAGCCCTGATGGGCAATATACAGAAGGTGTCGGCTGCTAATTTGGGCGGTGTTAGCGTCATCAACGATCAAATTGATCTGAACATTCCACGAAAGTCCGCCGACCACAGTAGCAGTGCCTCTAATTACCATCCCCACTCATAGGCTCACTCGACGACCTTTATTTCCCTAAAGCTTTCGATCCTCTCCTGGAATGGGCGGTTGGCCACCGGGTGGAAAGACCTGTGGGATCACGGGAATTTCGTGAAAAAAAGGACCTTATCCGCGTGCGACTCTTATAGCCTTGTTCTTCCTGGTTTGTCTGGTTGGCCCGGCCTCGGCAAGGTAAATCGTTCGACCAGGGCCGGCTTCATCTCTTGGCCAATGGATAGGAGCTGCGCCAGCCTCGCGTTAATCCGGACGGATGTCTATCCATCAGTAAGAAGCTGAAGAGGTGTCTTTGGCGCAATCAACAACCTATGACCTCCCCTGTTGTTGTTATTGTTATGGGCACGTCTTAACATACCGTGCCGCCCGGCCCACCCCGTAACCGACGTGGTTTCGACCCGGCGACGCCACTTTCCTATTTGCCCGGCTTGGACATTATAACTTGCCCTTGAACACTAAGCCGTGATTTCTATCGTGGGCGGCTACAGGACTGCTACTAAGTATAGTCAGGCCAGACAGCACCGAGCGTATCGCTTGCTTGGTACAAAGGTAGAGTAAGCCCATCAGAGCAAGACTGTGGGCTTGTGTGTCCTGTGACGTTGATGATCATCCCCCACCAGTCCGCCGAGAATGGACGGGGGGGAAAAAAGAGGAAAAAAGAAAACCGCCAAAAAAGCAAAATGGGACCCTACCAGCCATCAAACAGTTGCAGCATCCTGTTTCTCGGAACTTCTCAAGGGTCCGGGAGATGGCATGCGTAGATTGATTTGGCCCGTCACCCGAGCCCTCCCCCCTCCTTCGCTCCATTAAGATCTGCACCAGAGCTGACCGTCATCACTTTATTGGGATTTGCGACAATGAGAACTACCTCAGTAGAGCTAGGCAGTTTATATCGGAAGTTAAAAAAAAATGAAACGAAAATCTGTTCTAACACATGTTCTAACACATCCCTAACCGCCGTTGAACGACAAGGGAAGTCTTCCCTGTATGGAAAAGCGGGACCATGAAGTGACTTGGGATACTATTGCAGTGTACACCTGACGCCGACACGAGTAGAGCCTTGTCGTCAGTCACATCGGCTCTTTCTGGTACATTGGCCCGGTCTGTCAACCCGAGGCCGCGTCGGCCTCCTTCTAATACACCATAATACAACTTTATGAGGCAGAGACAAGGCACGGAGCAGGTGAAAGAGGTTATTGTACCCGGCCGGACTCGGATAAAAGGAAATGGCGTGGGCAGACAAGCGTCCACACATGGAGAGACTATGGAGAGATTGAGGTACGGCGACGAGGCTTTTCGCAACCTTGAAAATTGGGAGGGTTAACGGACGTCACGGGTTCTTAGAGTAGATTGATTGAGCATCCAAGGAGTACTTTCGTTTGGTAACTCGAACTCTCTCTCTCGCCAGCTCGACTTCCAATTTCTGGGGTTAAAGTACTGTACATCAGTTGAGGTACCCACCAGTTGACGTAGTGTATTCACCAGGAGCGCTAGTGTCTGCACAGTACTGGTAGCTCCTGCCGCCTAGCTCCTCTCGAAGCCCTTTGTACCAGACCAGACCCAGCAGCTGGGCAGGCAGGCCTGGGAGCAGTGGCAGTGACAGCCAGGCCTGGCGACTAACAATAAGCGACGGCGAACGTCACTGGTCACATCCCCCCGGCTCCCCCAAACAGAAACAGCACGAGCAAAAGACACCAGCGGCACATTCGAAAAAGCTGGAGCCTTTTCCTGGAAATCGAAACACCCTCCCCGCGACCTCACCTGCCTTCCCGGCCCCTCGTTAGAACGACCTCATCTCTTGGCTTTCCAGTCCTTATCACACAAAGCCCAAATTTACATCTTTTCTTGCCAGGGTCACCTCGCCAAACCCTACATCTTATTTTTGTTTCGGCCAGGGAAAAGGTCGTACAAGACATTTTATTTTATTTTTGTTTTCCCTCAAAGCTATTATTATCTTCCATCCTTGACTTGTCTCTCTGCTTCCTTGTCCAAGCTGCCGCCTTGCCGGCCAACTTTCCCCCAAATTTAATAACCCCACCCACCGCCACTCCTCTGGACCTTCTGCATCGGTCAAGTCTTCTGCGTCCGCGTCCAGTTCCGTTTTTTCTCTTGCGTCTACGGATTTTACTTCTGTTCTCAGAGCTCTCTTTGGCTTGTTACGATTCAGCAGCCCTTTACGCGACACACACATTCTCTCTTCCCCTCCCTGGCGGGGCCCATCGCTGTCGATTACGTCCCCTTCCTCTCGAACGTCTACCTAGGCAGTTGCTACTACGAAAACGTGCCCGCACTTTGTTCCTCGACCGTCCTCCGACCATCCCTCTCTAGCTACCGCATTGCTATATTCGAGTTCCCCACGCCGCCGGGCTCGCCATCGAAAGTCCTCCCTTCCAACTTCATACTTGGCAGGCAGATATAAATAATGGCGCAACTAGTTCGGAAGGTGTACGATTGGTTGCTGCGGACCTTTTGGTGAGTCAGGTTGTGCTGTGCGTGTGTACGCTCGTGTTGCATGGCACGGTGCTGGACACAGCATGCATTCCACAAGTATCTCAAGCTGCGCTCGTAGGAGCAGGCACGAGAGGTGCTCGGGAGCTTGGCAGCAAGGACTCCCTAGACTGACAGGTTGGTTTGCAGGGCGACGGAAATGGACGTCACCATGGTCGGTCTGCAGAACGCAGGAAAAACCTCACTCCTCAGAGTACTGTCGGTATGTTCGAACCCTTGAGGCAGCTTCGGTTGGGATGGGTACCTTGTTGCGAGTACTAGCTATATTCTTCTTGATCCCGCGGACTCCCGCATTAATCCCCTTTTCGCTTACTGTTTGTCATACTCGTTTGCTAACCAAGGGCTGTTTCGTTTTAAAACCAGGGTGGAGAGTTCACGATCGAGTAAGTGTGCTTCCTCTGTTCTGTACACCGTTGTCGTTCCGACCTCCCCCCCTCTTTCCAAGCACGGCGTTGCTGCCTTTCCCGCGTCCCATTCCTGCCCCCCACTGACCGCCCCGATACCCGCCACTGGACGACTCGCTCGCTCGCTCGCTTCGCTGGTGAGACTTCGGCTAATCAAGATTTCTGTGTAGCTCGATTCCGACGGTTGGGTTCAACATGAAGCGGGTACAACGAGGCCACGTTACACTGAAGTGTTGGGATATCGGAGGCCAGCCCCGCTTTCGAACAATGTGGGAGAGGTACTGTCGCGGCGTCGACGCCATCGTTTTCATCGTGGATATGGCGGACCCAAAGGTTCTCTCGGTCGCACGAGAGGAGCTTCATTCCCTAATGGCCCAACCATCTCTTCGGGGTATCCCGCTTCTCGTCCTGGGTAACAAGTCGGACCTCCCAGACAGGTTAACGGTAGATGAATTGATCGACGAGCTCGCTTTGGCTGAGATCTATCATCGGGAGGTATCCTGCTATGGTATCAGCGCTAAGGAGGAGACGAATCTCGACGCCGTATTGGAGTGGCTCATGAAATGGGCCAACAAATGAAGGGCCATTGAGCCGATAAAACGACGAATGGTCTCTGATGCCTCGTTCAATTTCTGATCCCATCGTGGCAGACTGGGCCATCCGCGCTCCGGGCTGTTGTCCAATTTTGGCCGTAATTTGAAGAGTGGAATGGGATTCGAATCACACTAGCCGTTTGCCAGAGCAAGCCCATCGTGACGGCAGGCGGCGGCCAACGCGTGGGAGCTTCTCCCCTCGCTGCAGGGCCCTTCTCTTTGGTTCCATTGCATGCGTCGGGTTGGTACACACGGCGCTTCTCTCTTTCGTTTTTTCTCCTTTCCTAGGTGGGGCGGGACAGGGAAAAGAAATCGCTTGATCTTCTGGGGCCTCCGACGGTTGAATTATATATATATTTCCTTCTCTCACGAGCACATGGCTGGGCGGTTGGAGTCATTGGCTACGCCACTCATGACATCCGCACTTGAGGGGTTTCCTTTCCACTTGGCAACGAGGGGACTGGGGATTTCATTATTTTCTTGAGTATATCCGGGGCGAGGAGGGAACAAATGACGGATCTCTGCGGGCATATCAACCAACAACTTGTCGACTTGGCCTTGTGTGTGGGTGGAAGTCTGTTGTCCTTCAAACTGCGCCATTCATGAGTGGAACGAAAGCATGCGTTGGGATTTTGGCGCTCGCGTTTTCCTGGTTCATTTTATTTTCCAGTTAATGTCAACGTACCGTGGTCATCGTTTTCTCATATCCTTCTTTGTCCATCGATTTCCCCGAACCGATGTTTCTTATATCTGTTCTTTGTTGCTTTCTTTTGGTTTCTCCTGGAAGATCCTAGTTGGAAGCTTGCTCCATGATCTAACATGGTAAGGCATCGTGGTTCAAGCGTGCGAGTTGTGCTGGGTAGTCCAAGGGTGATGTTGAACCCTATGAATGAACGAATAACGAATTGATACAGCCGGTGTTCAATTTGTATTGACATGTATTTGACGGCGCTTGCTCGGGTCAGAATAGCGGCGAAAGGACAGTAACTGTAGACAGGAGTGTGGCACTTGCGACACTTCGCGACACTTTGCGACACTCGTTGACACCGGCGCAACTAGCCATAATCAGGAGATATCCGAGGAACACCACAGGCTAAACGGTTCAAACGCGGCAGGAAATCAGCATGGGAGTAGAAGGACTTTCTTCCGAATCCTGGGACAGTGTAGCGGTGGAGTAGTCTCGTTCTTGTAGTTTCCAGGCAAGGCGAGGATGCCATCTGGTGTTGGTGTGGTGTTGGACGTTGGACTTAGACCGGCCAAAGTAGGATGTGAAGAAGAGAACTCCAAAACACGGAAAAGTGGTGACCGGGATCGCGCGATGTGAGGACTAAAGAGGAATAGGAGAGGGAGAGGAGAGAACGGAGGGGAAACAGGGAGAGAGTAGGCACAGGGGAGGATCCGACATTTCTATTTATCGCTCCCTCGATTGTCAACGTGGTTTATGAGCTGGCAGGGCTACGAAAAGGTCTTACTTGTTTGCATATGGAGCACTAGGAAGGAAATACTAATAATGGATTGGAACGGAGCGGATTGAATGGGGACTTGACGTGTCTGCGGTATGCGCGCGCACTTGTATGGGTATGAAGCGAAGGGGGAAATTTCCAGGGCTGCACACAGACCACTTGATGCTTTGACAACTCATCAGTGCAGGAACATGGAGGAGAGAAAGTTGGCGGGTGTGTGTGTATGTATCAACGATGTGTGTGTGTCGTCTCGTTGTCCCCATTTTCCTGCCTCGTCCCTCTCTATCTCCCCTGTACATGCCATGCCATGCCGGGGACGAGGATGGAAGACGGGGGGAGAGGGGCTGACCATGAGTGAGTCTTGTCTGCCAGCACATACGATGTAGGATGGAGAGAGTACTCATACTACATCACAGGCGCTGGATGACGACCAGCGCGACTGGCGTCGCACACGTAGCACGTCTATTCCTATTTCGGGGGTGGGTATTCCATTCTCGTATAGTGCGGATCCCTCCTCTTGAAGAATTCCCACAGATTCTGATTATTTTCTTGTTTGTTTGCTTTTTTCATTTATTTTATATAGGCAAGGTATAGCTGGTGTGCGAATCTTCCAAATGCGGATCAGAATTTATGGCAGAACCAGATCCAGAGATGGAGTTTGTGGTGTGTGTGCGTGGTTGGCCAATATCGGACAGGACACTGGTTGGAGTCGACCAAGATTCGATCTTGGTCTTGTATACACACGTAGGTTGTAGCTGGCGATTTCTCTCTCTCTTTTTCTGATCAGGTGCATTCGTAGTCTTGAGTATTGTCGCTTCTCCTCTAGATCGATGCTTGTTTCTCCGTTGCTTCCCCCCGGCTTGTGTAGTTATCTTGTCTAGAAGTCAGAAAATGTCCTCGAAAAAAACGCTTGATAGGCAGAAGTGCAGTTTCTTTCCATGCCAACTTTCAAGGCGTAACCGAAATACACTTTTTTTTTTTTTTTTTTTTTTTTTTTTTTTTTGGATATCGAAGGGAGAATACGAAGTACTAGAAACGCGGATGGGGAAGACGGGGGCGTCTATGCGTGCGGCATGCGGTATGCGCTGGCAGAGGAGCCCACCGTGACAAGGTGTCTCAAATTGGATTGGGGGCCTCATTTCGAGGCACAGCATTCCGGGCGGTTAACGAGATTTCTGGCTTTGGGGGGACAGCGATCTTGGCGGGGAGCGAATGGGACGATGGATGCGTTGAACTACGAAGTAGAGATTGGCTACTTATTCGGTTCGAGGGCTGCCCATCTGTGTGCGAAGGTGCGTGGGCCGCTAGGCGATGATGGTCCTTGAAGCTGAATCGCTGGCCGTTCAAAGGACAGATTTACAGCAAATTCACGGAATATTCAGAGAGATCTGTCTCGTCTGGTTTCAACGAAGATGCATCGATCGTGATCGATGGTAATGCAGAAGAGTCAAATCCCTAATAATTACCGATATCATCTGGGCGAGTCGCCGGCCGGAACGGGTCGTTACATCAAATCTACTCTAAGTTGCTGCGCTGGCATCGTTTGAGTGGAAGAGCGAGCCGGCCGGAGACAGACCCGCAAGGCATGACTAGATACAATTGTATAGGTGTATTTTGGAGGGCAGGCATCCTTCGGTCTTTGGGTTCGGCCTTTGGGTCACCTCTTCGAGGTTATTGCAGGAGAATGAAGGGTGAAGGGTGAAGATGCGACAGTGGCGGCTTTGCTATTCTTGGGCCTCTTCATGCCTCTTCTTTTCATTTATATCATTATTTATCTCATTGTTTTTCTCGTCAGCTGGCCCGTCGGATGGCTCCAGGTGCTACGCGCCTTCCTCGGCGAGGGCAGGCTCAGTGAGAGAGTGGGTTGAGAGCTGGCATGTGATGTTGAACCTGGACAGCCAGGCTGGAAGGCGTGTGCTAACATTGAAGCGTTGAAGTCATTTGATGGTGGTGGTATACGGAGGAGGAAGTAGATCAAGACTCATTTCCCTGTTTCCCTGTCATGAATCCCATAAATTCAGTCCAGCGAAAAATATCCAAGAACGGTGATTATTTCCGAATACAATTCAGTCGAGGTCAAGCGTTGAAGAATCTGTTGATTGATCATGATGCTCTCCCGGCATCAACCCAAGGTTTTCAGTAGACCGCCAGAGCTGTGCGGCTGGTATCGGTTGGTTGAGCGAGCGCCTGGCTGGCTATATCCGTTGAAGGCTGGCGCTGGGCGGGCCAACCCCGCCCTAAATGACCCCTACCATTGCCTACATAGCTGTACCCCGCCAAACTAAACCAACACTCCACACAGGACCGGAAAGGCACACACACACCAAACCCCTCCAGTTCAACGGCTATCGCGGAGATCATTGAGCCATTATTGGCTGGGTGAGGAGCAGTAGGCAAACCTCGGGTCTAGAGTTCTAGAGTCAATTGAACACACGAAACACTAGACACGATCTGAAGTTCTCAATCCCCTCCATCCACGAGGAATTGAAGTTGAAGTTACCCAGGCAGTTGCGGTTCAAATTGCTTGGGTGGGTAAAGTCAACCAAGTTCTTCCCAGACTGGTTCAATGCTGTCATCGACGCCCTAATCGGCTTAGATCTCTGCCATTGAGATCCAATTGGGGTTGACTCGTCGGGCTGCTAATGGTTGGAAAAGCCTGTGTGGCTAGCTACTACCTTCCCGCAGTGTGTATTGCCATTTGATCATTCCCCTCATCTAGACAGCTATGGGTCTCTCGCCGAAGTCGTCGCGATCGCTTGTTTCCGCTGGGCGGGGGTACGGCGGCACCGTTGGCTGGAACCAGTCGTTGACCAGGACCATTCATCTTGATGCCTCCATAAGAGTCCGTTCACCTGCACGATCAAGTCTACCCCCTTGTCGGAAATCACACTACAGAGGTTATTACAAACGTTTCCTATCAACCACTCATGCCCGAAGCGTGAACATGACCGGTGGCGCATCCCATAATGGGTGGATCGGCCACAAGGGCCCCGGAGGATTTGATCTACGGAGTGAGTGATCGAGCTCCGAGGGTTTAAGTCTTAACTCTACTCGACCTAGCTCACTATGGCTTCAGTGCTAACTTTGACCTCTCCCTACTCAAGCGGATGTGGCGACGACCCCAACGCCATCGATGCTGGCTGCCATCCAGTCGTGCACTCTCCTTGATGATGTCTTTCAAGAGGGTCAGAATACAAATGATCTCGAGTCACATCTGGCAGAACTAACAGGCAAGGAGGCCAGCCTTTTCGTCCTATCTGGGACGATGGGCAACCAACTTGGGCTGAGATCTCTGCTCACGCAACCTCCCCACGGAGTTCTGTGCGACAAGCGCTCCCACATTATGAATTATGAAGCAGGAGGGTGAGTGAATAGCCCTTCGCCAATCTCTCCGGACGCCGTTGCAAACCGGGAAGCTTTCGCTGCATCATGCTTATTATCTCTGCTCTGGGTGCTACTTACAGTGTCGCTACACTTACCGGCGCCCTTGTGACGCCCGTCCTTCCCGAGAACGGAATCTACCTTACGCTTGAAGACGTCCAAAAGAACGTCGTGCTCACCGACGACGTTCACGACTGCCCGACTCGGGTCATTTCCCTGGAGAATACGCTCAATGGGATGATTACACCGCTCTCCGAGGTCAAGCGCATCTCGGAATTTGCCCGGAAGCACGGCATCCTGATGCACTGCGACGGCGCGCGCCTCTGGGAGGCCGTTACGGCCGGTGCGGGGTCCCTACCGGAGTTCTGTTCTCAGTTCGATACGGTGAGTTTGTGCTTCTCCAAGGGACTAGGCGCGCCTGTTGGAAGCATTCTAGTCGGCCCGGCGGACGTCATCAAGAGGGCGCGATGGGTGAGGAAGTCGATTGGTGGCGGCCTTCGCCAGGGCGCTGTGGTTACTGCGGCTGCGAGGGTAGCCGTGGACGAGACGTTCGGAAAGGGCCCTAACGGAGAGGGTGGTCTTTTGAGGCTGTCGCACGAGACGACGAGGAAAGTGGAGAAGCTATGGACTGAGTTGGGAGGGAAGCTCGTGCATCCCGTGCACACGAACATGTGCTGGCTGGATCTCAATGCCGCCGGCTGCTCGGACGAGAAGTTTGAGGAGCTCGGCAAGCAGGAAGGATTGCGCTTGATGGGGAACCGGCTGGTAATAAGCTACCAGGTCGCTATGAACGAGCAGGAAATACTGCCGCGACTGGAGCGAGTGTTTAAGGCTGCTCTGGCGGACGTTCAAGGCGCCACCGCCAGGCCGGAAGGGCATGCCAGCCAAGAGAAGACTTCCATGTATCGTCGGTCGAATTGAAGCTAGCTCACAGAAAGAATATCGCCAGTGGTGGCCGGCTCTTCCGCGGAGCTTCCACGAGGGAACTTTTGCTCTTGTCAAAATTCCACGCCTTTTGACATGCGTTTGTGAAGCAATTGGACCGAGATGCGGAGACACCGACAGGCTTGTATGGAACCCGTGATGAGGCTCTTCGGATAGAACTCTGGAAACCGGCATCCCACTATTACCATAGTTTTTCGGCAATTAATATGAGTGGCCTATATTCCTCTCCTTCGTGCGGGGGTTTCCGTTCTTACCAGGAATAAGAATTTTACCATGAAAGCCCGAACGATGCAGGCCTTGCAGTCGTCCTTGGTTCAACTTGGAAGGTAGCAGCGGCCCAAGCCTTTTCAAATCCACTATGGGAAACACGAAGGATTGATGGCAAGAACAAGGCCGAGGTGCACTCGGTCAGCACCGAGACGTGGTGCGGTTAAAGCAACCGCTAAATCTCTCCGGCGTTCGGCCGTTCTCTCCCCCATTGGTGATTGCTAGGCTCTAAGAGAGAAAACGCCGATGGTATGCCCGGGTTTGGTGGGGAAGGACATGGATAGCTGGGCAAGACTAGAAATTAAGCTTACATCTCTCTTTGTTGGTGAACCGATTTATCTTTTCCTCGCGCCATCCCAGCTTTCTAGAATTTCGTCCTTCTCTTCAGGGTTAGCGTTCTCATCGAGATCATGGAAAGAAATCTCAAGTTGGGCGTATGTTCGGGCCTTTCTCCACAACCTGGGGTTTGGCTTCTCTCTGCCTGGCGACGTCAGAGGCGCTGGCAATTAGGCCGACTGAATGCTGTGTCCGCAAGTATGGGTATGGGGGAGAGCGGGCACCCCGCGCAGTGGACGACGAATCTTGGAGGTCTGAACCCCTGGAAGCCCCGAGAGACGACCGAAGGAATGCGGGGAGGGCAGAGCCAGGTGGATCCCCATTTGGAAGGCGGTGGAAAAGAAAGAACGTTTGAAGCTTCAACGCCAACTTCCCTGCAGTCAAGTCATCGGCACCTTGCTTCTCTTGCCTGCCCGACTGAGTGGGAAGACGTCTGTGGGGACCCCAACCAAGCTTCAATTGTTGATCCCCACCTCGTGGCGAAAAGTCTGGTGCGGAAAGTGATCTGCAGCTTGCGGCCGGATGGGGCGCAGTGGTGTGTTGCCTTGATCGACTGGATGGGAATCATTACGTCGGCTTTTTTACAGTTCCCTGCAGAGCTGACAGGGACGATATTGGGGCGAACATGGGTAGCTCGACTTGCAGCTCGGATATGGGTAATAAGAGAGGTCTTATTTCTTAAGGCGGAATTGTAGCCGAGTCCGATTATGATGTCGGGAAGTGAAGCTATCTATATTATATCCCTTGCATCCCCCTTCCCATCACCAACTCTGGGATAGATCTGCCCAGCCCATTGGCTAATTGGACCCTTTGTAGCAAGAGGAGTTTGCTTGCTTGAAACGGGCAATTGAAGCCTTACACGACGTCCGAGCTTCAGCTTCCCGCACCGCAATGGCGTCAACAATCAACCGCCTGGCGGCGCTGCTTGCTGCCGTTCCTATTACACAGGCGCTCTATACCGACGGAAACATCGTCGTGCCTTGCGACTCACCCATATATTGCCATGGCGATCTCCTGAGAGAAGTGGAGCTTGCTCGGCCATTTTCCGACTCCAAGACCTTTGTCGACATGTAAGTAGATAGATGATATATAATTCAAACACCCCCCAAGCAACAGGCTTGCAGTTTAGCCTCCGACGCATGCATCAGCACATAGCAATTTCACTTACACCAACCCACCAGGCCCGGCAAGAAGCCCCTTGACGAAATCCTTGCAGCTTTCGAGAAGCTCGAGAAGCCTCTCAAGAATGACACCGTCCTCCAAGACTTCCTGTCCGAGTACTTCGCAGAGCCTGGCGGCGAGCTCGTCCACGTCCCGCCAGAAGAGCTCTCGACCGACCCAGCGTTCCTCGACGAGGTTAACGATACAGTCATTCGCGAGTTTGTCTCCAAGGTCATCGACATCTGGCCCGATCTAACTCGGTCCTATGTTGGCTCGGGGGAATGCTCGGACTGCCCCGACAGCTTCCTGCCGGTGAACCGCACCTTTGTCGTCGCGGGAGGTCGCTTCCGAGAGCCCTATTACTGGGACTCGTACTGGATCGTCGAGGGCCTGCTGCGCACCGGCGGCGACTTCGTCGACATCTCGAAGAACATTATCGAGAACTTTTTGGACTTTGTCAACGATTATGGTTTCGTACCGAACGGTGCGAGGAAGTATTATCTGAATAGGTCGCAGCCGCCATTGCTTTCGCAGATGGTCAAGGCCTATGTCCATTCCACAAACGACACGAGTATTTTGGATAGGGCCGTCCCTCTGCTTATCAAGGAACATGAGTTCTTCATAAATAACCGATCAGTCACGGTGACCGTTGGAAACAAGAGCTACACGCTAAACCAGTACGTCCGTCCCCATGCTCAATGCCAAGAAGACATTTCCTTCTCGGCCGCAAACCAACTCACACTTTTTTTCCATCTAGATACAACGTTGATAACAACCAGCCCCGACCCGAGTCTTTCCGCGAAGACTACATCACCGCCAACAACGCATCCTACTACGCCAAGTCCGGCATCATCTACCCCGAAGTCGAGAAGCTCACCGACGAGCAAAAAGCCCTCGTTTACAAGAACCTCGCCACCGGCGCCGAAAGCGGCTGGGACTACTCGAGCCGCTGGATCTCCCGCCCGCGCGACGCCGCCGACGACGTCTACTTTCCCCTGCGCTACCTGAACATTGTCGGCACCGTCCCCGTAGACCTCAACTCCATCCTCTATGGTAATGAGATTGCCATCGCGGAGCTCCTCGAAGCAACCGGCGATGAGGAATTGGCCAGGAAATGGCGCTCCAAGGCCGAGGATCGCAGCGCGGCCATGTACGCCACCATGTGGAACGAGACGCTAAACAGCTACTTCGACTTCAACCTCACCTCCAACGCGCAGAACATCTACGTCCCCGCCGACGACGACACCGCCGACTTCGAGAGATTCACGGCCCCCGAGGACGACCTGCAGGTCTCCTTCTCCGCGGCGCAGTTCTACCCGTTCTGGACGGGCGCCGCGCCGTCCCACCTCAAGGATAACCCTCTAGCCGTAAAACTCGCCTACGACCGCGTGGCCAGGTACCTTGACCTTCGCGCCGGCGGCATTCCCGCCACCAACTTCCGCACGGGCGAGCAGTGGGACCAGCCGAACGTGTGGCCCCCGCTCATTCACATCCTCATCTCCGGCCTCCTAAACACCCCGCCCACCTTTACGGACAAGGACCCGTCCTACCGCGCCACGCAGGACTTGGCCCTCTCCATCGCCCAACGATACCTCGACTCCACCTTCTGCACATGGTACGCCACGGGCGGGTCGACTTCCGAGACCCCGCAGCTGCCCGGCCTGACGGACGAGGATAAGGGCGTCATGTTTGAAAAGTACTCCGATGCGGCGATCAACCGCGTAGGGGGCGGTGGCGAGTACGAGGTCGTCGAGGGCTTTGGCTGGACGAACGGCGTGCTGATCTGGATTGTGGATACGTTTAAGAATGACTTGAGGAGGCCGGACTGTGGCGAAATCGAGGCTGCGAATGTTCATCCTGGGCGAAAGTTATGACGTTCGTTGGACGCGGAAGCAGGGGAGACGGAAATGGAAAAAGAACACCGGATGATTGCGATTCCGAGGTCTAAGGGTGAAAGAAACGCTGAGGTGGAAGAGGGATCCGAGAGTAAGAGGGAATGGTGGTGGGAGAAAAGAGAGTTGTGAGATATATATATCCTTATGTTGAGACTGAAATGTCCGTGCTCGGGAAGATTGCAACTATTAAGGGCTCTTGAAAGACCCCGGAGCTGAGCATGACGATGTTGACTACAATGAGATATGAGAACACGCAATTAATAACATTCGATCTAACGGATATCGATATGGTTTTCTGTTTCTTCATACCTATCTAAAGAGTCCTTGCCTAATACACTTTATTCGACATCGCCGTCTTCAATTCCCCTTTCAAAGTAATACAATGGCACCGATGCAATGCCCTTTTTTTCATCATCATAGAACCGAGTGATATTAAGTCCCCCGCCCATTCTCATCCCTCTTCACTCGATCTCCTCCATAGTCCACACGTTCACGCCATTCTCTTCAACCCTAGTCTTCAACTTCTGTAGTATAGCCTGCTTCTTCGCCCTCCGCTCCATCAACTCCTTCTTCTCCTCCTCCGAGAACCCGCTGAGTTTCTTCCTTATCGGCGTCCCGGAACCCTTGTACGGCGACACCGACGAAGCCAGCGAGTTGCGGAAATTGCGCGGCGTGCCGATGAGGGTACCGTCGGGGGAAATGACTGACGCCCTCTTGGGCGTCTTCGGCGTCATGGGCGTGCCCTCGCGGCTTGATACCGAGCTAGTGCGGAGCTTCCGCATCTGATTCTCGAGAACGTCGACATCGCCGCTACGCTTCTCGACCATGGTCGTCATCTTGGTAATTGTCCGCATGACGGCATCGACGGTAGGTGGCTGCGGTCCCTTGCCGGATGGACCTGCCACAGATGCGATTCTCGTCTTAAGAAGAGTGACAGCCTCCTCAGCCTCGGCGAGAAGCTTCGAGAGTTTGGCGAACTCGCGTCGTAAATCGTTTTGCTGGGCGGCCTGCTCAGCGCTGAGAGGCATGTTGCGGAACGCATCGGCTTGGTCTGGATCAAATCTTGCCAACATGAGCCCCAAGTCATTTTGCCTAGCTCTTAGCTTCGACATGCTGCGCAGGAGCTCGCTGCATTCGATCTTTTTGGCGTCGACATCCTGAACGCGACACTCTGCCAAATTTTCTGCCAAATCCCTATCAACGATGTCCGACAAGTCCTCGAGTTCGCAAAGCACCCAGTCATCTGCAATCTCAAGATCCTCCTTAGTTCGCGTCCCTGGTATAATCTTCTCCATGTGGCCCTGAACAAAGGCCCTTACCGCCCGGGCGTTTAGTCCGAGAGTATCAATCATCGAGTTGATATCGCGGTAAACGGCCTCGACTTGAGCAGGAATGCTGTCATGGGCCGGGGGGGCGACATCCGTGTGGGCCATGAACTGGTCAATCTCGAGTGTGCTTTCGACCTCCGACGCAAGGATGCGCTGGATTTCGTCTGCCTCTTCGTCCACAAGCGGTTGAGTTTCCTCAGCCTCACGTTTCTCTCGCAATTTCCTTTGTTGGAGTAGAATCGCTTCTTCTTCGGACGGGCCTCTTGCGACAATCGACATGCCAAGCGACGATGGAGGCTTTTTCGTGGTGCCAAGAATTTGAGAGGCCATACCGGGTGCACTGACGGATCGGGAGGCCTCAAGGCCGAAGGGACGGGTGGGACGAACTGGGCTGGGAGACCGGGGGCTCTGCCTCATAGGAGGAGGGGGGAATATCGGTCCTCTGCGGTTAATTTCTCCAAAAAGTGATCGGGGCGGTTCCTGCTGGGGCACGTTCACCATATATCCACTACCACCGAGGCCGCCTCCGAATGAGCTCTGCGGAGTCATTCCAGGGGTCTGGGTTAGTCCTGTAATGGATGGGCTAAGATCCTTAGCGACATCAACCGCGCTACCTTCTGACTCCTCCTCTTCTTCTTCCTCACTAAAATCGCTTTCCTCCTCCGGTTCTGGGACGGCTGGCACTGGAAGGGCCCGTTGCTGTGGTCGCTTGGGAAGGAAATCCGGCGGCAAGGGGGCTTCCTCTGGGGTTCCAAACAGTTTTGGCTTAGGTTTCTCGGTGACCGTCTTTAGCGGTGTAGTTATCGGCTCCGGAGGAAGAGGTGCTTCTTCCACAATAGTAGGACTAGGCTTCCTCGCACCGGGAACTTTGAGGAAGTCGGGTGGCAGGGGTGCCTCCTCGGCTGCTTTGGGTGCGGCCTTTTGCTTAGGAGTCGTAAGGAAGTCGGGGGGAAGCGGCGCTTCCTCGGCCTTAGTAGGGGATTGTTGCTCTGGTTCGGTGGCCGTCCCTGCGGATGAAGATGAATCTCCTAGTGGGTAGGCGGCTCTGCTGGTCGACTCTGGAGGGAGAGGGAGATCCTCGTTGTCAACCCTGATCTTTGGCAATTTGGCGGCAAACTTACTATCACCTGTGGCTGGCTCAGGGGTCTTAAACAGGCTGCCGAAGCTCGTGCTCGGAGGCTTAGCAGGGAGAGCTGTACCGAAGAGAGTCGTCTTCGGCGCGGAAGTCTCAAAGCTAAATCTCGTGGGTGCCGGGGTTGTCGTCGGTGTTGTCGACTGGATAGAGAATATGCTCTTGGGCTGGGGCGTAGGAGCTAGAGGCTCCGCTGCTTCCATCTCTTCCTCCTTGCTTGGCGGTACCGCCGCAGGTGGTGACGTGGTCTGTGTGGTTGCGCGGAGGGCAGACCCGAAAGAACTTCCAAGGCCACTGCCAAAGGGTCCACCACCTCCGCTTTCTGGCTTTTCATCAGCCTCATCCTTGGCCGTGTGGTCCGGCTTGAACGAGGTGTGAAGCTTGAAAGGCGTAGACGCACCAAAAAGACCAGGGCTGGGGACAGCCGTGCTTGGTTGCGGTGGAGGGAAAGCTGATGTGGTGTCAGTGGACTGCAGAAGACTGGTTTTCTCTGCCGCCTTGCTACCAAATATGCTAGTTCCACCCGTGGTTCCGGACGCGAGCGAGCCGAACCCACCTTTACTCGCAAAGCCCGCAAAGCCGCCGGTAGATGGCGCAGTAGACGGTGCTGCGCTTGGGCTGCCGAAGATACTCTTCGACGCACCTAACGTCGCGAAGCCTGACTGGCCAAAGGTTGGCGTCGTTGTGGACGTAGCTGCAGTACCCCAGGGGGATGTTTTCACCCCTACAGTCGAAGCAGCTCCAAAGGTAGAGGGCTGTCCGAAGGCAGGGGCCGCAGAACCGGGGGTACTCCCGAATGAGCTTGCTCCGAAGACGGGTGCGGATGGCTTTGGTGCCGTAGGGGTAGCTGGACTTGGAGCTCCCCATGGCGAAGGCTTCGCGCCAAGAGCGGAAGAGCCTCCAAATGCCGGGGCCGCAGGAGTGGACGATCCGAAGATAGACGTGCCGGCAGCGGTTGGAGTTGATAATGCAGGCGCCGGAGTCGGAGTCGGAGCCGGAGCGGAAGTATCTACAGTTGCCATACCTGGATAGGTAGTACCCCCTTTGATAGATTCGGAGTATATTACCCACCACGCAGAGAGAATACCATCATGTGTGAGAACCCAGTAGCCCGGAACTGGGCCGGGTGATTCATCAATTTCTTCTGAAGGGATTGGCTTATATACCGTATCCTTGGCCGACAGGTCAAGGGCGCAGCCCACCGGAATCGCATTTTGGAAGTCCTCCGTCATTGGGAGGCCTGCCCGTCTCGAGTCGTCTGCCATTTCTGTCATCGTAAAAACGTTTGTAATGGCATCCGCGGGCTTGTCTGTCGCTAGTGGAGTCTTTGACCGGCTCAGGAGACCAACGTCGGGGGATGCAGTTGATGTCACGATCAGGAGGTCTTGGAGGTTTGGGGGGAAATCTTTCAGTCTCAGAATAGAGTGATGCGGCACTTTGTCAGAGCCGAAGGGATCAACTGGATCCCCAATTTTTTGGAATGTGTATGTCGCGGGAGGGGTTCTGGTTATTATGTGATAGACGGAAGAAGGAGGCGACTCGTTTGTCGAGGTATGGATAGCTAAGAAGAGGTGGTTTTCGAGCCACACAAGAGTAGACACTTCGGTGATGGTTAGCAAATCATCCAGCAAAACGGACTAGAATGCAAATAACAAAAAGCGAAAAGGTAGAGCTTACCGTGATAGTCACCAACATCAGGAGGCTTAGGAATCTGGGCCTTGACTTCGCCTTCGGGCGTCATCTGGAAGATAGTTCCGTCCGCCAAACCAGCCACTAGCTGCTTTCCCTTGGTACTCCAGCTGACACTACTGACTTGAGTCTTTAAGGGGTTGCTGAGGGCGCGTTCCATCAGATTCGCCATGTATAGATTTCCGTTGACATCAACGACGGCGCAAAGCTCCGCTTTTTCAGTGGTGGGGTTCGGAAGTAGGACTCGTAAGGAGGTTCCGTTCGTACCCAGCTCGAACAGGGGTTGGGTATTTCCTTGGAGTAGCGCTTGCACGTCGTACACGGCGAGTCCGCCACCGGATTCGGCAGACAATACTAGGTATGCTTCGTCGGCGGTAAAAGCGAGCTGAGAAACGCGCATAGAGAGCGGGAGCTTGAGTTGCGGCTCGAAGCTGCGAATATCAGATTCGCCCTCCTTCGGAGCTTCGAAGGCCTTTCGAACAGATTCGGTGGATGCCAATATGACTCCTTCTGGTCCCGCGGCCGCAACTAGACCTTTTCGCGAGGCAATGCTGAGAATGGAGGCAGTCGCGGAAGGTTCAGAGCTCCAGGCCGAGGTGAGGCGAACCCTGGCGTCTGATGCAATAGAACGGAAGCCGAGAGACTATGAGACAAAGACACGTGTGTTAGCATTGACAGTACCACTAAGGAGAGGCGAGAGAGGAGGAATCATGTCCGCGATCACAGACGACGCACTTACATCCGTTTGAATGACCTCAAGCTCGGGACCTGCGCCGCCGGCCGATGACGAGTTGTTCGCCATCGCGCCAGCGGAGCTCCCAAAGCTGAAAGCCATGGTAAAATGGCGCTAGGAAAGCTGTTCGGGTAGTAGCTTGATTCTGCGATAGCTTAACCTGCATCCGTTGTTGGATATCGCGTAGCGGGTAATCGAAAGGTGGAAGTGCGTGATTCGAGATGAAGATTGGAAGGTGAGAGATCTCGGTCAAGGTCGCGAGTGGTGAGCTCTGAAAAGGAGGAATTAAAATACCATGAGGGTCGTAAATTCTCGGGATAGAATGGGAGACACACTCGAGACTTATATATCGTGATAAGTCGCGTTATGTTAGGTTTAAGGAAGGAACGCAGGTGGCTGCCTTGCCTGCCTGATAGCTTTCTGCTCTTGGATGGACATCTACAAAATATTGATCGAGCTCTGATGGATCCCAGATTTCGAGTGTTTCACGTGACTTGGGCCCACTTTCTTGGTGGTTGACCGAGGCCCTTGATAAGCGTCCGGAAGGGTGTCTCGAGGATACGCGAATATATACAACTTCAGACAAAACCCCGATCAGCTTATTCATGGGGTATCTGACTTTTCAAATTGGTGGAGAATATTGAGAAGGCAGCTCCAAAAGCAGCCCTCTTAGGCAGATTTGTATGCTCTTGTATGCTCATAGGCGGTCTGAGACTTCAGATTGGGACTCAAAACACAGCCTCTGGCTTCGTAAACACAGCGCCGTAATTCACCTAGAAGATGGAGTGTGGAATGAGCTTAGGAGGAAGAGGAGCAGGTTGTATCCAGGAGCTTTGAGCTTGAGAAATACAGATACTCGTAGCTATCTTCGCCGGCTTTCCAAGACAAGACTTGGATAGCTTAGCTGAGTCAGCAATCATGTGAGAAGCTGGGACCACAAGCACCTCTTCAGCAACTCCAATCACAGCTACGCAGCGCGTCTGGGTGCCTTGCATTGCTGAGGTCTGCGAAGGCAGCTCTGAGCCTCGTCATCTCGATTTCCAGTTACCTTTGCCAAACAAGACCTCCCACCGAACGACCCAATCTATTGACCACGACTTCCTGCCCTGTCCCTCAGCATAACCCCCCAAAGCTGTGGATAGAATACTACGATTGAATAATCCCATATCGATAGACACAGTTTCTCAATTGCGTCGTCTAGAGACCATCCACCGTTAGCAACCTACCACAGAGCAGCAGTCAAGATGCCCGGTTTCGACTTCACAAACTACAATCGAAATGCTGCCTTACACGCCCGCGGCGTTCCTCTCCCAAAGGCGACGAGCACCGGTACCACTATTGTAGGATGTATTTTTGATGGTGGTGTAGTGGTATGTCCTCGAAAGCTTATCCAGCAAGCTTGGCCCTGCCCAACCTCTCTTCTTCCCAGGACTAACTCGTATCTCTCGTCGCTTTCTAGATCGCAGCAGACACAAGGGCCACCAGCGGCCCCATAGTAGCGGACAAGAACTGCGAAAAGCTCCACTACATCGCCCCTCAGATCTGGTGCGCCGGCGCCGGAACAGCCGCCGACACCGAATTCACCACTGCCATCATCTCCTCCAACCTCGAGCTGCACTCCCTCTCGACCGGCCGCAAGCCCCGCGTCGTCACCTGCATGACCATGCTCAAGCAGCACCTCTTCCGATACCAGGGCTACATCGGCGCCTACCTCGTCGTCGCCGGTGTCGATCCCACGGGCACCCACCTCTTCACCGTCCACGCTCACGGCAGCACCGATAAGCTCCCCTACGTAACCATGGGTTCCGGCTCCCTGGCCGCCATGTCTGTCTTTGAGACGAAGTGGAAGGGAGATCTCACTCGTGATGAGGCCGTAGAGCTTTGTAGCGAGGCTATTCTCGCGGGTATTTTCAACGATTTGGGTTCCGGCTCCAATGTCGATGTCGCCATCATCACCAAGGACAAAACCACTCTCAAGCGAGGCTACGTCAAGCCCAACGAGAGGACCGCCAAGACTCAGAGCTACAAGTTCCCCGTTGGCACCACGGCTGTCTTGAACGAGAAGATTATCCGAAAGGGCGACATTGGGCGGTATGTTGATATCCAGGAGCTGCCGGTCGAGGGTGAGGGCGAGAAGATGGATGTGGACTCGTGAACATGCCACGGGAAAGAAAAGGGGGATATGGGATCTGCGGAACGGAGCGATAGGGGTCTATTATTGTAACAACACATAGTACAGCAATAGATGAGAGCTGCCACGCCTATGTTTATTGCGCAAATATGTGTTTGATACGTATTCTCCCCTTTTGAACTCACGAAGAACATGAGTGAAACCATCAACTTTCATTCCGGTCTGTGGTGAAAGATCCAGTTCAAGAACGAATCTGTGGAATTTAAGGTCACTTAATGGCGGCGCACAAGATAGTCGATGAGGGATGTTCAGCTTTGCATGTTGAATAGAGCTGCGCTTCATAGGGCGCATCTGCAGAATACTCTAGCTTTTCAAGGCTTACTCTCCTTGTTGCGTTATTTCCACACGCGCACATTGCGTCTATAAACCGAATTCCTCCCTCCTCGTTCACAAGGAGAGCCCGAAGTTGATAACCAGATCGTGAGCGTGCCATAACTCCGAGGAATAATACCACGTCCTCATGCCAATGTACGCCTCTTCCTTCTCGTATTAACTTAAAATATAATATTGGGGAATAGAAACATGACAAAAGGGCCATGGACAGGATGTAAAATGTGCTAGGTGAAGTGATGAAAAAAAAAAAAAAAAAAAAAGATGTCTCTGATCTCCTAAACTCCGAGTCATGCAGAAAATTAAGAATGATGGTCGCTGATGATGTCGTTGGCTACAAGTCGTTATCGTCGTCGAGAAAGGGCAAATTTGAAGCACGGCTCTATTGTGTTAAGAGTTGGACTTTAGGCGGAAGAGTCCTCTTGTACGGGACTTGCTCCGGTTCTTGATGGACTTGGTATCAGACTTGGAGTCCTTGTCATCATCGTCGTCATACTTTGACTTGTGGATCCTATGTAAACATAGGCGAGTCAGTGATTGTCTTCTCAAAGGCGAAAACTGGGCACGGAAGACAGGGTAACTCACCAGCTATTGCCCACCATGCTCATGCCCTTGGCCTCAGCCATTCGGTAAAATTTGGCACTCTTCTTTAGGTCTTTCTTGCATCCAATACCTTGGGCGTAACAAAAGCCAGCTTCAGCGAGTGCATCAACATCACCCCAAGCTATCAAGCATGAGAATTAGTTCGGAAACGCGTATATACAGCTTGGAGGTAGAAAAACTTACATCCGGCAATCTCGAAGCATCGCAAGGCCAATACTCGGTCTTGCTCAATGCCCCAGCCGTTCATATGACTTACTCCAAGTTCGTAGATACTCAGAGCAAACTGGGCCTTTCTGGTCCGGCGTCCGACGACGTCGACATGCTTCCCTTCCTTCTCTTGATCTTCGTCGTCAGCGATTTCCAGACTAGCATATTCAGCGGCCTTGCGTAGCCATTCAACGCCTTCTCGCTCATTGACCTTCATGCCCCAGCCATGGCGGCAGGCAAGTGCGTAAAGAAGCATTGCTGTGGGGAGGTGTTGCCTAGCAGCCAATCGAAGGTGGTAGGTTGACTCGCTTAGGGAGCCGTTTTCGTGGCACTCGATACCCTTCGCAAGATGTTCCTCTGCCGTCATTTCAGATGCAGATGGTACGGCGCCATGTGCCGAACGGCCCGCCTTGATCGTGCTGGCAGAATCGCTGGTGGAAATGGACATGGTCGTTGCCCCCCGCATCTTGTCGTGGACGGGGGACGTAAGTGCTCTGCCCCGCGGATCATCTTCAGAAGATCGTCCTTCATCCGTGGACGGACGACTGGGATTAGGTGAAGGCTGCGGTGCGGGGCCAATTCCAGCGTTATGGTCTAGAGACGGGCCTCGGACACTATAACCGCCAGAGAGATCCTTGTTAGACGGACTTGATGCCCGGATCGGTGGCGAAGGTGGTGCGCCAGGGATAGAATGCGGCATGCTACTTGATGGGGCCATAGGTTGATCCCAGACGAAGGCACTTTTGTTTTGATTATCGGAGAGGTTGGACCGGTGGAGGGCCTTGCCACGAGGAAGCGTGAATTTCGAATAGATGTATGAAGGGGCTGCTGCCTTGCTGTCATCGTGGCCCTCGAAAGTTTCGCTGCTAATGCTGTGTGGGGTGCTCACACCCTCTTCGGCCGCCGTGGGGGTTGAGTAAGTGTCGAGAGAAGTTTTTCTCATGGTGAAGTCTAGACCGGGGGTGCCGGCCCTACTTAGAGGTCTCGAAAAATTGAAGGACGGCCGGGGGAGAGGTGCTGATCGCTCTGACGCTATCGAAGGAGATCGCTGGGCATGTGGTAAGGCTGGCGAGGCCGCTTGGGAGTTGGAAATACCGCTCCCACTAGACAATTTCCTAGGGGGTAGGGAATGAAATGAGCTCGACATCACACCCTCCTCGTCTGTAGGCTCAAGCGGCGACGACGCCGCACTCGAAGGACGGTTGTGGAACGCAGGCCTTGGCGGAGCGAGTCCTAGTGGTTCAAGGGCCCCTACGTGCTGCCGCGTGTGGCGTTCCGGAGAAGGTACGGTAGGAAGAGGGCTGCTTTCTGAGGCGGAACTAGGGCCATGTTTGCCGGGGGACGTGTGAAAGTGTTCTCGCACAGGAGAGGATTCGTCGATGGGAGACGGCGATTCCATTCGCTGGGCGCCGAATGCTGACGTTGTCTGATCTATTCCGTTCATGTCCTGCTCACGGCTCATCTCACGGGTCAACGGGGGGACGGGGATGTCATCGCAAGGAGTAGGCGGGATGCGGCTCATGCGCGGGTGCATAGAGACGGGCCTTTTGTCGCCGAAGGCATCCTCGATCTCGGTTCGCAAGCCTAGTCCGTCGTTGAATTGTTCAGATTGATTGCTCTGGTCAGACGAGGCAGAGTCTTGGGACATTGAACGGAAATATTCAGACCGGCCTTGCACAACCAAAGGACTATCTGTGGTAAGGGGAGGCAATCTGCTCATGCGGCGACCAGCCTTTCTCCCAGAGTCTTCAAGCTGTTTTGCCAAAAGTCGGCTTTGCAAGGCAAAGGCATCGAGAGGTGATAATTCGGGGGGTACCTCTCCGGCAACATGGAGCCTCGGTGACCGAAGCGGCGGCCGGGAGGAGGTCCGCGAAGTTGCCCGAAGGTCGAGAGGACCTGGCGGCGGGACCATGGTGTCGGGAATTAGAAACCTAGGAGTTAACCAAGACCAGGTGCTTCCTCTGAGTGAGCACAGCTTATGTCGAGCGTCTGAACAATGCCAAACTCCCTTCGACTTCGAGCCTTCCTCTTGGAACTAGGCGATTCAAGGCTCCCGAGTGCGCAGGGGCATGCACGATGCAAGATTGGCGAAATGGGAGTAGTGGTGGTAAAGGGCGAGGCCAGGCTGATAGATCAAGGTTGGTCGGCCGTGAGTGACAACTTGGAGCCCAATCCTGAAGGTTCCAGATACGCTGTTAGTCGTGGACAACGCACAACCCCGACCAGCACTAAAGGAATAGATATTGGCGAAACGGTTGGCGTGATTAGATGGCGAGATGGCAGTTAGTCTGCTTAGACGTTCGGTCGATCGGTGGGCGCATAAATCGATCGGTTTCTGTCAAACCCATAGGAAGCGACAGTAATGGATGGGTGGGAGAATGCGCGGAGAGAAAGAGGTGCCGGATCGACCTGGGAGTTAAGGAGGCGAATGGCGTATGCTAGCCTAACGAGCGGATCGATGTTGATGCTTCGGAATGCAAACTCTGCTGATTTTAAATTCTACAAATCTCTAAAACCCCAGAAAGGCCAGATTTGTGACGAGAATCCAACGAGTCACTTGCTGTCACCGACTGCAAAAAATGGTGTTGAGGATTCGCTTCAGGCAATAAAGGCGAGGAAAGCCCGATGTGATCAATGTCAATTAGAGGAGTGGAATGTGAAAGAGACACCCCCTTTGAGCTGGTTCTGTACCACGAAATAGCTCGAGGATCCAAGCAGGAGCCAAGATTCGACGTGACGATCGAGTGTCGAGGAGAGGAAGAATAAAACGAGAGTATGGAAAACAGCGACGGACGACGACGGAGCGAATGCGACAGTGGTGCGATGGGCGACGGATGGAAAGATTAGATGAAGTTTGGGGTCTGGTGTTAGTTGTTAGCGCACCGGGACTGTCCTCCAAAGTCAGTCCAGTCAGTCCAGTCAAGGGAGGAAGGTACGTTTTGGGAGTTCCTCCGCATGCGTCGTAGCACTTAAGCACAGTGTTACTAGTTTGAGGACGGGGCCAATTACAGCCACCGAACGGAAGCCAGTGGATGCCCAGGAAGCTAAAAATGTCCTTATTATTGGCAACAAGCCCACTTGAATTCCCACCTTGGCCTGTTTGCACGGATTTAGTGAAAGGGGCGTGGTACAAGTCAGGGGTGTCGGGAGGCATGAAGTGTGGATCAATGAGAGATTCAGGTACTTATGTGAACTTGGTTTGACACGCAACAAGATGTCTATTGCTGTGGGGCAGCACCCATTTTACTGTACTTCTGAGGTACTTGGTACCTAGATCATGATTTTCTCTCGATCTGTCAATGTAGTGGGAGTATGAGGGAGACTTGTCTCTTTTTTACTCCTGAGTCCACCATCGCCCATAGTGTCAGGCAATTGGACCACTTCGTACCAGGGAGGTGTCTTCACAAATGCGCTCCCGTATTAGCGTATGTACCACCGTTTATGGTATGTACCCCGTATTTCCACCCCAGAATCACAGGGAACAGACCTTCGAATCGAAGCCACGAGACGCGACCAATTTCTGGAAGCAAAGATCGATGCCATTCCTTCTTCTCCGTTGCACACCTCTCATGACATCTGGCCGACTCCACTGAAGGGAGAGCGCGCTGAATGTTGCCCTGAACTCTAAGAAACAGGTATTAGTAGAAACCCATTATTGACGATGAATAATCTCAGGGCGAGCCAGTGAAATGAATGCAAGTGCTTGCGTCCGCGAATGTGGCTTGGATAGAGGCAGATCGAGATGTCTGAAGAAGCCCATTCGCTCAACAGGATTCAAGCCCCTCCATGAAGTAGCATTAAACTCATCAATCACAATCACAAGCTTAAACTGCCTCCAAATCTGCTTCGTAAGTTCAGGCGCGAAGTGCAAGCCTCGAAGGAATCGGCTACGCCTCAAAGACGACTAAAGCCACCAAAACCTAATCCCCACAGCAGGAAACGGCATCTGCTCAACAGACGAACAGACCCGAATCGCGGTCCCTTCCTGAATCTTCAGGAAAAGGAGTCCGAGGCACGCTACCTGCGTACCCTGTGGTGTAGCAATGGGCAAAGAAGCTAATATTTCGCGCGCTAATTCTCAGACCGCATGAAATCCCCGGAAAAGTGAAATTACTGGAGATATCATTGGCACATTGGAGTTCAGTATCCTTGCCAAATTGTACACGGCAAAGTACTTGTACTTACTTTACTTCCAACGGCCGGACCGGTTATTCGACCAGGCCCAGAGGTAAGTGCAGTGCAGCATGCATTCGAGGATGGCGCCCGTTCAAGGCCCACTAACGGAGATGTTCCTGCCAAGACCTTCCACGAAACATTGCTCCCGGGTATTTCACACCACCAAAGCCCAAAGTTGTTGTTTGGAGACATGTCCGGTTGCGCACCCATACGCAGGACGAAGTAAGCGGGAATGAGTGTCAAAGACAAGTCTCGAAGCCTCCCGGTAATGGAAATTGTAACACGCTCCAACATCCCTGCATCGATATCATCTTTTATCCTTTTGGTTGCTCAACAAGTCAGAGAGGCAACCAGGCCGAAAACAGGGGTAAAGGGGACAAGACACAGCGTTGGACATCTGATGGGTGGGATCAGAGGACGAAATTTGTCTCGGTCATGGTTGTGGTATTATTGTGCTTCATAATATTACTACGAGGCATCCATTGAGGTGTAAGAAGCACGAAGTAATATTACTTCCAATTACTTGGGACAGATGACTGACTTGAACCCCTGACCGACTCCGTCCAGATGCGTCCCTTTTTCGCCGCTAGCTTCCCGTTGCTGCATGGCGCAGGTACCAGTTCAAGGTTCACCTGACATAGGAACAAAATGGGTTATCTAAGCACAGTTAGCCTTGCTTCAAAGTTCATACTGTATCAATAGACTCTTACCCCTGGAGACAACACTCAACGGAAGTAATGAATACCACTATCATTTGGTCAGCTCCAATAGATACGATAATACGACCTGCACTACACTGCACTAACGTGACAACGTGATCAATTGATCTTTTTCGCTTTTTCGGATTGCTTGCGGGCATAAATGGCAAGCCGAGGATATCACATTTCCTAAAAGGCACGAGAAGGTTTCGTCGCTTGTTGCTTCGAACCCTAGGAGAAACTCAGGGCAAGGTTCCAAAACAGTCTGAGACTCCTTTGTGGAGAGCTCCTCACACCACCATCCAAGACATTCTCGCACGTCAGAGGCTGTTTCCTCAGTTTGCCATTGAAGTGGAGAGCTTTCCCTTGGTTTGGGCCCTCAAGAAGGGGTTACGAGATGTTTCAGATCGCCCAGATGCATCAACAACTCCCTTGCAGAGCGAGTGCCTGTGAGGACCGTGTTCTTGGTGAGCGTTGTATATGACGCATTGATAAATTCCACATTTTGACGCTAGGCACAACATCTTCCAACTACCGATTGGACCGGGAGGTGACGTGCTCGAAGAACAACCTAAATCCATAAATTGATGAAGACAAAATGGTTTATCTTCCAGGAAAGAGAGAAATGAGTCGATGTTAGCCGAACCATCGAGGGCCAGTGTTGTCAGGAATGCACCTCATTTCCCCCCGGTCATCTATGATAATGTCTCATCTCCGGCGTTAATATTACGGACCGCTCCGCAGAAAAAAAAAAGTGAAGGTGTTCGGCTAATATATTAATATCATTCAAACAGCTATAATGCGCGAGCAAACATTTACAAGAACTTAGCTGTAGCATGGACAATTGGGCAACAAGGTAGTGGAGCTTCTCCATAGTGAAAGCTTGCGCTATACGAAGTACAACTTCAATATATCAAGATCGGGCCGGGAACTGCGCCGAAAGATATCTCGTTCGATGGCCTGCATTCCTATGAATACTAACTTATGTATGAATACCGTGAGCAGTCGTTGAAAGCAACTCGTAGTTGTCCGGTTCTTCCCTAAGTTGTCCTTGACACGCCGCAAGGCTCCACCATTATGATCAGCACCCATGCGACAACGAGCACATCACAATTTTAGGACAGTCTGCATGAACTGTCTACGACGTGGTGTTGGCCGACTTTGATTCCCTGCGTTTTTCATTTATGAAGAAAAAGATACTGAAGACTCCCAAAATATATCCATGAACTCCAGATGCCAATGCCAACAACAGAACCCATATACACGAGTCGATCCCATCACCAAAGCGGGGGAGTGTAGTGTACAGTCAAATCCATAAAAAACAGGCCCAGCGATATCCAGCTTTATTAGGACCTTCCTTCCTCCCAATCAAATTGTCTCCTGTCGTTCATTCCCTCAGTTCTCCTTTGATCGCAGCTTCTTGAGCCTGGTGGCACCCTCAAATAGGCCTCGGTCAACTGCCGCGGCAACGGTTAAAGTGCCTCCAATAACGGCACACAAACCAGTCAGGAATCCGGTAAATGTTTTGCTCTTCTGCTCTCGGTTAATGACCTTCATGGGAGAGATATCCTACAACGTAGCGTTAGTAACTGTAAAAACCTCGCAGATCAGAGTAAAGATGTTCTATGGCTTACATAGGAAAAGAAGACGCCTGGAATTCCACCCTTGGCATGGAATTTCTCCTCATGGTCTTCGTCGTTTCCTCCGCTTAGACTACGCTTGTGAATAGTAACGGAATACTGGTGGGTCTCGACACTTCCATCGCCAGCGGCTCCCAAGGCACCGAGGCTGGCACTGTCTCCCTGAATGATGTTGCGGACCTTTTTCTCCCAACCAAGTGGCAAGTAAGAAGTTGGCACAATCTTGACAAAGTACATGAAGTTGAAATTCGAGTCGCTGGTGTCCTGGCGAGTACCGTCGAGAGGATTTAGGTGATGGTTAGTCCAAGGCAGCGCGTTCGGGCCAAGCTTCCTCGTGACGTCCTCCGGCAGCTGGGGGCCGAATCGAAGGGAGTGAATGATGTGGGTGAAGTCGTGCTTGACATTGTTCGGGCCAGGCTCCCAGTAGTTCTTGAGGTCGTGAACATGGTGGTGGCCGTTGCTGAAGCTTCGACCGGGGGCAAGGTGGAAGTTTCCTATAACCTTGTTGACCCGGAGAGCGCCTTCGATGCGGCAGCCTTCCGCCTTCTGTTCCATCAGCTTCTCGGAATAGTGCTCGCGCTCACACTGCTCGACGTTCTCCCCGCTACCAAAGGCCCAGCCAGCCCGAGCGTACGCCTCCCTGACCTCCTCGCAAGTGTTGCAGCAGCCCTTCTTTTGCGCATTGGGCGGCGCGTCGGCACCGTAGCACCCGCCACAGTAGTTGGGGTCGAGATGGATAGCTACCTCATTCTCGTTACGACTGCCGTCAAGGTTGTAAGCCCATGTTCGGCTCCGGTGGCATGAAGAGTAAGTTCAGGGGACCATGAACTTACAGCGCCTTGACATCGATCACGCCGCCACCCTCAGAGCTGGGTCGCAGACGGACTTTATTAATGCCGTGCATGATGCCATGCTGCTGTTCGCCAGAGACGTCCATCACGTCGAGGGTGAGAAGCTCGCACGGGACCTTGGGGAAGGTTACGTTCAGGTGGATTTCCATGCGCTCGCCTAATTGGTATGGCAAGTTAGCTCCCAACCTTGCAACTAAGGAGTATCAGCGATGGTTGCTTACCTCTTCCCTTGTCAACAATCAGCTCCGGTTGGATGATTATCGTGCGGTAGTCCCTCCATTCTCCCCAGGCCAAGTATAAGACGATGATGAGTGATACTATGGTGACAATACCACCAGAGGTTGTCCTAATCCTAGCCTCATCCACCGTTTTCGTGAAGGCATCAAGCCTTGTGAACCGCGATTTCGGCGCCATCGTGAGGGAGCGAGAGAGGGCGGGGGATCAAACCACCCTCCAGAGTCGCAAGAAGTCAGGCGGGAAATATGCTGTCGGCGAGCTTCAGCGCAACTAGAAAAAACAGGATGGAGAATGATTGAAATCTAATGAGCTGTTCAAGGCCAATACTAGGAGATTGGCATTGAAGGATGCCCCCAATTGCAGGCGGTGTTTCGCAGGAATGGAGATGAGAGTTGGCAGTTGAGATCGGGTTGGCAATGAAATTTGTGGCCAGAATTCGCTTTGGACACTTTGGCAGGTAAGGCTGGACCTGGGCCTTGCGTCAGCTGGGCGGCTGGTCCCCTGCAAACCGGTCTCAAGGTCCGTCTCGGTTCCTGGGCGATTGCGTAAACTAAACTACTTTGGTACTTCATGGTACGGTTTACTCCATATGCAATGATTGGCCCTCGGAAAATCCTCGTTTGAGCCCAGCCCAGCTCCAAAGCATCCAAGCTCCAAGGCTGGGAGGAACAAATGAACAGTGAAGCTCGATTCACTCTCATTGGTTATCAGCATCAGTTTTCAACTTCTCACCTTGTCAATCCCAAGGCTGACCAGTTCACATTCCAACTTCATCCCCAAATCCACTTGAAGATCCTCAGTAAATTTCTCCCAATACCAGCAACAACATCACTACAGTACTCCATTACCATATTTGACGCCATTGACATTCATAGATTGGCCACTATACATTCTTTTGTTCTCTCGCACTCTTGCTCTCACCTTTCCGTGCTGTGCCTGTATCTTTTTTTTTTCCTGAGCATAGAGACACTCTGCACTTACCATGTCCACCAAACCGCCCTCCCGTGTTGTCTTCGTAGGCAACATCCCATATGGTACACCCATCTTTTCTGACGACCTATGAGGCATGGGAATTCTGCTAATTTTACCCAGACCTCTCCGAGGAACAGATCATTGAGATCTTCAGCAGCGCAGGAAAGGTGCTTAACTTTCGCCTTGTCTACGACCGGGAAACGGGACGACCTAAGGGCTTTGGATTCGCCGAGTACCCCGACGCAGGTATGGGTTATCGCAATATGTTTGCTTACCCTTTTATGAAGTCCCAAATCATTCTCTAACCATCCATACCTTGTCTTAGACTCCGCATCCTCCGCTGTTCGTAACCTCCACAACTTCGAGATCAAGGGTCGGCGACTAAGGGTAGACTTCTCCAACGAAGGAGGAGCCGACGACGAAGACGGCGAGAACGTATGTGCATGTGCACCAGATCCCTATATTTTCAGGAAGTGGACTTGGCTAATATGCTAACCATTGACCAGCCATCTGGAGTTCCTTCCAGCAGTGCTTATCAATCGAACGGCATGGGCGGCCTCGCCCCCCAATCTCAAGGCGCCTCCCTCCCGCCTCTGCCCGCTGGAAAAGACCTACCGCCCGGCGTCACATGTACCGATGCGATTTCGAGAACACTTAACACTCTTCCTCCCGCGCAACTTCTCGACATTCTAACCCAGATGAAAGTCTTGGCGACGACCGAACCCAATCGAGCGACAGAGCTCCTTCAGCAAGCTCCTCAGTTATCATACGCCGTCTTCCAAGCTCTCCTCCTCATGAACTTAGTCTCCCCAGAGGCCATCTCCTCTGTGATCGATGCGGGAGCGGCGCCTCCTGTGCCGCCGCAGCAGGCACCTCCCCTTGGTTATCCTCACCCTCAACAGCCTGTCACCGGCTATCCAGGTGTGACTAGTCCCATCGCAACGAATACTCCCCCGACAGCGGCTGCTCCATATGCCCCACCCCCGCCCGTCGCGCAGCCCACCTATGGGGCGCCGGCACCTGCAGCTCCCGCTCCTGGCCAAGACCCGGATGCTCTGATGCGTGCGGTTATGGACCTCCCACAAGCTACTATTGACGCCTTGCCCGAGGCCGAACGAGCGCAAATTCTTGCCCTGCGAGCCGGTTTCATGTCGCAGCGCCGTTAGAGGAGGGGTAGTCTTAGTATCCCGGCGTGGAAGTGGAATCATGACGTGGGCGTTACATCAATGAGGGGAGGCCAATGGTTAAGGCTCAGTTTGGTGTGAGGATGGGAAAATATTACCAAGATACCCAGGTTAGAAACGAATTTCGGAATGGCACGTATAACGGTTCCCTAGCACTATTACCTAGCCCTGATGCCAGTGCATAACCTACGCGGCAGCTCGCTTCTTAGGCATCCGGTCTACGGATTGCCTACAAGTCCAATGTCTCTCTCAAATCCCAAGGAACATTGATGTTGCGTGGCCGGGGATTCTCCAGAAAGCCGCCCATCGCCAAGTCGCTCCTTCCTTCTCACATGCCACCCCTAAACCCACCCTCCGCTCCTTCCGCCAACTTCACACCGTCCCCCAAAAGCCTGCTTATGTGTTATATATCATAATCATGCCCCGGTTTATCACCAGCAGCCGATGGCCCGATGGTCAGAGGACGCAGCGAGGAAGCGAAGGGAGCAGGAAACTGAGTTCGAGCCCTGACGAGGGCGAAAACTTTAGGGGCCGATCCACGAGCGACCGCGGGTGCCCAGGGGTCGAGTAAACAAATTCCTGTGCTAAAGAAGATCCCCATCCCTTAGGGTGATTCCAGGGTGGTTCTGCAGGCGCGCAAGTCCCGACGGGGTAACAAGGGCGACAAGGTATTTTTTTGGGGTATTAATTCCTTTTTTTTTTTATCTTTTGTTAAAGGGGTTGGCATGAAGTTGGAATTTGAAGTCACGATCAAATCCTCCACTACCCACGGTCCGGATTTCGATATATCTATGAAATTAATAGTTATTTGGTCTCGTAGCACCTCCTCTCCCACCTGTCTACGGAGTTCCTTATTCCTACTCGGTACAGCACTGCACATTCTGCATAGATCATTATGGATGGACGAGACGTGACAGCAGGGCTCTTCACAACATTTATCACGAAGGCTACTCCAGCGTGCTATAGGCATGTGTCGTAACCAGCAAGGGTGCCGAGCCGGGTTTGTTCGGGGTGGATTCGGAGGTGAGAACATCTCCGTAAAGGACGAGGGGGATCTTTCTGTTGAATTGGGAGGCGAAGAAGTGGACAGTTTCAGTGTCGATGGGGATGCTGGGCAAGCTTTATCTTGTTCGAGGGCGGATTGTTATCAGATCGGCGGGGGGGTTCGTAACGATTGCTTATCACCGTGTCGATGAGGTCAACGGCCTGCTTGGGAGAATGGGAGAGAAAAGAAGAAGAAGAAATCAATCACGAGTATCCTCATTCTAAAAGAAAGCCAACAATATACGCAAGTTTGGATGCCGATCAATGTTGTCTACTTTAAGTCTCTGTGAATTCTAATCTCAACACTCAAGCCCCTACCCCTACGGCTCTTTCGGTTCCTCTCTCGCTCACCTCTATGCATCACCCCCCTTGCTTCGATATTTCGATAAGCATCTCCCTCATGGGTTCAGTGTTCCCCACCAACCCGGCGCCAAGACTGGGGTTACAGTCCTCATCTGCGGGCACCCACAGTTCGGATCCACGTCATTCGTGGGGGGTATCACCAACGACGCAGCCCTCGAGAACTTGTGGGGTCATTGGCGGCATACTGTATAATCGTCGACGGCCGGGGGGGTTTCTTGGAGATGTCGTAAAGTCTAGAAAAAGAACATGATTTGTTCCGCAGACACCTACGGGGGTGGATGCCACAGCTAAGAAGAAGGTTCTGTGCATGCCGCTGTCGCGGGCTGAGGCGCTCTGATTGAAGTCCTTCGAGGGAATCGGAAGAGCCCATGCGAGATCCGCGTCGTATCCTTAGAACCTCTAGCGAACTAGGCCGTGGGGTGAACTCAACGAACTACAATAGGGCCATCGGCGCCGATGCGCGGATAACGTAGTCCTCTGGCCATGCAATACTTGATATCCTGGGACGTCTTACAGGCAGTGGCTATGTATGAGGAAACGGCTTATAGCTCCCAACTACCTTCTTGAATGTAGGGGAGAGAGAAGCGTCCTCCAGCAGCTCCACCAACACTATTATAGCCATGGTAGGTCCTGCCGAGGACACACACTATATTAATCCTACACTCAATCGGTGCTGTGGAGGCAGCTCAAAATCGAGTGAGTTCGCAAGTGGAGGACAAATCCCTTTTCCGGAACCGCATCATGGGAACAACTTGGGCACCAACAGAGCCCGATTCTTAAAACCGGTCAAACATCATCAGGAGGTCACCATCGTGGAACCTGCATTCCATAGTAGTTTATCATCACCCAAAACTTTGGCACGTTTCTCACCACCCAAAGACCGAGGTACAACGAACTCAATATCGCTATTTTGAGTCTAGCGTGAGACTAGCAGAACGTTGTCGCCTCGATGGAACTGGACGAGCTCGACTTGACGTCATGCAAATGACTGTTGCTTAAGACAGAGCGCTCTCAAGGGATATGGAATATTCCGACTCTCAGGATCGCCCCGGGGAAATAAAAATTGAACATGCCTATCGGAGGCAGAGGTCGGCAAAGGAAGCCTTCAAATATCACGGTGGTTACCCCTGCACCATTTGGCGCCACGCAGCTGTGCATCCGCATCGCCTGCAGTTCCCTGGTCACTTCCGACTGGTTCTTGAGAAGTCCCGAATATCGGAGCGTTCCCGGGGCTTTATATGAACTGTCCAAGGTCGCTTGGCCTTACTCTTCTGGGAGTTCTCTCACGGCCTGGTCTGGATCTGGAGCCTCGGTTAGACTGCCATCGTGAGTGTTGCTTCACCTAGGTGCAGTCTAGGGCCAGACTTTTGGACCGGCCTCCCTCTGTATGACGAGGGTGAACACGAGACCTGAAATGGCCAAAGAATATCTTTCGAATATACACGTTTATGGTTTGGGTGCCCAGTTTGTCCCCCGAACGCATTGATATTCACTAGGTCTCGCTACTCTTAAGAACACAAGACGATCGCGTATCATGAGTATATTAGAAATCTATTGATTACCCTACGACCTCTGCTACCGTCCGAGATCTCATCCAGGATTATCGTGCTCACTGGTCAAGATGTTGGATCATTCTGCAAGTTGCGAAGGCGACGCAGTGCCGGCATCAAACAAACACTCTCCCCAGAAAACTCTGTTGCCTGACGCGCTCGTTTCCCTTTTCATACCTCACCAGCAACCCATTACAATCACACTAGACGGCCCAGCCATCGGAGGCCTGGCGCTTAGTTCCATCCTCGTTGTTCACTTTGTGCAGCCTTTATATTCAGAGGTTCTAATTGCGGTTACCGCCTTGTTCTTCCTCATTTACCATGACTACCGTAACTACCTCAGCCTTGGACCCGGTGGTACGCCGTCCACGTTTAGGGGATATCTCAAAGTGAGCTGGTTTCGTCTCTGGGCGCTTCGGGACTTGTTCACTCCACCACCCACCACTTCGGTCATCACTCCCTCGAGCGGCATCTTAAAGAACCACCCACTACCGTATCGGGCGGGCCCTAGACCGGTCGTTGCTGGAGTTATTCCCCAGCGGCAGCTTGATCAACGAGGCCCCGACGAAACCTACTTGGGCTTGCGACGGACCATTGAGACTGTCGCTGCGACACATCCCACGAAACTTGCAGCTGATACGTCATGTTTTGAAAAGCACAGTGTCGGTCTGTTTGCCAGGCATCCCATTAATGAAACCTGCCAAGGAGAGATTCTCCACATCCATCCCTCAGATCGCTCGATGCATATGAACTTGCACCCGGAAGACATTAAAGTTGTACTTGAAAAGGGGTGGGGCCAGAGACACCCTCTCGCTAAAAAGGCGTGGTTTGGGCGTCTGCCTGTCCCAGAGACATTCACCCTCGTCTATGCTCCTCGTGGTATGACCCAACTCTCCTAGCTAGCTTGGTCTTGGCGGACAGGCCTATGATACTAACGTATAGATGCAGATGAGGGCGAACTGCAGATTGTCTGCCGCATTATCGAGGCCGCCGTGTGGTTTGTGATGACAGAAGACCTTCGAGTCGAAGTTGCGTAAGAGGGACAATGACGTCTAGAGGATATAACTGCCCCAAAAAAGTAGAGGATAATATCTTAGAGAGAATCCCACATACAGCGCAAAATGAATAGAAGCAGCAATGTGCCTTTATACACGGAAAGATGGCAGGCTTCTGCCAGACAATAAAAAGCGAAAACGGCCTCCTTATTCGTCGTGGTGGTCTTGATTCTTGGACGACTGCTTGAATCGCTCCCTCCCGAAAGAGAGCCGAGCTTCCACAACTCGACCATCGAAGTTTCGGCCGCCCATCAGCTCGACGCAAGCTTCGGCAGCTTCGGGGCTCCTAAACTTCACTGACACGTAGCCTTCAGGTTCCAGGTCGTAGAGAACGACATTGGTAACGTCACCCAGCTTCTCGCATTCCTCGCGGATGTCCTCCTTGATTTCGAGGAGAGCTGCGGGGTCTTCGTCGAGCTCCTGTAGGGTAAACATGTGCTTGAGAATGACAACCTTTGACTTGCGGTCAGCACCCTCTTCGCCAGGGTATGGCAAATCGTCATCCCAGTCGGCCAACTTGGCGTCTAGTTTTTGCGTCTTCCGAATGATCTTTTGTCGGTCTCTTTCGCTCTTTTGGGGCTTCTGGCCTTCTTGCCCTCCAGGTTTGCTTGAATCCTGGTCGTAGTTGGTTTTCTTATAGCTCGAGTCGGCTGGTTGGACTCGGATTTTGCCCTCGGTCAATCCAGAGCTCGTATACCTGAAATCAGTGTCATCGAGAAGCATAATGGCCATCTCGACTGATTGAGGCTTAAAGAAAACTACGAGCGCATCGCCTTTGAAATTTCCTTGCTCGTCGGTATACATCTTGATCCTAGGCTTGCCGCTGTCGATTTCTTCGGCAATCACGCCGCCCTTTTTGGAGAAGAGGTCGTAAACCTCGTCGACGGTCGCGTCGAACGGAAGACCCGTAACATAGACGGCAGTGTTTTGTCTGGGCGCCGGAGGGGCCTTGGCTTTCTTGTTCGGGCGTTGTCTCCTGCCCTGGCTTATGTCCTGTTACCCAGAAGCAAATTGCTCCGTTAGTTTCCCATTCTGTTTGGTCTCGCCTCGCCATGAAGATCTGTGTCTCTCTCCATTCCTCCTACTTCTCACAGCGGGATTTACGCTCGGCGGGCGAAAAAAAAGGGTCGTTCGTGTCGGAACAGCTGCTCTGGGCTGGCGGGCGCAGCTTACCTCGTCATCGTACGATGGGCCTGACTTCCTCTTCTTGGATTCAGTATCGAGATCGTAGGCACCGCCATCACCAGTTGTAGGGAGGATATCGCCATCCTCCTCGTCGTAGTCAACAGGGGCCCATGTCCTATTCGCTTGATTGAATTCGTACTCGGAACCGTCGTCGTGGACGGCAATGTATGTTTTGCTTTGAAGGGAGAAGGAGATGCGCTCGTCTGCCCCGAAATCCTCCACATTTGTGGGGAAGGAGGTGACTGCATCAGAGGCCATTGTTGCAGCCTTCACTTTTTGTGGGCGGATTCTAGATCTAGAACTTCTAGGCAGTTGCTTGATGTCAAGAGCGTTTGTGAATTGAAGATTATTTTCGGCTTAGGTCCATTGCAAGGCAATGAAGAGATCGCAGAACTTGTGGTTGACCTTTCATGTGGGGCGGACAGCTGTGGAAGGAAGCTCAGTCCAAACCAGTGCACAAACTGTACAAGACACTGTGAAAGATGAGACACCAAGTGCTTCTCATCAGAATCACTTCAGGGAATATCAGCTTGTATCAGCAGAGTGTAGCTTGCAATTCGCATCATTATTTCATAGTCCTGGTTTTTTTTTTTTACTAGTAGTCGACCTTCCCCCTTCCATGTATTGGCAGATTACCAGGAGCGAACGAGGGACTTTTGTTTTTCATCTCTGCAACTACTTTTCTTCCACCGTCTTCTTCACCCCTTCAACAAAGGCCTGGATGGCTTCATCTCCTCCCATGGGCATACCCCCTCCTCGAATATAACCACCGTTTGCTACACTGATGCCAAGGGCATCTGCAATACCGGGAAGACCGCCATCCTTGAGTGCCAAGGACAAACTTGCGAGCGACTGGTGAAATTGGGGGCTGCGCAGAACCTTGTTGAGAAGAGCCTTCTTATCCCCTTGGGTCAGCGACGCACGCGCCGCTGCCAAGTCATCAAGAGAAGGATCGGCTACGGAAGCAGCTGTCCCGGAGCCAGCTGCGAGCATGATGACAGCCGGGGGCAGGAAGCTCAAGAGACTGTCCACATAATCCTCCGTCGCCGATTCGATCACTGGCAGGGTCGCCTCCTTCGGAAGGAGATGGGTCAAATAAGGATATGCATCTTTCTCTTCTTGTTGGCCAAGCCCTGGCGCTCCGGACAGGGAGTTCAAAAGGTTCCTTACGGCGGCAGATGCATCTTCGGTAGAGTATGAGGCGGCTCTGAAATATCAGTCATGTTAGCGCTGTCAGAATAGCACGCGCACTCAAGAGTCAGACAGGAACTAACGTGACAAGCACGAGCAACTGTCCACCATACTTGACAAGTAATTTGAAAGTCTAGAAGTACATGGCGGGGACACCTGCCCCGTTTCTCTATGCTTTTTAATAAAACAATCGGAACGCCGGGGCAGAGATGTAGCCCCGCCCGTATCTAGGTATGGTAGGTTAAAGCATCATGGTATTGCTTCGAGGAATCACCTACGCTCTCGCGCCGTCAGCACCACCCTCCCGAGCGCTTTGGCCTTCTTCTCGGACGTCCCCCCCTGTGGCATCAGGTCCAGCACCACCGCCTCCTCCCCGGCTGTGGTCGTGGCGACCTCGGGTTCCTTCGACGTCTTCCATCGTTTCATCATCATCATCATCGCGGTCATCGGTATTAATGACGGAGGCTAGCTCCTGGGAAATATCGACATCCTCGCCTTGTAGAAGAGCATCAACGATCTCGCCAATCTTACGATCGCGGGGGCTTAGCCAACTAGGGTCGCCATTCCGGGCCTGGGGCTTGGACTGGAGCCAGAAGAGATGTCGCAGGGAGGAGGAGGAGAATTTGAGGACGAAAATACGGCCGTTGGTCTTTGCGCTGGGATTCTCATTCGTGTAGGGGACGAAACGGCCATCGGTTGGGACCATTACGAGGTCTAGTTCGGGGTTGTCGAGGGGTGCGCTGCGCTCCCTCCAACAGAAATGGACGAGCTCTGGAAGGTGTGTTAGCGGCATTCCGAGCCATGACTGGGGATGAGGATCGCCGTTTGGGAAAATTTACCATCCTCAAGATAGAGATAAATGTAGCCCGGGGTCTGGCGTGGCTTCACTTTGTACGGCTGCGCCGTTGATTGCTACGTAGAGAGCTATATCAGTACCGATGCGAGATACCGTGAGATGGCTCGAATCGCGAGATCCTTACGTCAACGTCACAGATGCCGGCCTTAAACGTGATGATCGGAGCTATAGACATGGCTTGGTCGAGGTTGTAGAAAGATGGTACTTGGTGGAACAGGGCTCAGATAGAAAGAATTGTGATGGGTTTGGTAGAGTTGATCGAGGTATGGGTTTAGGGAAGGCTGAAGCTGGGGATTGATGGTTTGCAAAGGAAAAGAGAGCAGGAGCTCGAATGTTCAGGTGCTTGCTGCGAGTTACAAAGTCGAAAGTACTTTCGTGCATCAATGCGATGCCCAACATTTGAAGGGCAGGCAGCTGGAAGGCTGTCGCGTCAGCTTGACCCAATCACATGCAAGGAACCGATGATTGTCAGCCATTTCGGACCTATGTTCACTAATTGACGGTCCGTCAATGGGTTTCATTGGATGGGCTTCCGTATCTGAGCTGCAAGTGAGGGCAAGTGGGGCAACCTTCTGGGCCAAGTCCCTTCTTTGCAGGCAGGCGGGACCCTGCTGTCCTTCGTTACCTAGTCGACTCACCAAAAGTCTCAATTCTCCTGACCCTCCCCTCCCCACTCTAGTTTTATTAAGAAAAAATTCGTTACCATGACCGCAACCCCGCCGCCACCTTTTTGGGCGCCTTCAAAAACCCAAACACCTCCCCTCCTCAATCCAATTCCTGCCGTCTTCATCCCCCATTTTCCCAACCATCCAATCTTCTCATTCCAAGAGTCTCAACTTACCCTTACGAGATCCTCTACAATCCTTCAAAATGGGCTTCACCGACCTTCTTTCTGATGCTGGTCTCTCCAGTGCGTCTAGACTCCTGTCCTAGTTTCACAGTTGAGGCACCCAAGCTTGTCTAACTTGCCTCAGTGCTCAACAGCTGGGTGACGACTCGCTCCTACATCGTTGGGTAAGTTCCGAGTTTGGATTTTCGTCACCTAGCTTCACTGGAGCTGCCTGCCATTCCCTCGCTTGTTTCCCTTTCGTCTTTGGGTTTTATGATGAGATCAATTGGTCCGTGTTTCTGAGGCAGCCTCAAGACCTGCTACTTGAACGAGACAGCAAAGCACAAAGTGCAACTCTGATCCCAATTCTTCCGACAATATTTTCTGGGCACATCTTTCCCTAATACTGGACTTTTCCTTATTGTCGCTTCCTGAATTGAGTTGTTTACTCGCCATGGCATATGTGAATCCTCCCTGCTAATGATGGGATTTAGAGATGCTCCCTCCCAGGCTGATGTTGCCGTCTACAAGGCCATCCAGACCGCTCCTGATGCCGAGAAGTACGCCCACGCCGCCAGGTGGTACAAGCATATCGCCTCGTACGAGAGCGAGTTCTCGACTCTCCCCGGCGATGCCTCCAAGGCTTACAGCGCCTATGGCCCCGAGGCCACTGAGGTTGCTGTGAACCCCAAGGCCGCCGAGGCTGAGGAGGAGGAGGAGGATGTCGACCTCTTCGGCAGCGACGATGAGGAAGAGGATGCTGAGGCCGTCAGGATCCGAGAGGAGCGCCTTGCTGAGTACAGGAAGAAGAAGGAGGCCAAGCCCAAGCCCGCTGCCAAGTCGATCGTCACCATCGACGTCAAGCCCTGGGGTATGTTGAGGCCACTGATAGGAAGCATTCATGGGCCTTCGTTTTCTATTGAATTGGGCTGTTACTAACGTATTTTCAGATGACGAGACTGACATGGCTGCTCTCGAGGCCTCCGTCCGTTCCATCGAGAAGGACGGCCTCGTCTGGGGTGGATCCAAGCTTGTTCCTCTCGGTTTCGGTATCAGGAAGCTCCAGATCAACGTCGTCGTTGAGGACGACAAGATCAGCCTTGACGATCTTCAGGAGGAGATTGCCGAGTTCGAGGACTATGTGCAGTCTACCGATATTGTAAGTCGAAGAAGAGTCCACGGGTTTTGGCGACAGCTTTCTAACATGATTTCTTTGATAGGCTGCCATGCAGAAGCTCTAAAAGGTGCGCGACGTTTTACGACTTGGTTTCATGATTGTAGGGAAAATGAGGTATGGTGTCGGCCGGGAATCTTTTTTTACTCTTTACGTTCTACGAAGGTCCTTACAAAATGAACGTTATGGGATCGAGAGGTATTGATCTCGGTGATACTGCCTATGCATAGAGATGAGATGATGAAAACAATACGGAAGCCAAACGTGCTGTCACGCATTTTTGATGACTCTTTGATTCTCGTAGGCGTAACTTGCATTTGACCAACAGAGGTGATTGTTGTCTCGACGTTTGCCCCAACCATCAGGCGATGTGTAGACGCAACACGGTGAATACGCTGTCGCCCAGGTGCGCTGAACGCCTGATTATTCTCAACAATGTCTCTCCAGTCTATGGAAAACACAAAATTTCAATAATGACCCCGCGTCCTGACGAGAACGGTTGGAAAAAGCCCAACGCAAGGTGCTGTCTTGGACATCATGACATTGGCTGTGTTCGATTTTGTCATAGTGGGGCGAAAGCTGAGATCGATGGCGGGGTAATCGAAAGACCAACAATGGAAGAACTGGTCTTGGTACTTCGTAGTTTACATTCATCAAATCAATTGATTGAACGCGTCGACCGCGACCGACAGCGAATCAAACCCCAGCCCAATCCCAGAGTCTTCTTGCTTCCGCGACAACAATTCCCCAAGCCTTGCCGTGCTTTCCTCGATCGTCCAAAAATTAGCCTGCAGTTCATGGTGTGAGCTCGAACATCATGTACGGAGACCAGGGAAATAAACTCGTACGCCAGTCCAATCTAAAGAGCCTGAAGAACAGGCATATTCCCGATCCAGAAACCGAGAGTCTTTCGAGCTAATGATAGTCCTTGTTTGTATGTTAGGTTCTTCACGCGAAGAGAACGCAAAACCTCGCGCATCTTCCCCCGTACCAGACCGAACTTGTCCGCGCCGTAACGCGCGAAATACGAGACCTCGACGAAGATGTCACGGCTATCATGGAACCGTTTCAGGGGTCCTTTGTCCCGGCGGAGAACCCAGCAACGGCATGCACGCTATTAGTGAACTATATGGCTATGAGGAGAAATAAGCGGTGTCTACTGGCGTATCACCGGACGAGGACAGACAAGCTAGAGGAGCTCGTGTGGAAAGGCTACGACGTCGTGGACCTCTCCGGACAGCAAGTGAGAGACAAACTAGGAACTGCGGGGGGGAGTGGAAGCGGAGGTGCAGGTCCTACCGGAGGTGAGGGGAGCAAGAGCAGTCTGAGCCCGCCGGAGGAGGAATATGTGAGGGAGTATGGGGATTTGTTGGCGGCATACAAGGGCCAGTGGACAGACATTGATCTTACAGGCAGCTTGGAGCCGCCGAGGGATTTGTTCGTGGATGTGAGGGTGTTAAAGGACGCCGGAACAATAGAAACGGAGTATGGGTAAGTGTCACACTATGGAACCCGGATTCGTCATATCTACAGAACGGCCGCCTCTGCAATTTCGAAGCGAGGCAAAGCATGGGCCGCATTGCTAATGCGTTCGACCCCTTCTAGGCCGATTACCCTGACAAAGAACAGCCAGTTAAACGTGCGGCATGGCGACGTTGAGCGGTTGATTGCGCAAGGATACTTGCAGAAACTTGGCTGAGCGGAGCAGGATGAGAACCTCTCCAAAGGGTTTAAACTTCACAAACCTTGCATTCCTTCCTATCCGGCCCGCGATGCACCGACTCACGCCACCGGAGCTACAGCCCCGGGCTTATCCCTGAGCGGCGCTCCAACATAGCCGACGAAGCACGGAGACCGTGGGGGCATGGGGGGACAGGTGCGGGGATTCGGAGCACGCCTTAGCTTGCAGAAGCAGCGGGGCGATGATGCGAGGTTGCCTGCATCGGAAGTGATCAGATGCCAGCCTGTAAGCCATCCAGGCATTCATTTACGTGTTCAAATGTACAAATTCATTGGCACACTCGCTGCAGAAAGCATACGAAGTATATATATACGTAGAGGTCGCGGGATGCCGTTGGAGTATAAAGTTGGCTGGCCTGACCAGTAATATCCTTGTGCTACCCGAGCCTTCTTCCGAACCCGCCGGACCGTTATGATGCATCCCGAGTGGTCAAGTCGGGTTGAGGCTTGGGTTTGAAGTTGACTATCGCCAACTAAATCTTTTCTCCCGACGACGAAGTACGAAGTAGTCAGATCAACCAAGACTGCAAGGGCACGATCGAGGGCGGCTTCCTCTCCAAATACTGCCCTCATAAAGGCTCTTTTTGTGTAAATCGAGGGATCTCCAAACCAGCCGTGGATGTATCTGTCAGATGTCCCAGGAAAGCTTGGTATCAATTGATCATGCAATTGAGTCACAAAAATGAACAACCCGAGGCTTAAGCGATGCGACATTGATGAGGCCCAACATTTGCTCGGACTGGGGAACCACAAAACGCATCAATTGATATTGATGGATCAATTATCGCTTCTCATCCTGCAAGCATAACCAAACAATCAGCAGGTTGAGGAGTCGAAGCGGGCCTTATCTTTGAATCCACCATCAATTGCATCTGATAGTGTCCGATTTGACGGAATAGATTCTGCTAATCGTCATAACCTCACCTCAATGTTATCTTCGCCCAGAACCGGGTCCAGACTAAGGATAAACAAGCCCCATTGTTTATAAAGGGAACATGGAAATCGATTGATCGATCTTCCCTCGGCATTCCACTCTGTATTCTGCACAAAGTACACTAGACGGCTGCACTGCTGTAAACTTTACTCAGGCGCCGCTATTGATGTAACGATGAGCGCCAGGCTAGTCTAAATCTAGCTTTCACACGACTACGAAGTATCAAAGAACCATGTGAATCAGGCTAGTAGCTTCCCAAGTCTGCACCAATCGACATCCTTTTGCCGACTTCACCTTGACCTTGCTTCGTTTCTTATCAACTTCACGTTGTTGGCGAATCTTATTCTTACCAGTTTTCCCTACCTGTGCATTTCCTGAAGCGTTGCCGTTGATTCCTTCCTCCCCGTGCCCCCTCCGGAGTGTGTAGCGTATATCTGCTCTTACTTGAGTCAAATACTGTACCTCAACAAACCCTAAAGAGCCGATGCTATCCATCTCAAGACACTGTCCCGATTTTGAGAACTGCTGTTGAGCTAGCTTCAATCCTTTTCTAGAGGGCCGGAGAGTAGCGGCGCGAGACGGAAAAAAAATGGCTTCGCCGTTCTCTCAAGGCAGGAGGAGGTCCTTCAGCGATGTGAATGACACGCTGCAGGTGCTGCACAGTCGTTTTGCCCGAGCTGGCAGTCCCGCATCACAAGCCACGACCGCAACGACGACAGGCGCCTCAACGACACAGCCCCGCGCTGGAGGCGATGAGCGAGATTTCCCGGCTTCCTTCCACGCTGGTTACTTGGGGTATCGGGAGCCTGCTCGGTCCTTTGTCCAGGGCCGGAGCACCGGAGAGGAATATGGTAGGTCATTGCGCCGCCAAAAGCAAGAATCGAGCGGCCGGGATCGGCAGCTGTCAAAGCGCCACTGCTGACGCATTTTCATTTGTAGTTCCCGTTGACACTGCATACCTCGCGCAGAGCGTCCGTGAGGACACCGCCGAGCTGGCATCCTACGCCCTCTCGGATAGGAAGACTGATCAGCCCTTGGCGTTAACTCTGCAGAGATCGCGCTCGCCCGCAGGACCTTCGCGTTCACCCTCGCTGGAGGCTGAGCGAGGTAGCCCCGCTGCAAGAGAGCGTTTTCGAAGACTAAGCTTCACTCAAATAGACCCCGCCTTTCAGTCCCCCGAGGCTCGTGGCGCTACCAGCCCGCAAGATGGACCATCTATGTTGACCACCTTATTGAGAGGCTCACCTCAAGAGCATCACGTGCCCGACCAGCCGCACGACGAGTCTCACCCTAGCGGTACGGAGGTTGATGAGGACAGCCATGGCTTCGAAGGTGATGAGGCTGAGGACCTTATGGCAGATGAGTGGGATGCGAGTAATGGCGCAAGGTTGGTTCGGCATCCATCGCGCTTAGAGACTGTTCCGGAGGTTGATGAACACTCGCCTCTTCTTAGCCGTGTGAACTCCAAGCATGGGAGCGTTTTTCGTCGGAGACGCGATGCTGCGGAAGGAAGAGATGTTGAAGCCCAGTGGAACAGGCGTCGGCTGAGATTCCTCAGAGGAGGTAGGCGGCTTGGGCATCGTTTTACGTCTCGATTGTCGAAATATTCAGACATCGCGCTCCATCCCAGGAAATGGGACCCTACGGCTATCTGGCAGGCTACCGTAGTGAGACCTGCGTCCTACTTACCCGCCGTTCTAGTGGGCCTTCTCCTCAATATTTTGGATGCTTTATCGTATGGTGAGTTCCCTAGCAGTAGCAGTCTCGCCGCAAGCAGCCATGATGCGCTAATCTTCGTGTGGTATAGGCATAATCTTGTTTCCATTAGCAAGTCCCATTTTCTCCCATCTTGGATCGGCAGGCATCTCCATCTTTTACGTTAGCACAATCATCTCGCAATTGATATTTTCTGGTGGCAGTATCTTCAAGGGCGGTGTCGGATCTGAACTAGTATGGCTGCTTACCTTCACCCTTTTTACGTTGAGGTTCGATACTTACTTTATTCCTAGATCGAAGTGGTTCCGTTCTTTCACAACATGGCAGAGACCATCACTTTGAGGGTTGGAAAGGAAAATCCCGATGCGGTGATTGCCACAACGATCGTATCCTACGCCGCGAGTTCCATGTTGACGGGCATAGTATTCTATCTCATGGGCAAATTCAAGTTTGGCTACATGGTCGGCTTCATACCGAGGCACATCCTCATCGGCTGCATCGGAGGAGTCGGCTTTTTCTTAGTCGTAACGGGCTTTGAGGTGTCGTCTCGTTTAGAAGGCAAAATCGAGTATGACCTAGAAACCTGGAAACGCCTCACGCAGCCCGAAACCCTGCCTCTCTGGATAATCCCCTTGGTACTCGCCGTCATCTTGTTCTACGGCCAGTCCCGGGCTGTATCCAAGTACTTCCTCCCGTTCTACATCATCGCTATTCCTGCGCTATTTTACCTGTGCATTACAGTCCTTAACGGCGTGAAACTGGACGATCTTCGGGACGCCGGTTGGATATTCGAGGGACCTCCACCTGGAGAGCCGTGGTGGTACTTTTACACCCTCTACAGTGAGTTTCTGTCAAGCCCCTCGATCTTCAAGTTAGTCTAACGCTTATGGCAGAGTTCCACTTAGTCCACTGGGGCGCCGTTGTACAGACTATCCCAGCCATGTTTGCGCTTACCTTCTTCGGCGTCTTGCACGTCCCCATCAACGTGCCTGCCCTGTCTCTCAATACCGGAGAAGATCATGCCGATCTAGATCGAGAACTTAGGCTGCATGGCTACTCAAACTTCCTCTCGGGCTGTGCTGGCAGCATTCAGAACTATCTCGTTTATGCAAACACCATGTTTTTCATGCGATCGGGAGGGGACGCGCGACTAGCCGGAGTCATGCTCGCAGGCTTCACGTTTCTAGTCATGACTGTGGGGCCTTCAACAATACACTACATCCCAGTCATGATGGTTGGAACGCTTATTTTCGATCTTGGCTTTGAACTTCTTTTCGAGGCGGTGTGGCTGCCCCGGAAGAAACTCAAGGCCGGAGAGTACCTCACGGTATGGAGTCTACTTTTCCCTTTCCTGCCAATATCTCACTCAGACATCGGATTACTGACGTGCCGTAGGTTATTGCCATTGTCCTCATCATGGGCATCCATGATTTTGTTGTGGGTATTGGGGTGGGTATCTTACTTGCCTTTGTCACCCTTGTCGTGCAGACCGCAGGGATCCCGGCGGTAAGAGCTGCCTACTCGGGCGAGGTTGTTACTTCCACTGTCAGGCGTAACCCTTCGCAGAGTCACTACCTGAAAGATGCCGGACGCCAAGTTTTCATCGTCAAGCTCACGGGATATCTTTTCTTCGGCACGATTGTCAGCGTGGAAGAGAAGGTCAGAAATCTCATTGATGATAGGACGTTCTCAGAGCGGCCTATCCGGTTCCTCGTTATTGACCTATGGCATGTCACGGGATTGGACTACTCGGCCGGCGAGGCGTTTAACACGATCAGCCGGATTCTCGACAAGAAGGGAGTTGTCCTTATATTGAGCGGAGTAGAGGGCGAGAGCAAGCTGGGCAGGAATCTCAGAGCGGTTGGAGTAGGCCGAGACGGGATCGAGGTGGTGATGCTTCCGGACCTCAATTCGGCCCTCGAGAGCTGCGAGAATGAGCTGTTGAAGACGTACTACGCCAGCCAGGAAGCCCGCAGGAGCGCTGCACCTCGCCGCGGGCCGTCTGCGAACCTCGAGGTACCGGTTGTATCTCCTCCGGAGGCAGTTGCGTCCTTGATGACGGGCCCTGCCCTATCAGCTTCGCCTCGCGGCGCACTTCTTCGCGAAGCCGCGCATAAAGCACTCGAGGAAGCGGACATGGCGGGACCGGCGAAGTGGCAAGGATTCAAGGAGCCCCTCCGGCTGATGCTACAGATATTCCAGGGACTGAGCGAGAAGAACGAAGACTTTTGGTTCAGAGCCACGCCGTACTTTGCCAAGCTAGAATACCCCCCGGAGACGGTCCTCTTCGAGCGCGACGAGCCTGCGCGTGGGTTCTATCTCGTGGAGAGAGGAATACTGAGGGCCGAATACCACTTACCGCAGGGGTGGCTCTGCGAGAGCATCGTAGCAGGAGCAACGTGTGGTGACCTGCCTTTCTTCTCGGAAACGAGACGCACGGCAACAGTGACGGTGGAGAGGGCGAGTACGCTATGGTACATGGATGCCGAGAGGTGGGGGAAGATGCAGAAAGAGGAGCCAGACGTGGCGTGGGAGCTCCAGCGCATGGCTCTGAAGCTCACCAGCCAGCACATGACCCTTGTGACATCTTACATCCTAACCATGGCTGGATAAGACGGGGACCGATGGCAAGTGGATCAACTGGACCATCTCCTCGGCCCCGACCGACATGTCAACCTGTCACCTCTTACACTAACGCCACAGGCTCAGGTTGGACCTTTTGTTTTTATTTCATTTTCCTATTGTCGTGTTTTTGTACATATACATCGGATATAGAAGAACGTGGAAGCAATGAGTTGGCGCGTATGGTTGCCGGGCGCAAGTTGGGGGTTCCTTTTAGTTTGGGATTTGCCTTTTTGGCTACGGGTCGGACAGCTTTCGGTCTAAGTTTCATGTTGGCAAGCTATAAGCAGTTGTGTTTGGGCGGATGAGCCCAATGGGCGACTCGACTCCGTGGTCTATACGGTCGATTGGTGGTGGAGAGGAATTAGGTTGACGCTAGAACATTACAGTGGGGGGAGGCGCCGAGATAGTATCCATCTCGATGTGATCAATGTAGAGTACATTGTGCCGAAGTATGCAAGATGTATCGTATCCACACTTGCATGGGCCTGAAGGTGCTAGTTGTGTTCTTCACCTGATGTTGGGAATATCCTCCTTGATCTCCCCATTGGTCTTGCTCCTTCCCCACTACAGAGGCGTCAGCCTTGTTACATCGCTCCCCAGCTGACATCCTTTCTTGCTGTCAAGCCATACCATGATTTTCTTACTTTCTTTCCAGAATAATTCGAGAATTGTTTTAGTGGGGGGAGATGTTCTGCAAGATCATCAATGTAACTGTATCTTGCATATGGCCTATTTCGCCACTTGTGTCAGCGCAGGCTAAAAGTGAAAGCCGCGTGCCCTTTTCCCGTTTCCAACTCTGGCGGCACATTCCAAGAATCTCACACCAGGACATAACCAATATTGTGACGGGTCAATTCTCCTTTCCCTCTCGCTTTCCATCGCCGCACACGATACGGGACATAGATAAAAGCCCGAGAGCCATATCCACTTACCGCCGAGACGCGCCGGTGAAACTTTACGTAGGGTGGAAAGAGCCTTTTCATTCCCAGTATTAGGACCTCTTGTCAAGAAACATACAGCAAGAAAAAGGAAACGGAAACGAAAACATGTCGCGAAACCTCCGCTCCATCCTAGGCTTCTCCAACCGTGTCAAAAAGTCCCCTGCAAAAGCGAGGTCCAGCAGCACGCGGAGTCACCGCCCCACACCCACCAAGCGCCGCGCCCAAGATGACTCCGCTAGGGAGAACGCAGAAGACGAGGTCTTGGATGACGCGGAGGCAGCGGCAGCAGCAGCAGAAGAAGAAGAGGAGTACTACTTCCAAGACCGACTAGACGATGTGGGTCTCGTGCGCGTACTGGCAACGGACCTCCACCTGCGCGACGTCGTCCAAGCGATGCGGTACATCCGCGACAGAATGTGGACGGCCATGCCGGAGCGAGGGGCGGGGATGAACTCGACGCGGATAGCCGAAGTATTAAACTATCGAGCGAGGACGCCGCCGGTCGTCACGGTGGCGCATTTGCAGGCCGTGCTGGCGTCGCCTACGGCCATCGAGCGGGAGGTGGCGGAATTGGTCTTAAAGGGTATCGTGAGGAGGGTGGTGGTGAAAGGGAGAAGCGAGGCGTTGATTGAGGTGGGGGATTTGGTTGAGCTGGTGGAGAGGGCGGAGGGGATTGGGGAAGAAACGAAGAGGGGGTATGTGGCGTTTGTGAAGGGTGAGGGTGGTGGGGGTTTGAGTAGGGAGCAGATTGATGAGTTGGTGAGGGCTGGTTTCCTTACGTCGTCGCCTACGAGGATGCATGGAGTCTCGAGCGGAGGGAATAGTAACAGCAGTGGGCTGCTGGGCACGAGCATGTCCTTGGAACACGTCGCAAAGGCACCGACGGGGACTCTCGGAGCCGTGGGTGGAGGCGCTGTCCACATAGTTACGGGCAAGGGCATGCCGACGTCTTCCTCCACAACTACTATTACTGCTACGCCATCATCCCTCCAGCACGGCACCGCATCATCGGCGGAAAACCTCGCCATCTCTGTCCCCGGCCACGGCGCATTCCTCAAGCTGCACAAGGCGGCGCTGGAGCACCTCATCTTGCTCCTGGAGAAGCGCTCGGCCTTTCGAGAGATGCCCGAATATTCACTACGCGAGGCGTGGGACGGCGGGCTGGCCTCCGCGAAAGGTGCCAAGCGCGCGAGGGGCGAGTTCTCTGGCGTGCTGCCGGGGAGGACGAAGAAGTGGAGAGAGTATTGGGGTTTGAGGTTCGAGTGGGTGCTTGAGGAGGCTGTTGGTGCTGGGATGGTGGAGATCTTTGAGACGGGAAGCGTTGGGCGTGGCGTGAGAGTTGTTTAGTGTGGAGGCGTTTTGTCTTTTGTTTCTGGAAGACGGATGATCTCTGGTGGGTATTCTGGCATCGCAATGCATGGTGTTTTGGGGGCATCACGAGGGATCTCGGTGGCACTTTGTTTTAGGATTCATGATATGCTCGTTGACGATGGAGGTTACAAGCTCTCACTTATTGAAACTTAGGAGTATGTTCATCTTACTCCCGCCTCGGGAGAAGAAGTATCGAGATTGATAGAAAGGAAACATTCAATTATTGTCATCTCGTAGAGTCGATGAATCGATTGATCAATGACGGCCTCACCGAACGATAGATATGTCGTGCTCAGGCTGATCATTGATGCTGGCTCGATAGACCTTGATACACCGAACAACGCGACGACTTACAGATTTCAGGATCGACCTTACAAATATATTATAATAGTCATACCGTGTGAGGTTTTCTTACTTCTCTATTCCTTGTCATAGGTGCTTCGGAATCGGCACGCTCGATCCTCGATCCAGCCACCTTTTTGAGGCTCTCCGCGCCGGATATCTCCACGGTTGCTCCCTGCTGAAGCGCTTGGAGGTGTCGGACACCAACGATTTTGGAATACACTACTTCGTAGACCCGCAGCAGTATTGATGCAGCTTGAAATCAATATCGAATGCGCATGCTGCAAGTTAAATGAGTTTTTGCGCTTTTGATGTAGTGTCGCTCCACAAGCAGGTCATGGCATTGGCAAACCTTAGTCTTGCTAATCACTACCTGAAATGAGCATGAATAGATACAGAACCCCCGGCCTTTGCAGATACAGTAATAATATTCTCCTCCCAGACTTGAAATATTCTCTGCGGCCTTCGTTTGTGGTGTTGCGGCGTCATACTTTTCGTATGGTGTCTGGTCTGGCTGCACAGCACAAACACGGCACGCCTTGCTCAAACCAAGGGAAACGGATGGATGGTTTTCCGGTACTGATAGCGTGGCATCTAGGTGAATCATATCGGGATACCGGGCATTAATACTGGGGAACCTGGTGTTGGGGTTTGCCTGCAGGTAATAACGCTCGAATATCTGCGGCGTGATTAGACGCAGCTGCAGAGCCTGGCGCACGCCCAAGGGGAATCTGCAACGCCGAGGGTGCGCTTTGTGCTTTGGCGGCATTCTGTTTTTCTTCTTCTTCCTGTTCTCTTTTGCTCAATAAAATGAACGAATGGGAGAAGAGCCGAGATCCCCGGCGAGAACAATTCTGTTCCCATATTGGCCTTTCGTTACGGGCGTTATGTTTCAATATCAATATTCTGGCTTCTAAGTTCTGTCTAGTGAATATGAGTACCGAGGCATTAGAATACACTACAGAAACACCACCGGCGAAGGCTGATCTGAGACAGAACACAAGATGCACATCAATATCAACTGAGACAGACTAGCTGCGCCGAGCGTGCAGAGAATAATAAGTGTAGTGTACGTGTCAGTCTGCGTTCGCAGCTGAGGCGAGCTCGACGAAAAAGATTTAACTTTTAACAAGTGAGAGCGATGAAAACAGAGCTTTGAATTTTTCCTGTCCCTTCAGGCAAGTACCATCTGATGGCATTCCGTCTCATGTGGCAGACGAGTACAGCGAGATTCTCCAAACCTTGGTTGAACCACTCAGCCACTAGTGAATAATTTTGGAAGAGAGCATTCTTTCCAAATGCCACTAGATTCCAACGGACCTTCTAGCCGGGTTGTATGGTCAAGAAGGTGACATTTGGTGTTGGTTGAACCGAACCCGGAGAGAAAAGGCTCAAGGTAGTACACGCCGAGCCGCGAGCCGCACGCTCATGAGGGTCAAGGGAGAACCTGGGTATGTGCCACCCGTTTTAAACAAAAGCAGCAGGATCGACATGAAATCCTGCGAACAGTATGCCTTTCAGCAAGGTTTAGAGTTTTTAGATCAGCGTCCCGTTTCTCTTATAAGTGATGTAAGGGGGTGCTATAAGGATTGAACGCCTTCCGTGCATCTGCGTGATCTACAACGGATCATCCTGTGACGAGAGTGGGATTCTGTTTGACTGGTTTCCTGATGGCCGCTTTCTTTTTAAAAACCGGGCGCACGGATGAGATGCAAACGAGAACTGCAGGCAACTGAGACGGATTGATGGCTTCTATTTTATAGTCGGGCGGAATAATGAGGTGCTGGAAGGCTGGCCGAGTGCTCCGACGTAGTCACAGCCCATCTTGTCTGATGTCCTTTGCAGGTCGAGGGAGACGTCACTCGTCTGAAAGTGATATCGTCAATCGCTCTCGAACGCGCACCACTTAAGTTCTTGGTGAAGACCCACCATTCCGATGAGGGCCGGATGGAGGGCCGCGGAAGACCGGAGGAAACATGTGCCGAAGATTCGGGAGGAGATTGAGGTAGCGAGAAGCTGCAGGTGTTGGACACCACACCGAATCGAAGAAGTTACAAAACACAGAAAGTGTCGCACAGCGATCCCGTCCTTTCCTCTGACAGAGGCAAGCAACATTGCTACCGAAACACCACGTAAGATTCCGGATAGCAGTAGAACGGGATAGTACCTCGTACAGAGTACAAAGTCCTCGCGTCGAGGCTCCTCGAAGTATTCTGAGTACAAGGACTTCGCGCCATGTTAATCGATACGATACGACTTTCGAAGGATTGGATAATCTATGGCATTACCGTCACTCAGTCACTGAATGACAGTATCAATCACTCACAGGCTGGCGAATGTGACCGTGTCCATTGCACCAGGGGCGCCCACACCACGCCAATTTTAAGTACCATGGGCTAGCGTCGTGCTCATCTCCTGTGCTGCATGCTATAGGCGCACGGCCGTATAAGATTCATTGGGTCTGGCAAAATGGTTTAGGGAGACGGACCAGGGGCCTGGCAAGTCGGTTCGAGGCACTCAAAGCGAATAAGATCTTCGGCCAAGGGGGGGAAATTGCAGTGTGGCTTTTCTTTCCTTTCTGGTCACCCCCTTTCTCTCCTTGTCCACAGGTCTGGCCTGTTTTTTTGAAGCTTGGGGGGACATGCGATTCGGGACCTGTGATTTGTGATTCTTGATAGTGTCAACGGCCCGACCCCAAGATTTCGCTTCTGCTGTTCTGAGAGAGAAGCGAGACAAAATTGAAGTGGTCGAGATGCGGAGAACAATGGCTAATTGTTTCAACATTCCGGCCCCTTCCAGGTCGGAAGTGGCGCAATTGGTCTGGTAAAGCCGGTCCCCTTCTCCTTGACCTTACAAAGGCTCCAAGGGAAGTACCATCCGATGGCTAGGCCCTTGAATGAAATTTGCTCCATTTGATAATACGAAATTCATCACGGGAGTCCTTTCGTCCTTGGCATCGGAGGAGGGTACCTCAAGTTAGTTGTGACACCGAGATGTCGACTGCAGAAGCAACATTAGGCCGGGCAGCCTCACGGCGTGGGATGGCATCTATGGTGTGATGGAGAGCAACGGATTTTCAGTCCTCCCGATGCCTTGTCAGAGAGAGATTAACTTGATGGGCTTGATGGACGAGTGAGGATTAAGGACTGATGCAAGTGACAAGAGCTTGAATTGACCAGACCCAGCAGCGAGAACAGTTCGTACCTGTACTTGTTGGCTCTGGAAGCTAGAGTCCCCGGGTCCGCAACCTACCGGGACAGTCCCGTAAGTGCACTGAGAACTACGGAGTATGTTGCCCGGTCGCACTAGTCCGCTTTTCGTAAAAATCCCCTATCATCAAGTACTGGTACATGCTGCAGGACCTGACTTCAATGCAATGTTCTTTCCTTTTGCTCTGATCAATTGATCCATTGTTCAGGAACCCGACAATGTGTGGAGGGTGGTAATCCGGTCCTTCGTACTTTTCTTCGTACATACGAAGTACAATTGTACATTTGTCGTGTTCACTACTCCACTCTACGAAGTACCTCTAGACATATGCGCTTCAAGGCTGGCAGACTACGAATTAGAGGGGCACTATGGCTCAAAGAAGACTTCGATCGTACGAAACCGATGCTTGGTGAGTGGAGCGGGTGCGATAAATCGAGCCTCGCCTTCAGTTGGCCCGGAAGCAACCACTTAGCACTACGGAAGTAGTTACTGAGAAAGATTGATGCTTGGTGAACTCGACATTGGGCGACGCAGCATTCTGGGTTCTTTCCCCCTTTTCTAGATAACTTCGTAATTACTCATGCCGTACCAGATACTCCTTGTACATGCATCATGTTGCAACTTCACAAGGAGAAAGCAGACTTCAGAGAACATGACCCATGGTCCATGGCGGATATCCCCTGCCAGCCATGCCGGGACATCATCCCGCAGAATGCATCCCTCATGGTCTTTACCACCCCTGTAGGGTCGCAGGGACCACCTTCCTGGCAAGAGGGTGGGTCAATGGACGCACGTTTCTTTTATTCTGCCCTCTTTCCTTCGTCCTCCGTTATAGATTGGACAATTGGTAACCAGCGACGTGGGCTGTGGATAGTTTCCTTCTGGCCGGCAACTGCCTCTTACAAGCTCTAACGCGACGCAGCGCGAAACGCCCTACCAGAGCGGCGGGCTAATACTTCGCACGCTATGTCTGCAATAGTAAGAAGGCAGGAAGCCATTGATCCAGCTAAAATTGTGATGGGCACAGGTTTTTTTGGCGCATACCAAAGCTGGGCAAGCCAGGCACATGCCGATTGCTACAAAGTAGAGTCACATTGCCATCAAGAGAATCGACCCAACGCAACAGGTCGAAACTGCAACCTTTAAACGGGTCATTTCAAGGCCTGCACAGCTGAGTACAATACCGTTCGCCTGCTCTTGCAGTGTTGGAATGTACTACTTAAGTTGTATCGTGGACTCTTGCGGATGCCATCAAGTGCTGAGTTATTGCCCGACATGGCCTGGCCCTGAAGACTTCGTCTGCAAGTCTCGCGTTCCATTGATCCACCTCGGCTGAGCTATTCTACCACTTAACCGGTACAAAACAACATCGTTCCCCAATAAGAAAAATGTCCTTGCTGCGTTATGGTCTTTATTAGCTTCCCGAGTCTGTCCTTTGTGTTGCAGAGTGAATATAGAATATTTTTGACAATTCGTACGGAGTCTCATCTACGCGTATGAGTCGTGGGGCTTCATTCTTTCATCACAATAGACGCACGAAGTACTTTGTACACTATTGTACTTGGCACTTCGGACTTTGTAATGACCCCATTCTAGTCTAGGCAATTTGTACAGTACATGAGGTGGGCACTGCTAGCGTAGGCACTAAAACGTCTCAAGCTGCGGGTGGGACCTGGGCGTTGCCACTTCTGCTAAGTGGAAGGATCCTCCCAGAGCTTAGCTTTCCAGCTCTGGCAACTTTGGTAACTTTGTTAGCGTGTGGGCGAGGGCGAATGAGGGATTTCAATGTTGATCCTGCCATCACCACTTCGCACCCGTTTTCCGTGTCTGTGCCTGCCATCGTCTCTTTGTACAGACTAGTGTACCCCCGTGTTACCCCTTCTGTTGACAGGGAACCGCCTTTTCTGGCTTGCAACTTACACGACAACTTCGAACATCGAACATTTCCCCCTCAATCCCGTCCACCAAGTATTGCATCTCTCGTGGAAGGCACAATCGGGGAGTGCTGAGTGCTTCCGTTAAGGTACGAAGTAAGTAGAAGTACATTGATCTCGCCCGGCACCTTCGCCTTTGCCAAAATCTCCTTGGGGGAAACCACCATCACAGGGGTTCCCCATCTCTCGTTGGACAAGCCCGAGACGTTGTTGCCGTCCGGAAAAGCAACCCAAACTCTCGGCCTGCCCTACTTCCTACTTTCCCTCTCTGCTTCCTGGACTCAATCAAATCTTCACCCACTCATCTTCATCCACTCTTTTTCCTTCCACACCAATCTTGAGAGAACAGGACGCTGCCGCCGCTTCTAGACGCGCAAAGCAGAGTTGATCTCGCCAGTCGTCGCTATTTCTATCCCGATTCCTTGTCTCAACACGCTTCTTAGCCAAGCAGCCTACGTTCTTTCCTTACGCGTTGCGCTAACCCTTTCCTTCTGTTCTTTCCCAAAGCCGTTATTTCGTACGCGACCCGACTGCCATATTTTTCGACTGTCTACCGCAGACGACGACCAAACGACAAGACCGTCTCCAAATCCTGCTCACCTAAACGACGAGCCCACACCTTCATCCTTCGACGACTGCCGCTCCTCTTCTCCCACTCTCGCCTAGAGGTGTCCCTGGAGCGATTGCCGAGTTAGTATCTTCTCCGAGACTTACCTCATATATTACGCCCGCCGAAACCACGCTTGAAGCATTCCCATCTTGGAACGGACTGCATTGTCCTGGCCAGCGTCAGAGTGTTTTCGGCTGCTAGTGATGCCCTGTTCCTGGTATTGACTGAGCTTTTTATCAACCATCGCAGTCCCGCTCGAACGAGAATCCTATTGGCCAACTTGAATAGAACTTCGTTTCTCTGGCTGCTGCGCTGTACATCGGCTCAGTAGTGCTCATCCTTCGAAGCCCGGCTCACGAGGAGAGAAATAGGAAGTGGCGATCGTTCTTGGGCATTAAGCATACTTCTCGAATCTGCATTTTGCCATTTAGACCCCGACTGTCCGACCGTCAATTATAATACCTCTGGTAAGCTCCTGCTCACGATTCTCCCGACCCCCTCAATCATTTTATTTTCCTCTGGCACGTACCAAACCTCCGGAGGCATATGCATTTATGCCTATCGACAATCCAGTCGATCACTGACAGAGATCCCCTTGTAGGCACGAACTCCCCTGAGCTCGCGGATGACTATAACCTACTAGATGCTTGTCGCATAACAACGTTTCATCACCACCCTGGGTGCTCTCCGAGGACCTGGTATACAAGCCACACTCGGGCCCCCCACTACGGCGACCCTGGCACACCCCAAGCCAAGCGATCCCACACCCCCGAGCCAAACACGCCCATCGAGTTTTCTTTCTCCTCTCAGAGCCACCTTAATATCCGCACGTCGACAACCTATTCTCTTTATTTTCACGAAGTCGAACGGTCGATGAAAATACCACAACCGCTGACGATAGAATCTTCCTCCGACTCGGGCCAAGACCCCAAGTTTTGACGATCCACGCTGCGACGAGCATTTTTTTTCAACCCTACGCTCCTTCCACCAACACCCGCCTCGTTACTACTGATCCACATTCACGATGGCGACCACCCTTCCCAGGCCATCTCGGTCCTCCAATGGGCCCCCCAACATTGCTCTTCCAGCCCTCCCAGTTCCGAAGACAAGGAAAAGCACAGGCGCGCTAGCAACCCCTTCCCGGTCGGCGACGAGCACACCTAAGAGCGGTCTCCGGGCGCCATCAGCTGCGTACTCTACTCCGTCGACCCCCGCCCCCACCTCTTCTCTACCTCGCATACCTTCCGGGGTGAATGCCCCCGGCAAGTCGATACGGAAAGTAGTTAGCATCAACTCTTTCCCTCAGCCTCCGAACCGAGCGAGTAGTCTCCCACCAAGCCCTCTGGCTAATGATGGTGCCCGGAACTCCACCCGCCGATCTAAGGCCTCGATCGTTTCCACGTATAGCCACCTTGGTAGCTCGACACCAAGTTTACTAAATGGTAGCGGCGAGGGAAAATCGGTCGGTGCGGGTGTGAGAATGTCGGATGGACTCATAAGCGTCGCCTCGCTACCACAAAGCCGAAGCTCCTCTGCCCAAGATTCATATTCGACCTCCGCCACCACTTACGACGATCCGATGGACATCCCCCAGTCATCCACAGACGCTAGTACCGATAGCAGGTCACCCAAGCAGGATAGCAAGGGTAACGTTTTGGTCAGCGTCAGGGTACGACCTGACATGACCGGGAACGATAACCCTAAAGACTGGGTAGTCGATCCTAAGCAGTCTTTGATCTCTCACCGAGGACGTGAGGGTGGAGATTACTTTTATGGTCAGTTGAATTTCTCGCGTGCCTCTTTTGGATCGTGGAACGCGGGAGAACCGAAACGCTAACCTTGTGAGTGTAGATAATGTTTTTGCAACGAGCGATGACAACTCGAGAGTATACGACTGTATCGCTAAGCGACTCGTACGGAGGGTTATGGAGGGATACCATGGAACGGTTTTTGCCTACGGGATGACAGGTACCGGAAAGACTTTCTCGATGCAGGGTACCGCTTCGTCACCTGGTGTGATTCCGCTAGCAATTACCGACATCTTCTCTTACATCCGAGAGACTCCGTCCCGCGAGTTCCTCCTCCGCGTCAGCTACCTCGAAATCTATAACGAGAAGATTCACGATCTACTCAGCATGCCAACAAACAGTGGTCTAGGTGGTGCGGCCCAGGAGGAAATCAAGTTGCGTGAGGATAGCAAGCGCGGTGTTTATGCGAGCCCGTTGAAGGAAGAAATCGTGCAGAGCCCGACTCAACTGCTCCGAGTGATTGCCCGTGGCGATCAAGCGAGGCGGACGGCCAGCACCCAGTTCAACGCCAGGAGTTCTCGATCGCATGCTGTTGTCCAGATCGTAGTGGAGAGCCGGGAGCGCATTCCCGGAAACACCAGCACTGAGAACAAGCGAGGAGGATTGCTTCCCGGCGGTGTTCGTGTCTCCACTCTTAGCTTGATCGACTTGGCTGGATCCGAGAAGGCGGCGGAGAGCAAGGAGCGCAGGACCGAGGGTTCCCACATTAACAAGAGTTTACTGACACTTGGTACCGTCATTGCCAAACTGTCGGAGCATAAGGATAAGGATGGAAAGCCCGCCGACAAGGACGGGAAGCATCTTCCGTATCGCGACAGCAAGCTGACACGCCTCCTTCAAGGTGCACTGTCGGGTAATTCTCTTGTCAGTATTCTGTGCACGATTCAGACCGGCTCGGCTGGCACCGCAGCGGTGGCCAACACGCACACGACCGAGACTCTAAACACGCTGAAGTTTGCTTCTAGGGCAAAGAACAACATTGTCAGCCATGCTAAGAGGGCGGAGGAGGCGCTCGGTGCTGGTGGTGATGGAGGAGCTAGAGTCTTACTTGAGCGGTACCGCATGGAGATTATGGAGCTGAGAGCTCAACTAGACAACAAGGCGAAGAACAAGAAGGAGTCTGAAGAGCTCACCGATGAGGAGAAGGCCAGGAATGCAGAGGAGGAGAAGGCACGGGAGCTCGAGGCCGAGCAGCGGCACGAAGAGCAGATGCTAGAGATGCAGCTGGCACGAACTGCTCTTAAGGAGCGTATCGACCACCTGAACCGTCTCATCCTGAGCTCCAAGTCTATCGGTGTCAACCGAAGTGGATCCTACAGCTCACTGGCAAACTCGAGGTTCTCTCAAATATCGACGAGGTCATCCGTGACAGCATCAAATAGTGGTCGCCCCGGTATCGAGCGATCTTCTTCGATGACTTCGACTTCGTCCACGATCGGTAGGCGCTCGAACGGCGGGAAGCGCCATTCGGGTGGCGAAGCGTCGATAATGGAGGACGAGGACAGCATCGGAGAGTCTGGCGACGGCAGCGCGTCGCTTGCGGCCCAAAACCGTGCTCTCCAAGCCGATCTCGCCGATAAGAATCGCTACATTACGACGTTGGAAAAGAGGCTCCTCCAGGCGCGTCGAGCGAGTTCGTCACGTACTTCGATCGGATTCACGGGAAGTAAAGGCATTCTCGTCGGAGAAGATCATAGCGTGGCTGCCCTTCTAAAAGAAAAGGATGCAGAGATTGCCGAGCTTCGGGCCAGGATTGATGATAAGGACCGTATGTTGACGGCACTCCGGAGTGTAGCCAGGTCGCGTGAGACTGCCGAGGGACTCAACTTCGACTCGAGAGCACCGCTCAGTCCACCCCCGTCGGCGACCTTGCTGAATTCGCCGCAATCCCAATTCCAACCTCTTAAGCAGAACCGTGAGAACGGCGGCGACGACCTTAAGATCCTAGATGAGATGATCATGGACCGCATCGAGAGCGGCCAGTTGGTTAGGAGTTCAAGGGGCAGTGTCCGGGTTGCCAATGATGCAGCGCGACGTGAGCCTCCTTCGGAACCTCTCCCGAGCTTGGATCTCATCCAAAAGCACGAAGAGGCCAAGCCTGCCTGTGCTGCATGATGAGGAAGTGCGCCTTCGGAACTAGTGCGAGACTGAATTTCGAAGGGGGTCAAGTATGGACGGAGGCGTCTTTTACTTTTCTTGATTTTTCTCTTTTTTTTTCCTCGGATTTTCGTTGGATCGATTACTGCTTATTATATACCCCTCGAGTACGTGTTTCGTTTCCTTATTTCGCCGCTGTCCTCCTCCTCTTACGACAGGGGAGGGAAATGGGCCTCGATCGTTCCCGGTCCCCCTTTTTTTGCGTTTGCGCGGTTCTTTATTTGTATTCCAAATTGGGCGGTTCTATTGAGTTTTATTAAGTCTGTCGGCATTACGCAGCAGAGCGTTAAGCTTCTTTGAGCGAATTTCATCAGTTCGACGGAGCGCGGTGACACGAACGCAGGTTCATGTCGTATATCCCTCGTTTCTACCATTTCCTTTTTTCCTTCTTCTTTTTCGGAAAGTACATGTTTACTCAGGGCAAGACGGAGAGACGCCCCCATCTTGCTCGACCTTTAGTGTTCATACTTTTTATTTTCGTTTTCCCCTCTTTTCGTCACTCTTCCTAGGTTTGGTCCCAGGCAGGCATGGTATTAGGGTTACTAGGATTTCTGTTTTATGCCTGCCACGATGATACTCTATATAATATGAAGTGAAGGAGACGTATGGCACGGAAAGGTGGTCAAAACGAAGAAACCATGACGCGTGGGGGAAATAATGGGAGGCAGAGCGGTCTGGTTGGTGAAGAAGGCTTCTTTGGCTTCCTCAAACACTGGGGGGCGTTTGGTTTCTGGCTTGTATAGTATATTTTAGAGAAAGAAGCAAAGGACTCAGTTGTCAAGGGAATATACCAACGATTCTCATCATCTGATAGAAGAAGACCCGGAACTATTGCGAGTGCGAAGTCTACTTAGCTGCAGTCGTGGGAGACCGGTGAGCCCATGATTATTGCTTGGCATAGTATCGACGACAGTACAATCTTGGGTTATCGGAAAACCGGCAGCCTAATGGCTGAACGTGCCCTTTAGTTTGCGTCCTGAATAGGTGGACGTTCTCGTGTGACTGATACAGTGGTGGAGAAGTGCAGTTGGGGCGGGTAGGCACATGTTCATATTCATGTATCATTGGTAGGAGGAAAAGGATGACAGAGGGATAAGCTGGGGAACAGACGCATGAGCGAGATGACGCAGACGGATATTAGTTATGGTCTAAGACGATGAGAGCTGGTTTCGATTGGGCCGGTAATCCAGGATTTCAGCTTCTTCAGCCTCAGATTACGATGGAGCTTGTAGACCGCGAGGTACAAAAGATAAGTGCGATGATTGCAAGCAGCCGCCACACCTTTTCTCTTTTCCCCACAAACCTCCGAGAAAGAGGCACATTCTTGTGAGGCAAGCGCCCTTTTCACTTCGGCACTATAATGCCAAGCGGTGCTGTTGGGAAAAATCCATTCTCGGACACATCCCACTTTGGTCGTCGGGGAATTTTAAGTGTGTGTGCTCTCACGTTTATTGCGATCAGCAGCCTCCCTGACGTCACAGCCACATTTCTGGGCCGAAAGTTGGCGTCTTGGGTCTGGTCTGGGGGCCAAGCGAGGAAAATGGGGGGAGCCTCATTCCCTCTGCGAGCGATTTACTTGCATTCTTGGTCGCGGGTTTGATTCGTCGCAGTTTACCTGGATTTGGTTGACAGCACATTATGCAACGTGGCGGGCGGTGGTAGCGGTCTGGATGGCTGTGCTTCACGAGGGATATGCGGCACTCAGGGGAACAGACGTTGAAGGTCTGGTGGTTCCGAACAACAGGGACAGCCAGCGCGAAGACAATGGCTCACATTGGACGGTCTTGGCCCCCTGGTGTCTGTCCATGTTGGATGAGGCTGGACGAGTTGTGGTTCGTCCCATGTCGACGAAGGAGATGACAGAGTCGGAAATCTCAACCTCAAACAGGACTTCAGACACAGAGGGCTGGACCGAGGAGCAGCATAAGACGGAGGAAGAATGGTCGTCTGTATTACTCGACACAAAATTAAGAAGGGATCTTTGCTCTGCGACCTCCTTTGAACCCATATGCGGTGGAGTCGTGCGGGTTGTACAAGTGGCAAGGAGTACTTCGTACTAAAAAAAAAAAAACGATCGGTCGATTTGCTGGCAAAAGAGACGAAAAGAAAGGGAAGAGCAAAAAAAACTTGGATCCATGTTCTGGAGTGACGTATGACGCAACCAGGTTTGCTTCATTCAAGGTTCTGGCCCCCATCACTTCCAGTTGAGAGATTGGAGCATTTCCAAACGTTCCTTCGAGACTCCCCTCTTCTTGGCTGTTCGAACTTGATGAAGCCTGGCACCATCATCAGACGGATTTTGACCAAGAGGCGCGCCTGTCGTCTGTTCCCAGCTTCCCTTTCTTGCTTGTTGAGACAAGCACGACAACGAAGTGATGAAGTAGTGTAATACCGAGGTACGGAAGGAACGGGACGGGGAAAGGAGGCTTTTCACTAAAGTACTTCGCAGCACACTTCGTCCTTTTGTCCTCATCCAGAAGGAGCAAGGACACCAGGGCGAATTTGGTCACTTAAATGCGTCTGATTGGTGCAAATGGGAGCCCGTTTGCGGACCGGGATGATCTTCCCCAGTTCTGAAGAATCTGAAACACGCCAAGGAAAGATGCCTGCAGCCAGGGTATTTTGTATCTATACACTTTTAATACTTCGGCTATTTGTGTATCAAGTTCTCTAACAAAGCTAAAGTCTACCCAGAGCTCAAGTATCTTGCAAGTATTCTGCTGTTTCTTCTTTCCTTGAAAACCAGGATTTCTATCAGCTAGACAAGGAAGTCCCAATCAAGCAAGTGCAGGTGGTCATGGCATAGGCAAAGAGGGATCGTCGACGAAGGACGAGGTGGTGCAGAAAGGAGTCTTGATTTGACTGATTTGATGAACACTGAGTCTGAAAGACAACTCGGCACATCACACTTCTCGCTCACTACGAAGTACGAAGGAATACCCTTGATGTCTCTGGTCGAGAACATCGATTGGAAAGTCTTCGTGGAGACTGTGGAGGCATTTCTTTTCATGCCTGTCCATTCCCGTCCCACCGTGACTACTGAGTACTGGGTCCGCCAGCGATTGCAAAGACCGCGGTTTCCATGCTCCTGCTAAAACTACGAAGGGTAGAGGCTATGGAGTATGACACTAGTGCATCTGGTCTCTCCATTTGTGGGGGTGACGGAGATATGTAAGTTTTACATATCCATCAACTGATCTGTTTGATGCTGCCGCCTTGCTGCTCCATGGACGTGGGGGGGATGAAAGATCGATGCTGACCGTAACACACACAACGTTGCAAGACCCAAAGAGTGACGAGTGTTACTGGTTTGTGGTATCTGGTATCCCAACTCCAGACCTGGTTGGACTCCAGGATCTTCCCTCCGAGACATACATACATACAGACAAGCATATCCCGGATGCCCGCTCGCAACAGAGTACAAAGTACGCCCATCCGTCAGGTCTTCCAAGGCCACCAGACCTGCACGCAAGACGATCCTTCTCCACTTGCTTGGATCTCACGAATAGTAAAGTAAACCTGGCTTTCTCGTGGTCCTAAAAGGGAACAGAACAAGCGCATCAACTCAACCGTTGAAGTCCAGCGCCACATCTTCTCTAAAGCTTCCGCGGCAAGACTAGGTCCACAATTGCCCTTCCTCTAGGCTCCGCGAAGTAAAGCCCCGGCGATATGGACACTATTCACGAAGTCTTACCCTAACCGTCCCCTTGGTGTTCTTCTTTTCTTCTGCCTCTTTTCTTTCGCTCCTTTTGTTGATAGGACGGCTGAAGTCCACGTTCCTTCATACCAGTGTGCTGGTTCTTCGTTTCTGCTATCCGTGTAAAACACCGTTAGCCCTCCGGTGCTTGGTCTGATTTTTTTTTTTCCCTTTATCTCTTTGCGGACTTACTCGAGTTTGACTGGATTCCTCGAGACAACCTCAGAAAGAAGTCGTCACTCTTTCAACCGTATCACGAGTACAACTCGACTCGGAAACACTTCTCACCGTGAGCACAGGCGTGCGTTTGGTCTTGCAAGCCCAAATCCAAATCCCCCGAGCGAAATAGGAAATTAAGCAGGCCCTGCTCCCCTCTCCCTTTGGGAAACAAGCAAGATTGACTTGCTTCTCTTCTGGGTCCCACACCATCCTTCAATAAACAGAGCTCACTCCACAACCCATCTGTTCATCTGCCTTCCCCCGGTCGAGTCCTCCCAGCCCAAAGCGGACGGCTCTGTGCGGAAATATCGCAGTATTGGCCAACAAGGAATATCCAGCAGGTCCGCCGGGTCTTACGAAATACATTGTTAGTTCGGCGCCTGCCTTGGAAGGACGACCTAACACCTAAGGTCCCTTTTCTTGTTAACGATTCTGCCCTGGTTCGGGGAGAGATTGGTCTGCCGCTGTTCACTTTTCGTCGATTTCACTTCTTAACCCCCCTCGTTATCTTTTTACCCTGTCCTTGCCCTCGTGGTCATACCTGTTCCGATTCTTGTTATTCTGCTTGGAATGACGTCTCGGACATGAAGAGAATACTCGAGGCTTAACGCCAAAGCAAGAGGCTGCTAGAGATTTGATATCTTGCATTTTATGTTCTTGGCGTGATTGGGCTTTGACACCATCGAGCCCTCCACGTCTTTCTCTAACTATACGGGCCTTCGCTCTTTTACCGCCCTTACCCTTTTCCTTTACTCTACGATAATACCTTCTCCCCGACGACTCCGCCAAGATGCAGGCTCAACTGGAAGTCGGCCGGGCAGCCCGCCATCCAAAAATGATCATCTCCCCTCCTCGCCTCAACCTCCGAAGAGCCGCCTCCTACCAGTACGAAAAAGGTCCGCTGTCAGCAACCTCCTCTCGCTTCAACTTCAATCACCTCTTCTTCTCCCCTCCACCCTCACCCAGTCTTCCGGCCCTTGTTCCTCGACCTAAGAGCTCGCCTACGCGTCCACGGCCTAGCCGTGTGTTGCGTATTGCGGTATGGATGGCCAGTGCTCTTTTCATATTATACATTGGGACGCAAGCTGTCCGGCGGCATATCGAATTAGCAGGCGTGAAGATGGCCTATATGGATCGGAATAGTGGAGAGGATGAGGTAGAAATGGTGAGCGGGGAAGGGTTGCCCGAGTTTCCTACACCCATTATCGTTAAGGATATGTGGGGGAGATCGAAATGGACACTTTCTATACCAAGGAAGTATGGATTTCCATTATCAGTGAAGGAATACGCTGAGATGCCTCGGTTTTGTCGGGAGGTGCAAGCGGCGGTGCGCCACCAGCATGAGTGGAGTGGGAAGGAACAACAGCGGCCATTAGCAATTTACGGGGAGTCGGATTCTTATTACATCGATGTGCGGGAAGCGGTGAATACAGGTTTGCTGCCCGAGGAGCCGGCCGACAGAAAGTCGAAGGCAGCATTGGGAAATCTCGTGGGAGTGAACAGGGACTCTCATATGCCTGAGTGTGGGAAATCACTAACAGTTGTGCTGGAGACGAGTGAAGCCGGAATAGGCAGCGCGTTGATGATGCTATGGACTTTCTATGGACTTGCTAAGGAGCAAGGGCGGTCGTTCTTCATCGATGATAGCAGGTGGGCATACGGCCGATATACTTCCATCTTCCAGCGTCCACCTGTACCCGATTGTCAACCGCCACCACGGCACGAGATGGTGCCGTGCCCTACGCAAGCGAGACACCTAGTCGTGTCCGCCTCTACGGCAAGGGACGTCCTGATGGACTCCCTGAGTTCTCGACAAACGAGCGGCCAGGCCATCGACGACGACTCCATGAGGAAGCTTCTCTTCGATTTCGCCCGACGTGGCTACGAAGCCCTCTTCCACCTCACACAAGAAGACGTCGAATACCTCGATTCCCGCGTCGAAAGCCTCACCTCGAAAGCCAAGCTAGCCAAGACGCCCATCGCTGGCATGCACATCCGCCGCGGCGACTGCCGCCCCCTCGAATTCCCCTACCGCAACTCATATATCCCCAACGAAGTTTACGTCGACTCTGCACGCTCGGCCATAAGGAAGCGCTTCGCTGATCTCGCCTCCTCCGACTTATCCCCCTTCCTCGTCGCGGCGTCCGACGATCCCACAGTCCACGACTCCGCCGAACTTAAAGGAGCGCACCACGCACAGGAACGCATCAAACTAGCCAGCAAAGATGCCCTCGATAAGTCCGCCTCAACTGTCGAACGTGACCGCTCCGTCATGCACCGCTTTAAGGACGAGACCTTCGGCTGGGAGGGCGGTTTCTTCTCCTCCATGTTTTGGAACCTGGGATTACCAAAGGGCAAGACAGGCGCGTACGACACCGAGGCCTCAGAGAGCACCGTGTCGCTTAGGGGCTTCCTTGCGAGGGCCTACCTCTTGGATCTCGCTGTGCTGGCTAACACCGGAGATGTGGTGGTTTGCGCCGTGGGTGCCATGGGGTGCAGACTCCTCGGTGTTATGATGGGGTGGGAGGCGGTGTCTGAAGGTGGGAAGTGGGTGAACATTGATGGCGAGCATAAATGGATGGGTTTGACATGGTGATGAAGCATTTTCTAGCTTGGCGTGCTTTCTTTTTTCACTTTCGACTTCTTTGTTTGATATTTTCTCCCTGTCTTTTTTTCCTTTTTACTGAATACCCTGTCATTCGCTCTTCTCTGTATGTGCGTTGTATGTACTTGTAGGCTTTAGGTAGAGACTTTTGGCGGATCCTGAAATTAGGGAAAACGGAGAATGAAAGAAACCCAGTTCAAAACAAACAGGCTTTGGAACCAAGACATGCCCACGCGTTCGTTCCTTGTTCGTTATAAGAGGGTCCAAAACTTGTGTTTGAAGACATCTCAGATAGCCTCAAGATGTACGAGGTCGAGACTTGTCCTAACGGGCACGCTCTTCAAACTGAGCAGGATCGTACAGAGCATCAAGTGTCATTATACCATCATATTCATTACAGCTATCATTCTAATAATATACAGTCTGGCTTTGTACATATATATCGTCTCATAAAGCCGCTGGGAACATGTCCTCAGCATGAACAATAATGACAAAAGAGAAAGTAAACTGAGGACGGCCTGACTGAAAAGGAATGCGGAAGGGGAAACAAGAGAGCAGAAACAAAAGAGTCACCTCCCGGGCTTATGCTGGAGCAAAACTTCCCACTATTATTTTGGGAAGACGGGCGCTGTCGAACTGTTGTTGGCGGTGTTAAATCGAGGGATGCGATGATGGCTGTGGAATAAAGAAAGAGATCCAAGTGAGGGAAATGCGATTGGAGGATTCTTTGCCCTCTCCTCGCTAGATGATCGAAAAGAAAAGTTTCCATCCCCGTCTAAAAGAACGCCATGCGAGTGAAATGAACCGAGAAAAGACAAACATAAGAACAGTATAAAGCAAGGAACGAATAGCAAAATGCAGGGTTAGTAGGGACGTGAGGCAGAGGTCCTCACATGGAAACGACGCGACCGCTGGCAGGCATCGTCCTCGGTCTCGGTCTCAAATTAATAACCATCTCCAACTCCCGGAGCATACCCCTGGTGGATTCCACCTTCTCCCTCGCCTGCTCTTTCCTCTCCCGCTCCTCTCTCATCTTGGCGATCCTCTCTTCCCTTGTAAGCAGAGATCTCGGCCGCGGCAGCGCCACGGCCTCGAACAACACCTCTGCATCACCAGGGAAGTCCTCGGGCAACATCGTCGCGGGACGGGCGTCGCCGTTGAGAATCTTGAACGCATCCTGGACTGTTCCTTCCTCGACGGTAGTGAGGCCGCTGAGGGATGACGAGGGCGAGATGAGAGTGCTTATGGAGGAGAGGCGCTTTTCGTTCCTATCGATGCCGAGGGCGAGGGCTGCCTTGCCTTCCTCCCATGCCTGGATGAGCTCCTTGAGGTCGACGCCAATGGAGTCGTACTGTGACATCAGGGTAGGACCTAGCTCGGAGATGTCGGATGATTCGTCGAGGGCTCGGTCTGACTCTTCGCGTAGGAGTTGGAGTTTGGCTTGGAGGCCGCGGATGCCGGTAGATAAAGAGTTGAGTTTTCTCATCTGAGACCTCCAGCGTTCGCGACCTGGAGTCAATGGCACTTTGGGCGTTGGTGGGGTCGGGAATGCTATTGACACCTGGGTTAGCAACAACATAATAAGGAGGCCTCGCAGTAGAAAAAAAAAATGTAGAATAAAACTTACATTCTTCCTGGCTTAACACGGTGCTAAGTCGCTCGTATGCCTGGCTCGTATTCTGACGCAAAGAGATCAATGCCTCGACAGCGGTAGTCCAACGCATCAAGTCGTTCCCATCAGTATTCGCATCAAGCGCCAGCAGTGCACAAAGGAACATCTTCCGAATCGTGAGGAACCTAGCGGCCAAGACCTTGAGCGTACGCAACGACTCAGCATCATCAAACTCTTCCTCGGAATAACCCCGCCTCGCGTCCGAAATGTCAAAGTCGGAGATGTCATAGATATCAAAGTATTTCTCGAGGTCGAGCTGTTCAGAGAAGCCTTTGACAACGGCGGTCGCCTGGGAGTAGACGGGTATGGTTTCGACGTAGCATGCCTTCAGCGCCCTGCGCAGACGAAGGCATTTTCGGCTTTGGGATCGGTCTTCGATTCGGCTGATGGGAGGTAGGGGCGCGCTTCTGTGATTACGAATTAGCATAAGAGCCTCCAACATACCGGTGTCGGAACATGGAAGGGACGCGAGGCGGTACATGGCGGCTAACGTACATTCTATAACCGCGGGAGACCAGCTCAACCTCCTGAATTAGGGACAAAGCCGCTCCGCTCGCACTATCGAGGCTCTGTGACGCGGACACGAAGGACGAGACCTCGGAGATGGCTTGGTCTCTCCGGTACTTGACCCATTGCCTCTTGAAGTATATCGGAGCGACTACTGCCACCAAGGCGACCAAAAGGGCGAGAAGAAACAAACGCCTCTTGTTTAGACTAGTGTAGCCACCGGCAGCTAGCCAAGCCGCAAGGAAAGCTGCCACCACGGCGCCGGTTACGGAGACGAGAACCGCCGGAGCTGGGGGCAGCTCCTCGCCCGGGGTCTTGCTGGAGTTCGGATCATGGGTGCTCGTCAGGTAAGCGTTCTGGCTGAAGCCTGCATGGCCTGTTAAGAGTTGAGAGGCGACGATTATATATCGGAACTGCTCGAGGAATTTGGCGTTGTCGGCTTTATCGATCCGAGAGGTTACGACGGCCTAAAGTCGAAGACGGGTTAGGAACAATGACACATGAAAATAATTCCACAGAGTCGTTCTGCCTTACCGAATACCTGGACTTGAGGCTCCGCAGAGGTGACCTCTTTGGTATCTCCAGTCGTATAGGTGGTGGCGCGTTAGATCGGAACCTCGACCTGACAGTTGGTCGGCCCTTGGGAGCGAACCCGGGGCTCGATGGTGGTGAGGAGGAAAAATCGGGTTCGAGATCGGGAGTCGCCCAGTCTGAGGCGTCGGCCTCGCCCTCCCCTATGGTCAGAAACAGCCAGGTTAGTTCGTTCGGTTCCTTGCAGGCTGCAGCAGGCTCCAGCTGGGGCTTGGTGACGTGTCGCCTACCTATTAGATAGTCGGCGAGAGGCGTGTGGTCCTGCACCACAGTCTCCATTTATTCTGTTGCGATGACGATAGGAGAATACAGAGGGAACAAAGGAGAACGTGTGTATTTCGAAGAGGTGGGTTTTATTAGTGTACGGTTGTTATCGCGACTCCATCTGACGGGTCCAGGATCGATTCTCGCTTCTCGAATTAGTGCTGCTTTCGGTGAGGACTTGGTTTGAGAGTGACAGGTTGACAGTGATCCAGAAATTATAAGTGTGTCTTGCAAAGGCGCTCGTAAATGTAGTAAGGTTTTAACTGGGATCGGAGGGGCGTGGAAGATTATAATTTATCGTGGTATATGATGGGGTCGTCCGCTGAGACACGAAGAAAAGAGGAGGAAGGCGAAGCGAGGGAGAAGCGGCAGCGAGATGTTGCTGTTTGCTTCCAAGTATCACGGGAAGTCGGACTACGCTTTGCTTTTCGCCTAAGTCTCCCAATGTAGGTGATACGCGGCCTCGGGGAATGCTAAGTGGCGAGACGGGACATGGCAGTCGAATCGCCGACAGCTAAAAAGAAGGCACTTGAGGGAGGGAGGTGGACGACGGCTTGTGACCACCAGAGAGTCGGATCCGCAGCGACGTGAAGAGATGACGGCAACAGCCTCTATTAGGACGAGCTCTCTTTTTGTTGCTTTTGGTTGCTCGGGGTCTAGGAATGTTTCTAAAATTCCTGTTTCGATCAGTTCCTTCTAAGCTTCTTCTCCAAGCAAACTCAAGAATGATGGACCACGCGGCGAAGATCAGGGTCGCATTGACGCAGCTTATTATGGTTCATCTCCCTTTCACCTGGCGTCGTCCCGTATTTCAGGAGGATGGCTGTAAATTGACCAGGGCTGGCTTCGCCGAGATTGGATGGTAGGTTTCTGGGGTCTTCTTCCAGGCCTCCCGCTGCAAATGTTCCAACGCTCGAGACCCACTGGACTGGGCCTTGCACGCTCCTTCCGTGGGGTCCTTTGTATTCCCTAATTAAACTACATGCTTACGTATTATCCCAGTAATTCTCCATTTAGGAAAATGCCTTTCCCGTTCCGGTAAAATATACTGTTCTCCCGAAAACTAGCCACGCTTAATCCGAATTATGCGACGTAAGGATCAAGCTCCAGCAACACACTTCGTGATCGCGATATCAAGGAGGCTCTGTGCAGTAGGGCATTCGACATCTTCTCTGCGATATATCCGATAGCCGTTAAAGCTCGGCTCTAGAACATACGGCGAATCTTTCGGCATTTCGCTACTCTAAATATCGCACCCTCAACATCTGCCAATCCTTAGCTTCAAGTCCGTAGCTCCTGGAGCTACCAACCTGTCGTCGCCATGTCTGCCGTCGAGCGAGAATACCAAATCTCGCCCATCGTTACCGATTCCGTCGTTCACAACACCAAGGTAAGACCTAAAAATCTCGCCTCCTACCCTCCACCGATACCGGGATTTTCACTAACCCACATATCCCCGCCCTCCAGACCCTCTCCAACTTTCAAAGTCTTACGGCCTCCCTCTTCGGCGTCACAGCTGGCATCCTCGGCCTCGAATCCTACTCCGGTTTCCTCTTCTACTTCATCTTCACTGTCATCGGCATTCTATTCTTCCACATCTTCCGCATAGCGCCGAATGCCCGCGCTGCAGGTCTTTCATTCTTCGACACCAGCGAGTATTTCAAGGGCCCTCTTGACTTTTGGACGAGCGGGTTTATGGCTGGGTTGCCGGGGTATATATTGACGTGGACCTTGTTTTACGGCCTTGTGAGGGCGTGAAGGCGGAAAGAGCGAGTTTTTGACTCGCGAATATATGCGGTTCTTGTGCGAAACTCAGGCATTAAAGTGTATTATTTCTTTTTTTTTTTTTTTTTGGGCGTTAGGTTACGGCTTGTAATATGTTGACTGTTGCGATAACCTTGAATAATAGATGAGATGATTCCTAGCTGAACGGGACGACAAACGCTCAGAGCAAGAAGATGTGTATTGTGCATTGCAAATGACAGGCTTTTTCTCCTAAAATCTCACAAATACGACGAAGTACGATGTAAGTTGTACGCAGAAAGGAAAGGGGAAAACGCTTCAAAACAAACAACATTCCCGTTACAAAATCCCGATACCCTCTTTCCGCCTAGTCTAGTCGGCTATTTCAACAACCTTGCCAACGAAAGCATCAAGACCCGATCTACCCCCTTCCAACACCAGGACTTGCGAACCCAGCTCAACCCATTCCCGGCTAGATAATATATCAAGCGACACCTCGACCCCGGCTGATTTCACTCCATTTCCTACGTTCTCAGCCCCGTCCAGGTGGTCGTCGAGTTTGAAAACGTCGTCCACATCCTCACCAGTATCATCTTTAGGACGAGCCTCAGCGACGCGCACCACCTTGGCTGCCGTGCGCACACTAGCGACATAGATGGACACGACATTTCCTACCGCCAAGGATGCTGTTCTGGGGTCTTGGAACAACGCGGTGAGACCGCTTGCAGCCTGCAGCGAAATTCCGGTTTTCACCATGTGATGGGATGGCACGGCAATGACCATGCCCTTGCGGATACGCTGCATATTTTCGGGCTTGTCCAGGACGACCCCGATAGAGCCAACTTGCCCTGCTTCAAGGGTATTAACCGGCAAGCGGAGGTTCCGGATGCTGACGACCGTGGCATCGTGCCATTCTCCCTTGATCTTGGATGCGGAGATAGCATTCCTGATGGCGAGCTTCGCAAGTTCGGTGGCACCCTGGTGGGCTGCCGTAAGTGCGGAGTAGCTACCCGGAGAGGGCCGGTCTTCCGGCCTCTGTTCCTCGGAGTCATCGTCTTCCTCTGGTGGGAAAGGGCCAACAACCACGCGGTGTCCAAGGTGGATGTCTCCGAAGCGAAGGTATCCTGAAACCACGGTTCCCTCGTCGACTTGGTCAACATACCCGGCAGAAACTGGGGCATGCCTTGCTGGCAGATTGTACTTCTCTTCAATATGGAAAAGAGTAACTGGCTGCTCGGGGTTGAGCACCGGACCGGTGAAGTCTTGAGCGGTCGGAGTGGGTGGCATCGGCAGGTTTGCGAGTAGCGCATGCACGAGCCCGATTCCTTTTCCCATTACCGAGCTGGTGAGAATTATGGGGACGTGCTCAACCGGCTGCTCCATCTTGTTGACAACAGCTTGGATTTTCCTGATGTCATCCGCAGGAATGTGAGTTAAATTAGAATGACATTCCTGGCCGGTACGTATAAGATGGGGCTGACGGCCAGCCGCCTTCACGGCGTTCATGACTCGCTCCAAGATAGGCTTAATCACTGAAATCCCAGAGACATCGCCCTTGGTAAGTAATACGGCAAGCGGAATTCCCAGTTTGAGGCAGAGACCGAGATGCGCAGCAGCTGCATTTAGCGACTGTTCTCCCTCATGCATATCGGCCCCATTTACTCCAACAGCGAAGTCCTTGTCATCGGCCGCGATGCATAAAATGATCCAATGGGGCGCCCAGCCTACAAGTCCCCTCAAAATAGTTCGGCGGAATCTTGTTGCACCGGCGGAATCGGAGACAAATACCAGACGTCCATTCTCTGCACCATCGTGGATATTAATCCAAGACTCAATATCAGGGCGACCGAAGTTGAATATCTCATCTTCTTTGTATCCGATGAGCTCTTGAGCGACTGAACTTGTCACTCCAGAGGCGACTTCATGTCGATGCTTGAGAAGTCCCAGACGGCTGCTACCAGCTCCATTGTCAAGAGTGCCAGTGGAAATGGTGCCGAGTAAAGTCGACTTCCCCGCGGTAGAGGGCCCCGTCAGAGTTACCCTTAACTGAGCTGTAGTTGACTGCACAGCTGTCAAATCTGGGCCATCCTGATGAGGGTTCGGCGAGTGTGTCGCAGGGCTGAGTCCGTGATCAGGGATCACAAGCGCCTCGCAGACCCAAAGTTTCTGACGTTGTGGGTGCGATGTAGAGACATTTGTACGGTGGTCATCAAGGAGATTTTCATCTTCACAGAATTCGCAGTGTCCGACCTCAACCGTGCGAAGGATCTTAACATCACAGCCGAGACTAGCAGCCATGTTTCGAAGGACCAGGATACTTTCATCCATCTCATCCTTTGTCAGTCCCACGAAGGTGCCATCATCAGACACTCCTATTTCATACAGTGCGCCCTGAGATTCCTCAAGGCCCACAGGCAATTTTTCTGGTTTTACAAGCTGACTGGCGTCGACGATATCCTCGGGCAGGCGGGGGATGAGAATGTCACGGCGCGAGCTTGCGACATGGTTCGGAGAGGATTGCTTCAGCCGCCAAAGAAGCTGGGTAGTCAGGTGAGAAAGACGCTGTTGACGACTCTGGCTCGAGGCTGACTGTGGAGGAGGCGGTGAAATTGAAGTCTTCGTCGTCGAAGGCACCGGTCTCGCCTGGACAGAGCCGGAGATATGGGGCGCAGTGCTTATGTGGCTGTACACCCTTCTTGGTCTCAACAGAAGATGTAATTTGTACTCGATTGGGCCTTCCTGGGGCTCTGGGCCAAGCCTCGAAATGCCATACTCGGAAAGAGGATCCGGTTCGGGGACATTGTGCAAGTCCTCATCGGTAGCGCTGGGTTTCGGGCTACTGGACTTGATGTCTGAGACTTCCGACGGCTTCCATGGAGAGGCAACACGGGTGGGCTCAACAAAAGAGAAGAGTGAGGCCATCGCAGATCGGACCGTTCTTCTCGAATCTTCTTGAATTAAGGCAAGGTCGTAAAAATCAAGACAATAGGGTAGGATGATGCCTGGGAATTGGGTGATGACTTCTATTCAGTGTACTTCAATATGTGTCTCGTATGAGATCTGCGTAAGTCGGAAAGTAGAGATAGTGGTGAGTTAGAGCATGTATCCGTGTTTTCATTTTTGCTTGACTGTGACAAGAGCAGTAGTGATGGGGAAGTCGCTTTGGCCTGGATGGATGGGGATACCGCTATTTTAAGTCGGCGCACAACCAAGATATGAGTAGGTCTGGACAGAGGACAGTTTCACTGAGAGAATAGACCGAGCGAGTCCATTGTCAATAATAGGAAGGATAAAGAAAGGATGCGAGGAGGCGGGAGACGGAAGACGCTACGATCCTCTCCGAAGTTGTCGAGATGTTGGAGTCGACGTCGAGCGATGCGATGACACATTGATGGAAAAGCCAGCTGACAATAAATTACCGACAGCTGTCGCAACCTGCAAGTATCTCAGTACCTCAGTGCCAGGTTCATGAATACTCGAGAATCCCAATTGACGCCTGCCTCTAGCTTAAAGTGCTGGCACGTTTGTGGGGCCTGCCATCCCCACTTCACTAGGACCAAACGCTACATGTACTATTGTACTTTTGTCAAGGCCCCTGAAATGAAACCGAGAGTCTGAGCAGCAACGCTGTTACAACTCGGTGCACATCAAGCTTATCCTAGATTACATTACGAAGTACTGCTCCGGAGCGCCGAGAAACGGAAAGATATATTCGCACCGCATGTTGAAAAGACAACATTGAATTATACGATCAAGAAGAGTCATCTGCCTGCCCGTCTGAGCCACCAATGTTCTTCGTACCTTCTTACGAAGCGTTGACGCTACTTCATAAAAGGCTGAACGGCGGCTGAGGTCACTAAGCCACTTCTTAGTCGGGCACCAGCGCGAAGTACCTGTGCTCCCTCTGTCGTGCGACGAAGTACCTCAACCTTCCAATCATACTTTGGGCTCGTCAATCATCCCAGCATGTGCAAGAGTGAAACCCCACCTTGACGGTCTCTCCACCACTTTCTTGCCTCCTGTTTCGATACGGCGTTGTAGCGGGAAATACAAGTGCACCATTGGGCCTCGCTCTCCCCTTAACGGTTATATCCTCGAGAACCATGTCTCTTTCAGAGTTACGACGCACTTCGTAGGGCTTTATTCCTAGAACTCTTCCTTCCATCTTCGGAATACCAACAATACGATCATCTTTCCAGTTTTGCCACATAGCGATATACACCTCGCCCCTTCTCTTCGCACCACTGTATCAACTTCCAAGGCCTGGCTATCCTCGCCAGCGATCCCTCCGTTTGAAACCGTTCGAGCCCTCGCCGTCGGCTTTAACCTGCTGACCCCCTCGATCGACACTATTCCGTTCGTCGATTCAGGCGAAATTCGGCATATATAGATACCTCCTAGCCCCGTTTACCCAGGTTTCCTTCTTTCCACGATGAAGAAGTTCGGTTTCTCGAGGAAGTCCGACAAGGCTGCCGGTTCAGCATCCGACAACCCCTACGCTCAGCAACCCCCCGCGCAGGACCCATATTCCAACGGATCTCAGTCTAACAGTCAAAGCTCCATGGGTCCTCGACCTACTCCGGGCGGCCTTCCCAGTGGGCCCCGCGGAGGTCTCCCCTCGGGACCACGAGCCGGCGGTGGATTCGGCGGATCTCCCGCACCGCGGCCTGCAGCTCCCCAGCAGTCTAATAGCTACGGAAGCTCAGGATACGGCTCAGGATCCGGGTCTGAAAAGTACGGACCTGGCGGCGGATACGGCGGACCTCCCGCCTCACGGCCTGCGGCGCCCCAACAGTCTAATAGCTATGGCGGCTCAGGATACGGGTCTGATAAGAACGGATCCGGTGGCAGATACGGCGGACCCCCCGCCCCACGACCTGCAGGTCCCCAGCAGTCTAATAGCAATGGAGGCCCAGGATACGGATCCGATAGGTACGGATCTGGTGGAGGATATGGCGGCAACCGATACGAGAATGGCAACGGGCAGAGCCCATCGTATGCGGGCTCTTCTTCCTCTTCCCGCCCCGGCGGCTACGGCGGAATGGGGAAGAGTGATTCCGACGGCTACGGCGGGCGTGGTAATTCTTCTCAACAAGATTCGCAAATCAGTTCCGCATCATCGGGAGGGTCCACCAGTCGATATGGTGATGGAAACCTGGCTCGAACAAATAGCTCGTCCACGGAAGTCAACCGCAGCGACCTCTTCGGTGGTGCACAGAACCGCTACGCTCCCGATCGAGGCAACGCTTACGCTTCAAAGTCAGAAGGGGCCCAGGGAGACCGGTACGGTAATGGAAACTTGGCTCGAACTAACAGCTCATCCACGGAAGTCAACCGTAGCGACCTCTTCGGCGGTGCGCAGAGCCGCTACGGTTCCGGTCAGGGTAGCACTTATGGGGCAAGGCCAAAACCTGCCCAGGACGATCGGTTTGGGCAATCGGGGCAGTCTGCGGTGTCTGGCGTCGACTCTGGAGCGTATGGTGGTTATGGAGAACAGCGAGAGCTTACCGAAGAAGAGCTGGAGAACCAGGCTGTCCAAGACACTATGAGCAAGACGAGTCAAACTCGAGATGCCACCATTCAATCCCAGGACAGATCCCTCCAGCTGGCGTATCAGAGCATCGAAGTCGCCCGAGGTACACTGGGCCTCATAGGAACCCAAGGAGAGAGGCTGCAAAATGCGGAACGCAACATGGATCTTGCAGACAATTACAACGCTGTGGGTCTTGATAAAGCAAAGGAGTTGCAGACCGTCAATCGAAGCATGTTCGCCGTGCACGTGGCGAACCCGTTTACGGCCAAGAAGCGTGCTGCGGCTCGAGACCAAGAGGTGATGGAACGTCACCGTATGGAAAAGGAACAGCGAGAGGAGACCAGGCGAAACCACTACCAGGAAGCCCGGTCAGTGGAGAAGTCGCTTAGGAATATGGACATCAATGAGCCGAATAACACATTCTACCCTCAAGTCCCAAGAGAGAGGAACAAGTATCTCTTCCAGGAAGAAGGTGCTGAGGAGGAGGAGAAGGAGGAGATCATCCATCATAAGCTCAATGAGCTCGGTGGTGCTCTAGGTACTCTGCATTCATTGGCGGTACAGACTGGTGAAGTTGTCGACCAGCAAAACCGGGTTATTGACAGGATTGCTGAAAAGGTAAGCTGTGCTCTCCTTGTACGACTCTTGAATACGGGGCGCGGGCCCTGGCTGACCTTCTTCTTCAGACGGATCGTGTCGATTACGGTGTGAGGAGGAACAGAAACGAGCTGGACAAAATCCGATAGGGCTAAGAGGCCAAAAGTATCGATCGTCTCGTGTTATTGGAAGGCCCAACGTCGCCTTCAGAAAGTTTGGAGTTACTTTGAATCCATCCATCCCCGTTGCTATTCCAAATATAGTTGTTTTTGCCCAAGGCGGTTATATACCTATGAGCTCCCAGTAAAGTAGGCCATGGACAAATTTCTCTGCTCTGATGTCAGCACTTCGTACTCTTCATCGACATCAATCTGGACAGTCTTGGTGCTGTAGTACAAAATGGTGCTGCGCCTGGAGCGCGTGTTATTAGTTGCTGGCTGTGATCAAATGCGCACTGTGCGACAGGCTCCTACCTCAAAAAAATTTCCCTCCAGCTTCTTAGACTCTCAGACCTCCACCCGAGTGTACCACGGCGGAGACTCGCAAGACAGTAGACAGCATGACGGACAACTCAAGGGCACCGAAAAGACGAAAAATTAACGGCTCTGGATCCGTTGGAATTTCGAGATGCCAGAATAAACCCGAGGCTCAGCATTCGCAACCAACACACGATCCCTCCGTCCGAACTGAAAGGATGGAGATTCCCGCAAAGGATCGGAAGAGTCATGCTCAGGGTGACACCCGGGATCGTAGGCGTAATAATCCGATACAGACGCCGAGATGGGCCGATGACCCAAAGCTCCTGAAAGCGAGAAAAGAACTCCCCATCTGGGGCTATCGATCTCAGATCCAGAGTGCTCTGCGGCGGAGTGACCTGCTCATTATTGTGGGAGAGACAGGTTCGGGCAAAAGTACACAAACACCCCAATTTCTCCTTCGCGAGTCCTGGTGTCGCAGGCAAACGAAGACGGTTAAGCTTGATGAGGACGGTACGAAACGCCAGGTAGAAGTCGGCGGAATGATCGCTGTCACGCAGCCTCGTCGAGTTGCCGCAACGACTCTGGCCCACCGAGTATCGCAAGAGGCAGGGTCTCCGTTGGGCAAGTCAAGTAACGGCCTCGTCGGCTACTCCGTGCGCTTCGACCACAATGTTCCAAAAGGGACCAAGATCAAGTTCATGACGGAGGGAATGCTTCTGCAAGAATTGCTTCGAGACCCTCACCTAAGACAGTACAGCGCCGTCGTTGTCGACGAGATTCATGAAAGGAGCATCGATGTCGACCTTCTATCCGGCTTTCTAAAGCAGATCCAATCCAGCGACCTTAGCGGCCGTGGTGGAGTGCCGTTGAAAATTGTCGTTATGAGTGCGACAGCAGATGTGGAGGGAATCCAGAATTTCTTCGCTCACGGGCAGAGCAGCCAGAGTACTCCAAAAACAGTTCCTGATGGCGCAGAGCCCAAGTCCATGGAATTGCTTCACATTCGCGGCAGACAATATCCTGTCCAAATTTCTCATACGCTAAAACCTGTACCTGATCTTCAGGATGGCCTTGTGCGCTCTATATTCAAGCTCCACACAGAGGAGCCATTGCCCGGTGATATCCTCGCCTTTTTGACTGGACAGGAGGAGATTGAGTCCGCGCAGCGACTTATAGAAGACTATGCGGCTACCTTGGCGTCGAACGTACCCAAAGTCAAGGTCCTTCCTCTCTTTGGTCAATTATCCATCGAGGCACAGCATGCGGCGTTCCAGCCTGTCAAGGAGTCCTTCACGAGAAAAATAGTCCTTGCGACTAATATTGCAGAGACATCCGTCACTGTGCCAGGCGTACGTTACGTTGTGGACTGTGGAAAAGCCAAAGTCAAGCAGTTCCGATCTCGTCTTGGACTCGAGTCCCTGCTCGCAAAGCCGATATCGAGGTCATCCGCAATTCAGAGATCTGGAAGAGCTGGTCGAGAGGGGCCAGGGAAATGTGTGAGGTTATACACCCAAGAAGGGTTTGAATCGCTTGCAGAAAGAGACCTCCCGGAAATCCTACGCAACGACGTACTTGGTGCCGTCCTGACGATGAAAGCGTACGGAATAACCGATATTCAGTCTTTTCCATTAATGGATAGGCCCGATACCGAGGCTATACTTAAAGCCCTGAGCCATTTGCATTCGCTCCGCGCTATCACCAGTAAGGGAGAAATCACAGATATTGGCAGGAGACTCGCTAGGTTCCCCATTTCAGCTTCTTTCGGCGCCGTCTTATTAGCTGCCGCCGAACCCGAGTTCGACTGTGTCCTCGAAGCCATCGACGTCATCTCGTGTATAACCTCAGGAGAAGACATATTCTATCGTCTTCTCTCTGAAGAAGACCTGGAGCAAGTGGAGGAGACGCGGAAGGAACTTTACCGCCGCGAAGGCGACATCCTCACCTACCTGACTACCATGCAGCAATACACGGCGGAGCACGCGGACCGTGTGCAGTGGTGCAAGAAGAGGCGCGTCAACATTCGCAACATGAGAATGGCTGTCAACATCAGGAGGCAACTCCGTGGCCTCTGTCTCAAGGAAAAGCTGTTGAATGCGGCGCCACCCCCAGACCCTCAGCCCTTTGAGCCCTTGCCGCCCGATCGAGCGGAGAGCCTCCTCAAGTGCTTTCTAAGGGGCTTCGTTTCAAAGACCGCACTCTTGCACCCCGATGGAAGCTATGTTACAATCCACGGAAAACATACCGTCGCGATACACCCGTCAAGTGTCTTGCATGGTGTGAAGAGAGAGGCGATTATGTTTTTGGAGCACGTCTTCACGCAGAAGAGTTATGCGAAGAAAGTGAGCGCCATTGAGGCGCCATGGATAGTGGAGGAGCTCGAAGGGAGCTCAGTATCTTTGGGGCCGTAGATTTAGATATATTCAAAATATTTTTGGACAGTTGTATGCAGAAAGCCTCAGTGTTGACAACCTGTCATACGCCAGCTCACAGTAGGAATCCATCGCGTTGATCGTGCCAACAACACCGTGTTTTATGCTACTGGCACAGTACAATAGGCGGCTTTGTGAAGTAAATTTAGTCATCATCGATCCGAGGATATGAACGACCTCTCCCATTTCCTCACATTATTTCCTCCCGTAAGAGCACGATCTCACCCACGTCAACTCTCACGCGTATTTATTTTATCTTGACGATGAGGCAAATACAAGCCATACGGAGAATATCGACGGGTGCTATAGGCGGGAATGGTCTCCAACCTGCGTTGAGGGCGTTGCTACCCCCGATTCAATTATACAGGCGGCTTCTACGTGCCCACAGGAAACATCTCCCTCGAGATATGAGGTTGCTCGGGGACGAGTACATAAAGGCCGAGTTCAGGGCACATAAGGATGCGGAGAATCCGGCACATGTGGTCAGTCTCGTTCACCGAAAGGCAGGCCCAGGTTGAGGAGATCGTGCCTGTACTAATGTTGGATGTGGAATGATATCCTTAGATCACTTTCTTGACGGAGTGGCAGCTTTATGCTCAAAAAGTAGAGGGTAATTCATGGAGGGGGGAGAAGCTCGATTCTAAAGTCGTGGAGAAGATGACAGGTAAGCGTGTTTCTTGGCGTGAGCTGTTCGGTCTCCAATCCGCCTCTCAATCCGCCGTTACCAGAACGGACCCATAGACGAAAAGTCGAATTACTGACTAGCATGGACGTGATAGATGAGCAGATGCAGCAGCTTTATGAGCTGATGCAAACGATACGCGAAGGGGAGGGAGAGGGAGGCCCGGAGCACAGTAATTGAGGCTCCCTTCCGGACGACGTCAAAAACAACACTTATCTGGTGATGAGAAAAGTGGTTTACTGGAGCTGTACACTAGGCATATATAGATTATCTTCGGGTTTGAGGGTTCATTGAGCAATTTTGGTATCATTATCATCTCGATCTAAACTATTCCCATTACATTAGAAGGTGAAGGTATACGGCAACTCTGCATACGGCCGGTATTTTCCAACCTGTTCTTCGTGATTTCTTGCCTCTTCTTCTTCTTCCTTGCTAGGAGGTGGTAGATGCGGGAATCTAACCCGGCGTTCTCTGTTCAATTCCTCGAGAATGGTCACCAGCCATGCAGCAGTTCCTATTGTCACAAAGTGTTCCATTGACAACACTCTTTGGCGCCACTGATAGCACTCTCTCATCAAAACCCTCGCATGATCGCCGTCACCCAACTTTACCGTGGTTAGCGCAAGCCTGAAAAGGATTGTCGGCGTGAACATGCTCCGATCTCCTAGGGTTGCCCTTGCAATGGCCAGAACTTTAGCCAACGTCTCCTGTGCTTCCTTGAATTTACCCTGCTTGAAGTAGGCCCAGCCTAAGTCGCACCTCGCGAACAAAGCTTCAATATGGGCAGCACCATAGGTGGCCTCAAACTCCTCGGCGAGTTGCGTGAGAGGCTGTTCCATCGCGCTCGCACGACCGAGCTGTATCCGGATGAAGCATAGCTCGCGGAACATTCGAAGAGTCTTGTAGGATTTTGGGTTACGCTTCATCCGGCCTTCATACACCTCCTCAGCAACTATCTCCGCATCCTCCCATCTCAGCTCATACTGGTAGATTAATGATTCTCTCTGTTTGGCGTTGAGGTACCATGCTGAACCATCACTCTGCCATCTGAGAACAAGGTTAACTATTCCGTGGGCTGACGGGAATACCATGTGGTAGAGGTATAGAGTAGCAATGTCTAGGCAGACTCGGTAATGCGCGATTTTAGCATTGGCCGGATCATCAGACACCTCCAATCTCTCAGCGGTTTCGAGAAGGGTAGGCAGCGCCTTATCCCATTTGGCGAGCGCGATGTACAACCTTCCGAGCTGAACCATCACTTCGAGCGTGCGAGGGTCGTCTCTGCCAAATTCATAGATGCGTTCCTCGAGGATCTGATCAAGGACAACCGCACACTCTTCCCACTGCCCGGCTCGATTGAGAGCCATGGCAAATTTCCTATCCATCTCCGATTTCCGAGCGAAGTCAATATCATCATGGTATTCCGCACCGTACGCCTGCACAGCCCTCATATGAGGGACAAGGTGTGGTAACATTCGGCCTTGTAACGTGTGAGTGGGGGTAAAGACTGAGCCAAAAAGTATACTGCGCGCTACCTGGTGATAGATTTTGAAGGTGATCGGTGTCATGCGATCCCTGGCCCAGGAGTGCACAAGGCTGTGCATAGACAGTGTTCGTCGTTCCCATTCCGGGTCAAGGGTAATGAGTGAATAGTTCTGCAGAATGAGGAGCCCCTGGAACAGGAATTTAAAATCGAAAGTGCCATCCTCACACAGCCCAAGGAAACACCTCTTCGTAGCCGTTGAAGAATCTGAGGATCGTTGCTCGAACGGCACCTCACTGCTAGCGTAGAACGCAGGTATGATCTCTTCAAATCGCTTCTGTTCATGTAGAAAGTACGAAGCGAGGTGAAGGATATCCATAAACATACCTTCACTGTGGTAAAAACAGAAGGTATTGAGAAATTGAAGAGCGCATCGGAACGCTGAAGCAAGTGGCGTGTTGCTGCGAGACATGGCCACGAAATGTTCGATGGTGGTCTCGAACGAGGCATAGACGCCCTTATTACTGAAGACGGCACCGCGGTAGAGAGGACTGTTAAACAACTCTTTCTTACTGACCCGTAGCTTTGCCTGGTATTCTGCAATAGAACAACCTTGGTTACCAATGTAAGCCCCGGCCTGGTCCAAAGCGAGAGGAAGAGATCCGAGTTCGAGAACGAGTCTTTCCGCCTCGGTACGAACTTCCTCGGACCCGTAGTCAAGATGGGCGGATCGAATCAAGAGCTTGATAGAATCATTGACATTCATCTCTAAGACATTGGCCTCGGCTATACATGGCCCTTTGGGAGGCAAGCCACGGTTTCGGCTGGTGAAAAGAATGTTGCCCCTCCCAGGGTTCGGTAGATATGGAGAGACGTCTCCGTCGTCGTAGTTATCCACAACTATAAGCCAACTTTCTTCAGTTGTCTGTAGCCAGGACTTAATCGAGTTGGGGCTAACCGCCCCATTTTGTCCAGGAAAAATAGAGGTTGATATGTGTTGAATACTCCGGAGTATCGTGGATTTGTTCGAGGCATCAATCCAAAAAATATGGGAAAATCTTTCCTCCTACATTAGCACCGGCGTAGACGTTGATGCGGTATCAAAGAACATACCGATTCTCGAACTGGCCTATGAAGCGGAGGGCGATTTGTGTCTTGCCAACACCGCCGATTCCCCAAAGCCAGAAGTCTCTCCTTGGAGAAGATGCTGGGTCACGAGGATGGAAGAACTTATCCATTTCCTCAAGAATATCCTCGCGACCAGTAAATAGTGAACTAGACACTTTCCGATCACCTGGAGTATCCATCATGTGCATGGTTTGTGAAGGGGTAATTGTATGACCTACAAAGTGTTAGAGCCAATGCAAACTGGTTTGGGCGGTTAATCATACAGGCTGCTTTGAGAGGGATCTGATGCTTGTACTTATTCTTCAATGCCTCGACAACTTTGTCGATTGCTATGGAGACATAGGGAATGCTGAGGTACTCCTCTGTCGCCTGCCTTAGTGCATGCATCTTCTTGTACTCGTGGATCCTGATCCTCCCCAGTTCTTGGGAACGGGGTAGAGAGAACCGATAATAGGAGTCGGGACAGTCTTTGAACTGCCGCATTAATTCGACATGCGGACCCTCGGGGTCGGTGAGGAAGTCTGCCGTCATTCGCGTAATCTCGCCAATGCTGTAGGTCATCCCGAGACGGCCCTTCGATCCCGGGTCGAGAGACGGCGGTCTCTGTCCCGTCCCCAGACTAATAAGACAGCCCAACGGTCTTTCCTCACCGAAGTGCGACTTGGCTTCGTTGAGCACAATCTTCGAAGGATTGTTCCACTTGACGGCGCCGTCGATAAAGGTCTGCACATGATTCCCGGACCCGAGCTTGGCGGGTTTGAAAATAATTGGCGCTGCCGTGGTCGCCCTCGCTGCCTCCCATATCTGACAGTCCATCACTTCGCCAGGGCCCTTGTAGGTGCGGAAAAGAGTTGGGGTGTTTTCATCTCCGCCCTTACGCATAGCAACCACAAAGGCTGATCCCGTCTCCTTTTCATTTTCAAGGTCTAGCATGTGGGTTCCGCGCTGATGAGCGTCGACGGTCTCCTTGATGCATGCCTCAAGAGCGCTCTCTCGAAAGCTTCGGTCGAATCGCCTGTTTTTCTTCTTAAACACCTTTTTCGCCAACTTTTCATACTCGTCTATCACTTCCTGAGTGTTCATGCGTAGGCGGCCAAGCATAATGGCCATTAGGCTATCTAATGTTTAGCCCCCGGAACCTCGATGAGCGCATAAGGAGAGATGGGTTTGTACATACCCTCCGGTACTTGTGCCTCCTATGAGATGAAAATGGTCACAAGGCTTTGGAAGCTCAGAAAGGCCGCAAACATCTTGCAACCTTTTCATGATCTCGTGAAGAATCACAGCCTCCGATATTCCCCGGATGCCACCTCCATCTTGTCTATGTGAGCTACAGTCGCCACAAGAGAAAAACGTGGTCTAAGATGGTTGAAAAGTCTTACCTAGGGAGAGGAGGAAGACAGGGTCGCCAACATCTTCCGTCTCGTAGTCCATCCCGACCCACGATTGCATTAGATGAGCAAAGGCATCATGAAGCCATATAATCGGATTCGTATTCTATCCCAAAATATCGTCAGATCAAAGAGAGGAGGCATTGCTATATATCTGCGGGCTCCTTTTCCCGGATGAAATGGGATTGATGCAGCCAGCAGTAGCGGTCGCCACCCTGGCCTATGCGTGAGGCGCAATAGACGCCGACAGTCTGGTTCGGTTAAGAACACTGCCACTGAAAGGACAACACAAGCACCCTTTGAATCAATCATCGTCCTTTGCCCAGTTTCACCAATCCGCAGGACTGATTGGGCCGATGGGCCCATTTCTGCCTGGAAGGTCGCCCTGCATCAATGCATCGAAGTGGATACTGGCTTTCCATTTTGACTGGTCTTCCCATGAGTTCTCAGTCTCACGAGAGGTCGATTCATTGGAGTGAGATTCTTGTGACAGGAATCGTTTATTTCTTTGTTCTCAGTTGGGCCTTTCTGGGGTCCTAGTTTCAACATTGAAAGGCTTCAATGTTCGTTTTACGTTTGAAGTTGTTGGGATAGAACAGCCAGGAAATTTCGCTGGGTCGTGCCTGCCACCTTCGCAATTAGTCAAATATCTACACAGGTACAATGGACAAACACATCAAATCTTGCTCAATGACCTAAACTTCACAACCAAATGCGCCCTCCATGGATCCGCTGCCTCTCAGCCTCCCGAGCCGTCGGCCGGCATTTTCGGGGCAACCTATCTCGGCCGTTTACGACGCTCGGAATCGAGACCTCTTGCGATGATACCTGCGTCGCCGTCCTAACCACTGATCCAACCCGCCGCGGCGCCTTTCTCCCTTTCAATGCGAAGCGCACCTCTGATAACCGCCGGTTCCGCGGCGTGTTTCCACCAACGGCTCTAGACGGCCACGCCTCCTCCCTCGCTAGCCTGGTCTCCTCCGCCCTCTCATCACGTCCCGGCTCCGAGAGCCTCCGCCCGGACCTCGTCGCCGTCACTCGCGGACCGGGAATGTCCGCTAACTTAGCGGAGGGATTGTCGCTAGCTAAGGGATTGTCAGTCGCATGGGGCGTACCACTCATCGGCGTGAACCACATGCAAGCCCACGCCCTCACGCCCCGACTCGTCGACGCCCTAAACGCTAACACAAACAACACCGACCCGAACGAACCCAAGTTCCCCTTCCTGACCCTCCTCGTCTCCGGCGGCCACACCCAGCTCGTGCACTCCCGCTCCCTAACCGACCACCGCATCCTCGCTAACTCCTCCAACATCGCCATCGGCGACGCCCTCGACAAATGCGCCCGCCTGATCCTCCCCGAAGACGTCCTCGCCTCCTGCCCGGACGTCATGTACGGCCGAGCCCTTGAGGCCTTCGCGTTCCCCGACCCCGAGGACGTAAGCGCCTACGTGCCTCCGGTGAAGCGCGCCGACGAGATCGAACCGTATACTTCCCCCCACGGGTGGACTCTACATCCTCCCTTGGCGGGGACGCGACGCCTTGCATATGAATTCTCCGCTCTGCAGAGCCACGTGCAAACCGTCTTTGCGAAACAGGCTGACCTCTCTACGCTCCAACGCCGTGCCCTAGCGATCGACATCATGCGCCTCGCCTTCGAACATCTCGTCGGCCGCGTCCTTCTCGCCCTGGGCTCCGACGAGCAGCTTTCTCGCGACGTTTCGACCCTCGTAGTCTCGGGCGGCGTCGCCTGCAACAAGTTCCTTGTTAAGATCCTTAGGTCTATGTTAGATGTTCGCGGGTACGCTTATATTGGCGTCGTGACGCCGCCAGTGGAGCTGTGTACGGATAACGCCGCCATGATTGCGTGGACGGGGTGGGAGATGTATCGGGCTGGGTACGAGTCGGCGCTGGATGTGAGGGTTTTGAAGAAGTGGTCTGTTGATCCTACGGCGGAAGATGGTGGGATCTTGGGTGCCGAGGGGTGGATTCGCAAGGAGAGGTGAAAAGAAACGTCTCCCGTGTACTAACTGTGTATTATTCGGAACTTGTATCATAGCTTGGCGGTTCGTGAGACGACTGAGAAATGAAAAGCGATATTATAGAATGTAAAATATCATAAATTTATCCCGGATTAATTTAAAAGGATGCAGTCAAATGCGCAGTCCTTTTACCACGCTTTTCTCTAGCCCAGCTTCTTGCTCTAAATCTCGTTTTATATATCTTCGCCCCAATCTTTAGCAAGGAAAACCAAACCAAGAGACTTTCGCTATTGTCACCTCACGAGAGCCCTCGCTCTCGTCCTCTCTTCCTCCGTCAAAACCCACAATATGCCATCTTCATCCTCTTCTCCATCCCCAGCGCCGCTTCCCTCGACGACCTCATCCCACTCGTCATCCTCCATGTTCACCACCATCAGCATCTGCGTAACCCTAGCAAACACCTCTCTCGTCGCATAGTTCCCCTTGGACACAGCGCTCACGACACCGGAGAAATCCCTCTCCATTCTCACGGCGCCAAAGGCGCTCGTGCGGCCCGTGTAGCCCCACAACCTCTTCTCGAGCTGCCGAGAGAGATTCCGTGCCGTGATGTCGAGCAGCGCGCCGTACGTCTTGGGCGTCATGAGCCGCGATATGGGTCGCATGAGCTGATCCCAGCCGTGTTCGAAACGGCGAGCCACGAGGTCATGGAAGGAGCTCTCATCTTCGTCGAGCTGTTGTGCAGCGTCGGCAAATTCCTCCTCGGTGAGAGAATAGTCGATGTCTCGGAAGGTATCGGAGAGAACCGGGCGGAGACGGAGCTTGACAACGTTGTGGAAGAGTACTTGGATGCCCTCGTTGAGAAGTTCGGTCGTCTTGGACGTAAATGTGCTGAGGAGGTTGGAAAGAGTGGAGGCAACAAGACCGGCATCCCGCTCGTTGGGGAAAGCATCCCTTATGGCAGAGCTCAGCGAGACACCGTTTGGCTGGCCGGAGGACACGCCGAGGTTCGTTTGGATAATTCGGTTAAGGTATTCATTGGCCATGTCAAGACTGTTAATCAATACGATGAAAGATATGATCTTGTCTTCGGGAGGGAAGCCTCCCTGGACTAACGCCTTGGGGTACGACTCATCACGCATCTTCCGCTGTACCATGCCGACGAAGTCCGCCCCCATCACCCGCCCTATCGTCGACACAACTGACGAGATGACCTCCCGCTGGCACGTAGCAAGGGACTTTTGGATGACTGCATTAACGATGAATATTACATCGTCCACTGCCAGTATAATGTATGGCTGACTGGCGTCGATATGTCTGTTCAGGCTGAGAGAGAGGCCGGTAGGATATTCGTCAAGCTGGAATGCCTTCTCGACTGACCGGCGGAAGAAGAATGTGCTCATGACATTGTACGGAGTCGTTAGCTTTGCCGACACCTTCTTGCTGAGATTCGACTTGGTAATGACGTCAGGCAGAGCCACTGTCTCTCGCTCGCCCTCTTGTACAGTAGCCTATTGCATATTGTCAGTTGACTGTTGATACAGCTCCGAGGAAGCTGTGTAGAGAACTTTGGCCTGAAGCATACCTTGCATTTACCCGCAATAAAGCGAGTGTAGAGCGACCACCGGCTCAGCATAACGGAGATTTCGTTGAGGATGGCGTCTACCTCCTTCATATCGACACCGCCCTCATCCTCGCTACTTCGGACGTTGGTTGAGACGCTTCCAGTAGCAGGCGAGTTTACTCGAGCCACTCCGCCGCCTCTTTGCTGAGGAAGGAAGCTTTGGACGAGGAAAGAAAACGGATAGCTCTTCACGTCTGTCATCCTCCGCTCGACGTTCCGTTCGTCACTCCAGGTGTCAAGGATGATTCCGCCCTGAATATCGGCCTCCATCTGCAGCCTCTCGATTACCTTCACCATCTTCCCCTGGCCGTAATGCCGTTCTACTAGGCTGCCATGGCCTTCCACGATCTGGGCAATGTGTTCAAAAAGCTTCGTGAGGGCGTTGGCGTAAAAGTACCCGTCCTTCCTACCAGTAGGCGCATTCTTGAGCGTCGCTCTCGCGTAGCCGGCCACTCCCTGACAGACGTAGCGCCCGTAGATATCCAGACCAACATGGCCCCTGCCAATTAACGGAAACAATTTGAAGAACCTGGTAACCTTGGCATTGTCGCCATCGCTCGTCGCCTTTTCGAATTCCCTCAAGAACAAACTGCACAGACTCTCCTTGGCATTCTCGAGCGTCACCCACGGCGGGTCGGGCACCTCCACGCTTGGCACGATCTCAGCAGCGAAACCCCCACGAATAATCTCCTCGGGTACGTTGCCCGCCCTCGCGATATATCCCGCCGCCGCCTCCCAATCCTGCGGCGCGCCCATGGACCCGACGACACCGTTTATGCACGCCTTCAGCTCGGCTACCTGCTCGACGACGCCTAGCGTATCCTCGACCCGGCTCTTCTCGAGGTCTAGCTCCTTCACCTTATCGCTGAGCCGTCCTGCCGTCTCCGAGGCGCCCGCCAGCATGTCACTGCCGATTGTTCTCGTCGCTATCACCTGCGACCCCAGGCCGGCCCTCAGCACATCGAGCCGGGCGAGCTCGCGGCCCAGGTCTACTTGGGACGACACGAGGGCATCAAGGCGAGCGGTTATAGAGGACTCGCGCGCGTGGAGGGCCGCGAGCGTGGCGCGGATCTCGGCGGGGGTGGTTGCATTGCGGATATCTAGCGTGGGTGCGGGTGCCCTGGTCGCTATGCTAGATCGGCGGGTCGGGTTGGGGTCTGGTTGGCGAGGGAAGAGGGCGGCGTCGCCGTTGGGGAACGTGGGCATTTCGGACGCCTTGCCAGGAAACGCATTGCGGTCCTGGAGGGCGGCTTTTTCGTACGGCGAAATGGCCAGTTCGCGGCCGGAGAGATTTCGACGATAGCTCGATACGTGTGGGCTGCAAGAGAGACGTGGAAAAGGAGTTCCCGGAGGTTGGTGGAATTTAAGGACGGCGGTTATGAGGGAGCATGGGTGACGTTGAAGTGGTTGATGTGAGGTGGGTTTGGTGGGGAGAGCTCGAGGCTTCAATGCTAAGTTAATTATGTACTGTGTTGGTGTCAATATTTTGAACAGTTGAGTGGAAACTCGATGTCTCAATTGTTTTTTGGCCGCCAAAACGTCCAAGCCAAACCCAAGATTGATTCCATACGTCTTTTACTCTTGAGAGAGGAATAGAAAGCACGGCCTTCTTAGCACTTCTTGTAAATATAGTGTATGAGGGTAATTGCTCCTTCAAAATTCAGGGTCGCTTGCCAGTTCACCAGACTTCGACTCAACCCCAGCCCAGGGGCCCCCTCCCTCCCGCAACCATGGCTGGCCGGCCGAGCCATATGTGCTTACAACCAGGCTGCTGGGCCGTTATCCATATTTTTGGTGGTATAGTGGCAAACATTGAATTAATTTCAGAACCTCGAATCAGCCTGGATTCTTGCACCCTACCCAAAGCTCTGAGAGACACTGAGTATGCTTCCGTCGTCCCAGCCTGTTATGCCGCGCACGCCTTGCCCCGCCTTATAATACAGAGTCTATGGTCGATAGCAATCGCTTCCTTTGCCGACAAGGAAGATTTCTGTTGCCTCTCAGGAGACCTCCAGAAAGCCGTCAGGTCCGTGTTTATTCTGCGGCAAGACTCTTTTTACTCGGAATATGGCTGAACTACAAGAATCCACGTGGACAGTCCTTACATGCGGAGATGGCAGTCCAGTGCTTTTCCCTTTCCCGCAGTTCGGAGGCGAGGAGTCCTTTTTGACAGGCATTCCTTCAAAGCCGCATCTATCACGATCACGGTGTCTCTTTAAGGCCGCGAGAGGGGGGTCCGGGCAGGGTCTGGTGGCGTGTCAGGACAGAAGGCCACGATGCTATGAATGAAGTACAGACGAGGAAATGCCTCGGTGGACAATTCTGCATTCCTGGAAACGAAAATAACCCAACAGGAGCGAATTGACAATCTGCGTTGCCATTAATAGCCGTACTCTGCCAACATCATCCAAGCCTCTCGCCAACTACTCGGTGGAAGTCATGCAGGCTGTGGTCTCTCTTATTCCCATCCCCCAATACCAATGTCGATTCGTGCTGCTCGCAGATACTCTGTTTGCGACTCCTCCCGGTACCCCCATTGCTTGAGCCACTTCGCGAGCACTCTGGAGAGCATTGCGGCCCTCGTGGCGCATTCCCTGTCCCCCCGTTCTAATTTCTCGATAGCGACATTCATAACATGCCGGCACAAATCCTCCTTGCCCTCATCGCGGTGAATCACGGCCGTGATTCTGGCGGAAAAGGCGAATGCCAGGGCTGTCAGCGACCACCTCGGCTCATCTACCGCGCAGAAGAACTTTTCGGTTCGATCGAACAGCTCGACAACCATCTTTTCCCCCAGTATTCTTGGCTTGCAAAGATAGTATGCCGCGTAGGTGTAGTAGTAGTGGACGGAAATCGCCTCTTCGGAGTGCAATGTTATGCCCTCTTCTTCGTGAACCCTGTCCCACACCCATTGGAACTTGAGCAAAAGCGTTTCCTTGACAAGATACTGGCTATCCCAATACCTGAAGAAGTGCGACCACATGTGAAGGATCATAGCATTCTCGTCACCAACTAATCTTGTTATTGTTCTCAGCGTTTTGTCAAAACCAATTCGGAGAGTATCCTTGAAGTCCGGAGGCGATACCTCGCTTAATGACGATAGCATTGTTGCTAGCGGATGCCCATTTCTATCGTGCTTCGCAAAGATCTCCTTTAGACATTCCAACAGGCGAGCCCTGGCATTAACGCGATGACCACAGCGTCCATCGATGCCGGAAATCCCGAGGCAGATGCGCCAGAATTTGACAAATATCGACGGATCTTCTTGCCCCGCTACCTCGCGAAGCTTGCTGAACAGCTTTTCGAGAGTGGCTTCCCCTTGTTCGGCGTGGCCAAATCCGATCTGCAAGGATGCTCCATATGTCTGGTCTGATATCTCTTGCCATGATGCCAGAGTGTTCTCGCTCGAACCGTTGCGTCTAATGAAGCTGAGAAGGTCCGCGGTCCAACCGTCTTTGCGTCCCGCATCGAAAAGGTTGTAGATATAGCAATCTAGGCTGAAAAGGACCTTCTCCTGGTGGGGATATTGCGTAAGGCATTCCATATCAGGCCTGAATGTGAAATCGCCTACGCGTACTATGGCTTGGGATATCGCTGCGGGGGGTGGTTTTGGTATTCGTTGAGGCCTCGTCCGTCGACCAGATTTTGGTCCAGCCTTATTCTTCCGGATGCCTCGGGCTTCGAAGCTTGTCCCGCCCGTCTTATATTTCATGTTCCTATTATAGTAGTTGGCAAACGTTCCACGAAAGCGCAGATGGCAGCAAAGAAAAGAACTCTTACGGTGCCTTGAAGTGATACAAACGCCACATGATATCCGTCACTACCCTTAATGAAAGGCCTTCCTCATCATAGAGCCTATCGAGGATTGGTTTCACTTCTTTCCACTTCTCTTCTGACGGGTTTAATAGGGCAACACGCAAACGCTTCTGTCGAGCTACGGGTTGTGATTCCGATGCTCGGATGGGGACAGGAGCCGCCGGTAGAAGCGCCTTCCCCGGGATACCTGACAAGCCGGGTGGCTTTGGAGCGATAGTTTGGTAGGGTGGAGGATCCATGTCGATCGAAATCAGCGCAACCCGCAGAGAGCGCAAAGCTCAAAGTGCTAGTCTGTATTCAAGTATATCCAAAAAGGCCTAAGATCGGATGACAGTTCTGGGGCTGGCGCTCGTGGGTCGAAGGGGGCAGCGATCGGAATTATAGCAGAGCGAAGCCCCTTCTCCATTCGACGAACGATCGAACACCAAGGGGTGTAAATTCGACAACCTCAACTCCCCCTTCACGTCGAGCGGGTATCTAGCCAGCATTCCCCGACACGAGAACCCCGCTTTGCCTTGTCGTACAAGAAAACATGAGCGGCCCAGGACGACGCGAATCTAAAAAATAGAATCTCTGGTTGGCCGTCGGCTCTGCCAATGAGTAGTCTGAACTTTAGTGAAGCACCAATAAGATGTAGTGCCAGACCAAAACAAGGCATTTCCAGCATCATAGAGCTATCTATCAAGGTGTATCGAGGTCTTTTTTCGCCAGGCTGAGTGGGCTGTGATGGAAACGTCAAGAAAGAAGGGTTTGAGCCGACGTAGAGGCGGCCACTCAGCCTTTATGGCCGACTTCAACTATAAGTAGAACACTCTCCTCCTCCTCTTCTCCTCTTCATATCTCTCTCTTTTCTTCCTCTCTTCAAGCCACAAGACCTCATTCCTTCATCTAAGTCTTGATCCTATACTCCATCCTCGACACTATCCCGCACTGGACTATAAGCCGTTCGATCCCACCGCTTTCATCTACGATGACTTCAGTAAGTACGCCATTGGAAACAACCCTTCAACTGAAGGTGATGCCCACCCCCAAGGGATATGCGCCAAATCCAGTCCGATAGGTGATCGGACACTGATTCTACTGCTTAGTCAACTTCAATCTCCGACGTCGAGGGCCACCTTGCGTCCACTTCTATTGATGAAGATAACTATGGCCTCTCGGACTCTGAGACAGAAGAGGAGGCTGTAAAGCCTACCGGTTGGGCTCCGTGGGGCTTTAGGAAGTTGAAGCGGCTCGTTGCCAAGGCTAAGGGGGCTGCCAGTGATAGAGTGGTAGCCTTCATAAAGTCCCAGTAAGTATCAGCTCTCGAATCATTAGCTTGCAGTCGCTAATAAGCCCGATCTAGCTTGCGTGGAACGAAGGTGATCTTCGTCATCGGTCAAGCAGGCACTGGGAAGAGTACCATGCTCAAGGAGATGACCGGGCTGGATCTTAAAGTGGGAGAAACACTGGATTCAGGTTTGTTCAAACCCTCTGAACACGATATCAGAGCACACAGAAGCTAAGTCTTTCGGAATCCAGGCACGCGGCAGTACGAGATCTGCCCCGCTGTCATCGATGGAGAACAGTACCTTTTCGTGGACACCGCGGGCTTTGGTGCGGCTGATATGGACGACATGGACAATTTCCAAAACATCTTGAGTTGTCTCACAATTCTTCATCCATTTGTCAAATTTGCTGGAGTCCTCTTTGTTTTTGGGAAACCCGGAACCCGGCTGTCGCGGGAAGATCTGCGAACGATCCGCTTCATCAAATGCTTCTGTGGCCCGGAATTCTTCGCCAATATTACGCTCATTACGAGCCAGTGGGATGAAATGACAGAAACTGGGTTCCGCAAGGCTTGGGGTAGGACCCAGAACCTCCTTGCACACCCAGACGTCATGCAAATCCTCGATCCGCCGGGCCGAATTTCTGGGGGCTCGGTTTACCATCATGGATTCCCCAAGGGCGAGGGTTCTATCAACGCACACGCGACCATTCTCTCCATGGACGATAACGGCCCGGAGCGGGGGGACGAGCTACGGGACCTTATTCGACGAAAGTACCGAGACCCGAGGGCCCCTACGTTGCAGGTCTTAGTCGAGATGAAGAGGGAAGGCCGTGAGATGCTGGAGACCGAGGCGGCCAAAGTACTGAAGGGGGAGTTGCCAAGCACGGCTGTACGAATTCAGGGTGGCCGGGCTCTCATCCAGGGACGAAATGACGACGAACAATCCCCGCCAACACCAGGAGCTGACCCCCGAGCTGGGCATTCTTCCACGCAGTCTGGCGCAGCCCTGCCCTCGGTGCCTGCTGCCGAAGGGGCCCCGAACACGACGGGAAATGCCCCGGGTCACGGGGACGGACCTGATCGGGAACAGATGCACGACGAACCCTCGTGGATTCAGAAACTGCTCTGGTGGTTTAAAATGGCCTACGGAGCCTCGACGTACTTCGAGGAAGCTCGCAAAACGGGGTATGAGTCCACAAACCGTAAGGCTAGGAGTGCTGGACCAAAATGGTCATTTTGGGAGACGGTGCGAAATTGGTGGACATCTACCGGCCTTTGATTATTTTGGAATGGATAGTAGCAGAATGATATGCCTATGTCGTTTCTAGTCGCAATTGAATGATGGGAAAAGAAAGAAAAAGAAATTGAGTAACTGGTGCGCGAGGACGAGTGGGCATTGTGCAATGTTGCGGTTGTTATTGGATATTCGCATCATCGATGACGACAGAACGGGCGCGAAGCAAGAGAAGAAGTACGTGCTCACGAGTGGTACTTTGAGCTATCAATATCTGGCTCTCTGGCGAGGAATGTCCGTTAGCGCATTTCTAGGGACGGGGGAATAGAGGTGGCGTCGAGTCCTCTTTCGAATGCATCTCGGGTTCAGACTCAAGCTCAAGCGGTTCTTCATGTTTCCAATGACCGGCTATCAAGACGACCATTCCGTATATACAGGTGGCCCCGTGTGTTGTTCTAGATACCCTCCACTCGATCTAGCACTTCATGACGTTCCTCTCCGCAGGTTCGTAGAAGTCTCTGTACCAATAGGCGTAGGGTTCCAATATTTGTGTTCTTCGATAATCTGCCTCCCCTCCTCCATCGTATAGGCTTTGAATGGTTCAGACCTGCCATTTCAATCCTCGCGGCATTGCTGCTCATCAAAGTAGGTTGGGACTTGGGGATCGAGTTGAGTTGGGCGACTCTCCATTCTCTCCGTTCGTTGATGTAAACGACAGGAACCGCAACAAGGAGAGCACAGTAAAAATACGTTTAACCTTGGAGTTACGAGCTGTTGTCTAGTATCTTGATGAATTGAACGGAATCCTTCAGCGGCTTGATCATGTTTGAAGGCAGTTTAACAAAGGCTCCGCCACCATACACTCTCACATTTCACAGGATTCAAGTTCAAACATAGTGCAAGTATATATTATCCGCCTTATTTATACAGCCCTCCTCTCGATTGCCTCGCTATTGCCTTGCTCAACCCGCCATTTCTATTTCTATGCGCCGCTCAGTGAAAAGCCAGAGACGAGAAACGAAAAGAAGAAAGCAAAAAGGGTAAAGGGGGAAGAAAAAGAAAAGAGGCTGGTCTCTGATGTCTTGCAATACCCGTCATCATCAGCCCGAGCATATATGTTTTTCGGAAAGTAGATTACAGGCGGAAAGCAGGCCAAAGATGTACAATACCAGATAGAACTCTGGTCCAAAACCAAGCCGCGCAAAAAAACATGTACAATGCAATGCCGTTTTCAAAAGAAGCAAAAAGGAACAAACTCCTTTCCCGAGACCCTGACTCCCCCGGACATGCTACTTTCGCAACGAGATAACTTTCATACTCATACAGCTTGGCTATACCCGTTGCCGAGCCGCTTTTTCCTGCCGTACATCCAATACTTCCTCGCCTCGTCGGCCCAAAATACAGTGCTGCAGAGTATCACCAGGCTCACGAGATCGTAGAGGCCCAGCGCCTCCGTCTGGAAAACCTCCTGGAGCCATGGCAAGTAGATGACCAGTAGCTGGCCGGCAAGACTGAGCGACACGGCCCAGTTGAAGAGCGAGTTGGAGAACAGACCAATCTCGCCCTGCAGGATGGATTTCGATTCGGATCTGCAAGCAAGCGCGTTGAACATGTCGAAGAGGACGAAACATGTAAACGTCATCGTTGTGTCTCTCCGTGACACTTCGCCATCCACGAGCATTCTGCTGTAAACCATCATCGTGCCTAGCATGATGATGGCTGCTGACGTGAGTACACGCCTAATCAGTGCTTGGGTCAAGACTGGGTCTCCACGTCTTCGGGGTGGCTTATTCATGACATCTTTGTCGACAGCCTCAACACCGAGGGACTGCGCTGGAGGGCCATCCATAATGATATCTAGAGGAGCCGGTTAGCGGCGTGTGAATTCAAAGTAGAGAGAGGAAAGTGGATTCTTCGACCCAAATACTTACTAATCCAGAGAATCTGCATGGCATTCAACGGATTCTTGAACCCAAGGCAAGTGCAAACCAGCACTAAAGACAGACTTGCCGCGCTGGTGCTGAGTTGGAATGTCAGGAAATTTTGGATGTTGTTGAATATGCCCTTGCCTTCTTCGATGGCGTGGAGAATAGTCGAGAAGTCATCGTCCGTCAATATCATATCGGCAGCTTCCTTGGCAACGTCGGTTCCATTGAGGCCCATCGAGATGCCAATATCGGCCTTCTTGAGAGCCGGCGCATCATTCACGCCATCTCCGGTCATGGCCACGATATCGCCTCTCGATTGCAGGGCGCGGATGATCTTTAGCTTGTGGTCGGGGTTGGTTCGCGCAAAAATTGTTGTGTGGCTCATGGCGAGCGCGAGATCCTGCTCAGACATGGCGTCGACCTCGTCACCCGTCAGGACCGGCCGGACCGTCGATTGACCCGGTACTCCTCGCTCGTTGGCCACTGCGATGTTCATGCCCAGCTGTCTGCCAATCGCCACTGCTGTTGCCTCAGCATCACCAGTGATCATAATCACCCTGACTCCTCCACGCATTAACCTTCGAATTGAGCGACTCACGCCCGGGCGTGGTGGGTCGCGCATGCCGACAAGACCTGCAAACGTCAAGCCCCGGAAAGTCTCTTCAGTGTAGCGGGGCAGGGGACTATTCCCACCGTCAGTGCTAGGCGGGGTAGTGCGAGGATTGGATGATAGTGCCGTCCTGCCCTTCGAGGGTTTCGAAACAAGACCGCTGGCGAACGCCAGGACACGAAGCCCCTGGGATGCCATTGCATCCGCAGCCTCTAGCGCCTCTTGCTTCCGAGCCCGATCAAGGACTATTTCGCGACCGTCCCCAGTAACATACGTATCACAGGCATCGAGAATTTTGTCGATGGCTCCCTTCATGTAAGCAAGTTCTCGATCTCCCTTGTCCGATGCAACTGTTACGCCCATCCATTTGCGCTCAGAGCTGAAAGGCGTGTCGCTGATTCGAGGTCCGATCGAGTCTCGGACATCGTGCTCCTTGAACCTGTCCAAAAGATCGAGCATCGCAACATCAGTAGGTTGCCCGACCCATCTCGTCCACGCCTGACCATAGCGACTTTGGGTGGATGAGAGCACCGCCCTTGCTCTGGTCGCAGATGTGCTGTCGTCGGCATACTGTCGTCCTAGGCGCCCATTATTGGCAATGTTTCCGATACGTAATATTCGCAATGTAGCCGCATCTGGTCGTCTTTCCGTCGCCTCATCGTCAGAGTCCACATCGAAAGCGCTATCGGATCCAAAGTACCACATCTTGGCCGTCGTCATATGGTTCGTCGTCAAAGTCCCTATTAAGACATGTTAGTAAAAACCAGCCGGCACAAGATGCGGGAGGCCTAAAAAGTTACCTGTCTTATCGGTACACACAACATTAACCGAACCCAGGGTCTCAACTTTGGGCATTCTTCGAACAATTGCATTATGCCTTGCCATTCGGTGGACACCAAGCGCAAGAGTAACAGTGACGATGATAGGCAGACCTTCGGGAATAGCCGCTACAGCCAGTGAAACGGAGATTGTGAAGATGTCCAGCAGATTTTTCCCCTGTAGCCAGCCCACCAGAGAAATAAGGCCGATAATTACGAAGGAGAACTTGCTCAATTGCGAGCCCAGAGTGTCCATGGACAGTTGGAGTGGTGACCTTGGACTTTCCGTTCCCGACACGCTTGTTGCAATGGTACCAAAGTGAGTATTGCCGCCGGTCGCGAAGACAATACCTTGTCCATGACCAGATCTGACCAAAGTACCCATATAAGCGATGTTGTGAACAACATCGTCTCCGACCGGTGTTCGCGCACCGGAGTTAGGGGACAGATGACCATTCATCGAGACGGGCATATGGGGAGCCCGCGCTTTGGTATCAGCAGTGACCCTCACTGGTTCGTTCTCACCAGTGAGGTTCGACGCATCGATCGTCAAGTCGACGGCCTTGGTCACACGGATGTCGGCTGGGATACGGTCGCCAGTCGTGAATAAAACTAGATCGCCGGGCACAAGCTGAGATGCCATCACTTTACTCGATGCCGCTTCCAATGCTTCTTCTCCCGGAGTGCTGGTACCGGGCGAGTTAATTCCGTCTAACGTCTCCCCTAGAGCTGGCGGCCAGGCCGCGGAGCGACTAAATGTAGGCGGGTTTGGAGTTGCGCGCACAAGGTGCGCATGGTTTGGGACGAGATGGTTCAGGGCTTCGATGGATTTCTCAGACCGGTATTCTTGCGCAAACCCGACCGCGACCACAATAGTAACTGCGACTGTAATGCTCAGCGCATCGTCCATATTTCCTACCAGTATCGACGCGGCAGCTGATGCTAGCAGTAACAGGATGAGGGGCTCTTTAAACTGGCCCAGAAATCTTAGCCAGATGGGCTCGGGGTCTTCGTGCGGTATCTCGTTCGGTCCATAATCGCTGAGCCGCTTGAGAGCTTCAACCTCTGATAGGCCGTGGGTTAGGGAAGTGCTTAATCGAGAAGCTACCTCTCCGGGGGTAGTGTAAGAGAACTGGTCGGCAACACCCTATACATGATACAATCAGCATCGCGAACCCCGTTCCGGGTAGAAGAGCAGTAGTCATTGTGCGTGTTCCCAGTCGCCACAGACTTACTCTAGACTGTGCCGGTGTCGTCCGCGCCAGTCGTGAAGGGGGCCTAATATGCTTCCAATGCTCCTTGTCCGATGGCTCGAAGTTAGGTTTCAAGAAGGCCGCAGTCTCCGCAACTGGCAGAAGGCCTTCGCTGTTCTGCCCGCGCCATGGCAATTGCATAGTTAGGGGACGTCGACGGGGGTCGTGTCAGGTAGTTGAAGCTAATCACGGTTTTGGGAGTGCATCAGGACGAATGGAATTGGCTTTGATGCACTGTTCTGCTGTCCAGTCGAGTTGATGAAGTCCAGGGATCGGAAACTTCGACGGTGCTATGAAGTTCGAAGGGGTCTTCGCGTGAGAGACCTTGATGTCACGTTGTCGTAGGCGCTGCTGGTCGCCGGAATGGCGGCAGGGTCTTCGGTATATTTCAGGGAGAAGAGGTCTTCGAGGCTCCCGCGGTGTCGGTAAGACGCGGTGACGAGAGTGACGAGGCTGGAAAAATACCCGATTGTGTTTCGATAACTCGAATTCTGGTAGGATGTCTTTTGGGTTTGGTGGCTGAAGAATGGAAGTTTTGAAAGAAAGCAAATTTCCCAGGAACAAATCTGATTGAAGTGAACACGATTGCACAGTGCCGCATCTCATTCTCAAACAGGCGAGTACAGCTGCTCAATTCGCAGGGAAAACTGGACCCGACAGAGAACAGTGCTACGTCGCTCCTCCATTAGGACTAGTCTTGGTGGTAGCGGTGGGCCTGGCCAGGGCCTGTGAGGTACGACGGGGAGGGTTAAATGATCACTAAGGTGCTCCTTCAGTGGGTCTCGCGAGGCTTCACTGGTGGAATGTAACTACAGCCTGGCGAACTGTCCTGAACAGTCTCAAGGCAATTTCGTCTGTGTCATATAAACAGAACCGCAGCAGTCAGAGCCAGTCCAGTGTATAAGTAGCGCGCGCTTTAACATTGATCACACTATTCAGAAACAAACGGCAGACGGTCTTGTGTCGCCCCTGACATCGACTGTGACAGAATCGATATATGGCTTGCATCTGGAGTCAGCGCACCGCAAACTTAGCTGCCTCGTATTAGATACAATGGACAGAACTAAGTTCACATGATGGCTCTGTTGATACGAACCTTGATGATACCCTACGGAAATGGAGATATATGGAGTGATATTCTAACCCAGTAGTGGCAGAGTACTATGGCTTGAGAAAAAAAAAAGAAAAAGCAAGAAAGCAAGAAAGAAAGAAGGACAGAAAGAAAAGCCCTCGAATACGCAAGCGAAATGGAATTGACGTCTTTCAAGACAAGCCGCCGTTGCACGGAGATCCTGGCGGTCTGGCTTCCAGAAGCTAACTTCGGGAGGTTGTCACGACCTAGAGCACGGATTGCCTTGACCTTCCACTCGTGTTCGTATCACGTGATGTTTCGACTTTGATTGGCTATAACAAGATGACACATCAATCTATCCAATTGTCTGCTGGAGTTCGTTCTCAAGTTCTCGACATGTTGCTGGGTGGCCCGAGCTCCCTTGTGGCGGTTCCCAGCCACCGACAAAAAGCCGGCAAATTAGTGGTGGACCTGAAATCGACGGAAGCAATAGCAAAACACAAGCCCCCCTCTCAAAGTCCCTCCACTCTTCCCCAAATTCGTCCGCCATTTTTTTGCTCGTCGCCGCAAAGCAAAACCGCGTCGCCAGGTACCATCATTGTCGGAATCTGTCCTTCGACCTTGGGCGCGATTTCAAACTGCATTTGTGCACGTTATTCTTAATATCCGATCGACGCCTCTGTTTTGTATCCGTCGTGGCCGTCCCGAAACTGAGCCGACACAACGCGATTCGTATCCACCAAACCTAGCGCGCCACCTGTGCTCTGGTGTTGTTTACACCTCACGACCATCGCCACCCGCATTCACGCATCGCCTTCTACACTGCTCAAACCTATTCTCGCAACGCTTTCGATTGCGGGCGCATCAATTTTAGTTTATAGGGAAACCTCAGCAGTGGCTTAGTGCCTCTTGCTTCCCCTCCTTTATCGTCCTCTCACGCGTCTTGCCGTACAAGTCACATTCACCTCCGCCACCACCACCATGTTCTATTCAGAGACGCTGCTCCAAAAGAGCGGCCCCTTAGCCCGAGTATGGCTTTCAGCCAATCTCGAGCGCAAGCTCTCTAAGACGCATATCCTCCAGTCTGACCTCGGTGAGAGTATCGAGGCGATATTGACGCCGAGCCAAGCGCCGATGGCCCTACGGTTAAGCGGTCAACTGTTGCTTGGTGTCGTCCGAATCTACAGCCGAAAAACACGTTATCTGCTAGATGATTGTAACGAGGCTTTAATGAAAATCAAGATGGTATGTTGCGTTGCAATGCAGTCGAGGAAATAGGACGGGTGAACACGAAGCTAACTACTATCCCCCAACAGGCTTTCCGGTCAAGTGGAAACAATGACATGGTTGCCAATTTGAACGTGTCTAATCGCGAGGCGCTACTCCTTCCCGATCGAATCACGCCGTACGACAACCTAGATATCCTTCCCCCACCAGATGCTGCGTGGCTGCTCGCTCAGATGGACGACGTCACGGCAACACCAATGGGTCGAAAGGGCCGCGTTAACAACCGCGACATCAACCTTCAGCAAGCTTTTGACAACAGCCAATTTATGCAGTCAGGAATGGAAAAGGAGGATGAGCTCGCTCTGGCCCCCTTGGACGATGGTATTGAACTTGAACTGGACTTTGGCGATGACATTGAAGAGCGCCCGCGAAATGTTGACAGGTCGATTGAGATGGGTCGAGATGCCGCCGCACCAATGGATGATGATAATTTCAGCGAGTTGGGCCTCGGAATTCGTCCTGGCAAGGAGGGCGGTGACCGAGAACCATCCATCAACCTCAATTTCGAAGATGGCATCCGGATCGCCGATGAGGAAGGAGATATTCAGATGGGAGACGATGACTTGCAGTTCAACATGGATGACCAATCAGCAATGCCTACAGGGCTACATTTTAGCCGTCAGAGGATCTCCGAATCTCCCCTGTCGGATATTGACGAAGACCTTGCCCGGGAGGTAGAGGAGGAAGTTACCCGACACAACCAGACCGATCTTTACGAACCGACAGCCGAGGAGGACACGACAATTGTCCGCCGGCCAACCCAGAGAGCGAAGAAGCAAAAAGTTATCCTCCCCGACGACCAGACGATGCTCACCAGCTCCTACATCAAGGAGCAACATGCCAACCGCGATAACATCCTCAAGCCCCAGACCTTCCTTCCCAAGGATCCGTACGTTGTTGCGCTCATGGAGATGCACAAGAACGGCGGCTTCGTCACCAACTTCATCCTCGGGGGACGTGGATCGTCTTGGGCCCCAGAGCTCCGCACAATGCTGTCCATTACGGGAAGCAAGCAATCCAATGAGCTCAAACGCAAGAGGGATAGTGGAATTGCGGACATGGATAGCGACCACGGTATCTGGAAGTCGCCACGACTTGATGTCGATGATGACGAACATCTCCTCCTTGGTGGTGATGTGGATGCTGGCAACCAAACCGTTGGACCCGATGGCACGATCCTAGAGATCCCAGCTGACGACCAGATGGATGACGGCCTCGAACGCGAAGGCAGTCCCATGCCCGCATTCGATGAGACAACAGCGCCTCTCGTCCACCCCGCTGATAGTGGACCAGTGTCTATCGGCACCAAACATGCTGTGCACATCTTGAGAGACATCTTCGGACCTGAAGCGGAACACGATGCCGAGAAGCGGAAGAAGACTGTCGTTGTCTTCCAGGACCTTCTCCCCGAGGGCCAAACGACAAAGGCCGATGCCACGAAGATGTTCTTCGAGTGCCTAGTCCTCGCCACCAAGGATGCGATTAAGGTGGAACAGGGTAGCGATCTTGGCGCACCCATCCGAGTACGCGGAAAGCGCGGTCTCTGGGGTGAGTGGGCCGAGAGGGAAGCCGGTGGGGAGGTGGCTACGGAAGCCGAAGAGCAACTACCCGCCCCTGCAGCCGCCCCTACACCGGGACCCCAAATCCAGCAGCCACTGGCCGTCTCTGTTGAGTCTTAAATCTCAGGAAGGAGGCTGACAACGATGGTTGGGAACAAAATTGGTGTCCGGATTTGTGAGGTGCATGCTATCGGTTGGACAAAACGAGGACGGGTGTCTTGTATCATTACAGAGGCCACGCTGCATTCATGGAACTTGGGAAAGGATGGCTGTCTTGTCTGGGAATAGGGGGTGGCGTTTTGGCGAACGGAAGATAAGGGAAGACCATGATACCAAGGCTTTTTTGCTTGGCTCCGCGGGCAAAGCTTTCTTGGGGCCTTGATTTCGCTGTTTGTTTTATGTTTTATTTTTTTTTCTGTCTAGTTTCCTTCGGATCGCTCCCTTGGAGTATTACCTAGGAGTGTGCTACTTTTCTTCTTCTTTGGCTTCCCCCTCTTTTTCATTTTGGATCCCTTGTGTTTTCTATTGGATCCCTTGAAACGTCTTTTATTTTTCTTTTTTTTTCCCTTTTCTTTCAATATCACTGCGTTTCGCGGAAGCGGGCAAGGGAATTCCTTGCTTTTCTGCCTATGGGAAAGGCGGTTGCTTTTGTTGAACCCCCCCTCCCCTGGTAGCTGCATGGCTTGGACGGTATTTCCCCTAATTATGCCAAGATGCCTTACCACTTGAAAGGTCACACGATGCTTATGGAAAATGATCGGAGCGGCGGAGGGCTTTTGAGTACAAACCTGAATTGACTCGTTTTGAATATTGAGATGTGATCTTCTCTATTTTTTTATTTTTCTCTTAGATTTTAGCGGAGTGACCCGGTTAGTCTCGGGGAGTAGCGTCTGTACCTCGTAATACTTCTCTGCAGCAAGGGTGGCTCGGTGTAGCGTTTGAGAGTGTAATCCTTTTAGTATCATCTTGATCAAAGTTGGATCGAGGATCAGTCCAGATTTGCTGACGTGCTGATGCGTTGATGTGTTGGTGTGCTGATCTGTTCATGTGTAGGTGTAGGTACCTACTGCGTGAAGCCAACACGAACATCACAGTTGCAACGGTGGAGGGCCCACAACGGGAGGAATGACAAGGGCTTGGTTATCCTCATCCTCTCGATGTAGCGTACAAGGTCTGGAAGCATCGGAGATTGTAAGAGAGGGCGAACATTATTCTGCTCAACACTTCCGCCATACGACGGGAGCGAAGCGGATTGCAGCCCTGGTGAGGGAGGACAGGATATGCCGTCCATTCCATGGCTGCAGTCGATCCACGGGATGAGATGTGGGTGGGCTTCACCGGACTGTGTCGAGTGCTCATCCGGGCTTCGTCGCTCAACTTATCCTCTGATCCACTCCATCTATCCGCCCTAAGCCTGGACCAGGCCATCCTATCCATGCTCTATCCCCCTCACATATCCATGCCATATCCACTACTGTGCAACACAACCAGGCTTCGACGGATGCTGCTGATCTCGTCCCGGAGGTACTCCCGTGTGCTACATACCACTATACATCATGTACGAAGTACGAGGCACCTGGTGTGCAAGTGGATATTTTTTCTTCTTTTTTATTCTTGTGCAACTTCATCCGTCCAAAAAAGATGCAGTTGAGGATGCCGGATGCAAGGTGCCGATTGCCGTGGAATTAGACAAATGCACAGCACATACCCTGCAGATTCAGGCTTGATACCACCTAAACCAGGGTTTGAATGTCCTCAAAATACTGAGTACACAGCGAAGTCTTTTGTGCCCATTATCAAGTTTCTACCATCGACAAAACTGTTGGGGTGGCTAGGACTCACGCACTTGCCGGCCCTTTCCTCTGCATTTTCTTTTTCTTCAAAACTCGTTGTTTCATGGATGTACCTCGAGGTGTGTGCTGCATCGCGAGTAAGTACGAAGTAGTAGACTACCTCGGTACATCAATGGCTTGGAGTTTTCACTCTACCATCCAAGTTCTAACCTCCCCTCCTTCGTCCGTACTATGTATGCTGGCTGCTTTTGCGAAGGGGGGTTTTAGTTGGGGTAACTTTATTACTACTTCAACGCACACCGCAAGCAAGCGCAGCATAAGAATACAACTCCATGCCACAAGTACTTCGAACAGGACTCCGAGGTCCTACTTCGTAGTGGAGTACGAGTCGCCCCCCAAAGAAGACATTGTCGTTCCAATTCAGCACGGGACGTACGAAGGATGTGTACAAAGTAGCAATATGATGATGGATCCATGGAAATCTCTACGGATCCATGTCGCATGTCCATCCCGGACCGGGGAAAAGCTCCCGCGGGAGCACAGGGCACAAGAGCGCCGCCAACTGCCAACGCCCAACGACACGACACGACAGGGTCCCCTCTCCTGGTGAGGTGGTGAGGTGGTGAGAGTGGTGAATGTGGGATGTGATTTGATCAATTTGATGTGTGATAGTTGATGTACCCTGGTACATACTTTGTACCATGAAAGTAGCGGGTAACAGCGAGAACTGAGAAGTGCTTCGTACACTACGAAGTACTGGTGTACAAGGGTCCGCTCATTTCGCACAGAGGAGCCCAGGCCAGAAGAGACCGGGGGAACCATCTACACCGACCGAATCGAGCCTATTTACATTCATTTCACCACATACCAAGTATCCTGCTAGTAATATTATTGATCGGCTCAAACCTCCAAGGAACAAGATGAGCATCTGGTCTACGAAGTATCGAGTTCAACTCAGAGATCCACGTCACGCCAGGAAATACATTACAGAGCAGCTAGGCCCCTTGCCAGACCCCGCTTTTGCCTAAATTTCAAATATTCATGGCAGCCACCAACCATGATTGATCGATTTGGGGCCCCTTGGGCCTGGCCACCGCTAAATCCTCACCTTAAAAGTACCGCTCCTCGGATGCACGACGCAGACAAGGCAAGGCAGCAATGCAACCGCTACGGCTGTGGTCTGGCTACCACTGCCGCATCCGGCCATGGCTCGTTCGCTGGTGACTTGCAACGCACGCAACAAGTTCAACTCCAAGTCTCCTCTTTCCTCCTCATTCTCGTAGATCCACACACACCCACACACCCCCCCAGTCCCCAGTCCCCAGTCTAACCACGCCCACACCATCCACATCTCACCTCACACGTTCCAACATCTTCAACGCACGCGCACGCGCACACACCCATACTTTTTTTCGACCTTGTCGAAGCAGGTAATGCTTCGTACTTGACTCCTTGTAGATGACGGGGCAAGGGACGGGGGATTGACTGTAGTGTGGTGCGCGCACCACCCCCACCTGCCCCTGGCTACGCAGAGAGTGGCTTTCCAGGAACTGAACTGAGAAACATTTGAAGACTGAACATTGAAAGGGACATTGGACTTGGAAAAAAAAGAAACCCGCCCCTCACCCCCCTCCCTCGCTCCTTCCTTTCCTACTAAACCCAATATTTCTTGCTAGCCCAGAACCCACAGCAACTTCGGACTATTTACTTCAAGCCATCGCCTCCATCCAAGTCATATATAGTCCCCCCAGATCCACTCACCCTCGTCTCTCCCAAGAAATAAAGACTCCCTCTCTTTCCACTACTCGCTATCCGCTTCACACAGTAACATCCATCACGACCAAACATCAAGACACTTGACCTCAACGCACTTTCACAAACCAAACCCCCTTCCAGCAACACCACAGCACCACACCCTCTAAACAACGCCAACAATGGACCGAACGGCGACAGAGAACGCTTACTGGGACCGCATCAATCCCGTCCGCCGAACCCCCTCCAAGCTCCACATCGCTACCCAGGCTCTCTTCCGCCTCATCAAGGAGGAGAAGTCGTATCACAAGGAGCTCCAGCACCAGAAGCAACGCGTCGAGAGACTTAAGGCCGAATTGGCCAAGGGTATCAATGTCGATGTCAACTCTGAGTACATGATCCGGCAAGAGGTACGGGAACCATTATTTTCTTTGCAGATTGTTTTACCCCCTTTACTTTTTTTTTTCTTGCTTCCCATTCTCTGTTTTCTTGGTTGGACTTTTTTTGGTTGTTACCCCGCCTTCCACACACGCCTTCTGCACCCCGCTTCCTCGTACTGTTTGGTCCCTTTTCCTTGTTTGTCTGTCGACCACATTCGTCCCATCTTAAACTCCTGCCCTTGGGCCTCGAACATACCGCCTCTTCCGAGCGAAACCCCCTACATTTAGCCAGACCCGTCGTGCCACGTCACAGACAACAAGAGCCCGAAGTCGCACGGTCAAATTATCATGTGTCATTGCCAAGAATAGAGTATTAACCTCACCTCGTCTCAACAGGAACGTGCCATCGCCCAGACTGAAGCCGTGTTCGCGCCTCTGCACAAGAAGATCGAGGATGGCATAAAGTCGGTCCAGGAGGAGCTCGCCTACGCCGAGGACCCTACGCCCATCGACGAACTGGAAAATGCAAGGCAAGCCCTGTTACAGGCGAGAGATGTTCTGGGGTTGCCGCCGATCAATCAGGACGATTATTAGCGCCCACTGGCTGCGTTTTCTGGAGTTGTAGTTGGATCTGTATGACACTGACTCGCGTCGGTTTGGGAGGAAGCAAAAGAAGAAAAAAGACATAAAAGAAAAAAAAAAGTTTACATTTGGGCATCATGCTACAGAAGGGCATCTTCAAATGTCACGCACTGGCATAGATGTCCAATTTTATCTTCAGTGTGCACAATCTTTGTTAGTTATAGACATTAATACAGGCTTCCCTACTCTCCATCCACCTCCATCTTGTCGTTGTTTCCGTATGTGGTTGCGGGAGCGTCAATCGCAATACGTGGTGTCTGACCATCAGTCGGCTTTTCCTCATCCCTCATTTCCACATCTTCACCCTCCTCGATATCATCCCTGCCCGCTTGTAATTGTGGCGTTGCCGATCGACTTGGCGCTTGACTTCCCGACAGCGCTCCCGGAATCTCCAGCTTCACCCGCAGGCCGTCAGGTGCGGGCGTTCCCTCGCGCGATCGAGTCCCGTTGAGTTGACTACCCGCGGAAATCGTACCACTGTCGACATGAGGAGTGGCGTTCCCGCTCTGAGGAGGCCGCGGCGTCTGGCTGTCCCTGGAAGCCTCGCCGTCTTCCTCGCGATCCTCGTTCATACCCTCGCGCCGCTCAACTTCCTCCTTCTCGTCCCTGATCTGCCGTCGAAGTAGCATACCCTCCTCCATGATCCTGTTGAACTGATCTCTCCTCTCCTTCCATGTAACGCTATACGTCTCGCTCTCCCGCTCGAGCTCCCTACACTCATCCTCCAGCTTCTGAAGCGCCGCGATCTGATCCTCCCTCGGTCGCAGCAGCTTATTATTCGTAATCTTCTCGGCCAGCTCGTCGAACTTCTTGCGCTGCGCCAGCGTGGCCCGCGCCTCCTCGAGGCCCACGCGCAGCTCGGCGTTTCGGTCCCGCACGGCCTGGCACTCGTCGAGGATGGTCTGGCGCTTCTCCTCGTATCCGGCGCGCTCGCGCTTGTTCGCGTCGAAGAGGAACTGAAGGCGGGTGATGCTCGTGTCGAAGGCGGCGAAGTCGAGGGTTAGGTCTTCGCGGAGTTGTTCGAGCTCGCGGAGCTGGGCCGCTAGGTTGTCGCGTTGTTCGGGCGGCGGCGGGGTTTCGTCATTCTCGGGGAGCGGTGCTATGGGGCCGCGGGGTTCGCTGGCGGTCTTGATGAAGGAGTTGATTTGGTTGAGGCGCTTGGTTATTCTCTTAAAAGGTTTTTCTTCGACGTTAAGGAGGCGGCGTTTGTGGAGTTCTTGCTCCTCCTTTTCTTCGAGGAGTCCCCATGCGGACATGGTGTCTAGGGTCTTGTCTTACGGGATATGAAATCCCTTTGGGTTGCAAGAAATGAATTGGAGTGATGAGTAGAATTATATCGGCAGCTGCCCGGAACTTCGTGGCGACAGGGGATAGAGGGTCGAAAGGAATGCTGTTGGGGGAAAGGAAACAGGCGCTTTAAGATGAAAGAGACGGCTGTGGAAAAAATCGAGAGTGGTTGGAGGAGGGCGCCGTCGGTAAGATAGAAAGGTAGTCAGAAGCCTAAATTACACCAGTCTAAAGCGGAGTTGAGAGAAGGAAGGAATGAGGCTATGATTATTCGGGTTCAATAGGGCTCGAATCTATTCAATCGCTGGGGAGGAGCTGCCCAGGCTTGTGAGAAGTTCGACATACAATTGTAGTGGCTAGCCTTGCCAACCAGCGATTTGCGCACAGACCACGAACCAACCAGTCAACATTATGTCATCATTTTCAAATCCAAATGTGGAAGCGACAGTTAGCACGCGCCTCCAAATCTCTTTCATCTCCTGGCGCTAAATCTACTCTTCTTTCAACCTTCCAACTCCAACAACAACATCAACCCGCAACCTTTACCCTTATTGACACTCTGTATCTCACTTCACACCAATCTTCCATCGCCAAAATGTCAACAGAAGAAGACAAACGACTTCTGGCGAGAATTAGCCAACTTGCAGGTAAGTCGCAGCTATTTACGAAATCGAGAACGACCAACCGCTGATGAAACTCTTCCTTCATGAATAGGCCAAATCAATCGCCACAAAAACCAATCGCCCGGCGTTCAGTCGGTTCCCAACTCACAGCACCGGTGTCCGTATCCCTCGACTCGGCCAAACAAGCCGGTGCCTACTTATTGTGTTGCTAAGCCGCAGAAAACAGTCAACCCCTACGGCAGCCGCCCATCGTCGCCGTATGCCAGAGGCGGAGGTCCTCGGCCACGGCCGGGCGTGCAACATCGTCACAGATCCTTGGTTCTGAACGCGCAGGCACAGCCAACAGCAGGGAATGATGATGGGTCTTCTTCGTCGGGCCAGCAGTCGACTTGGATCTCGAAGACGGATCGTCATCTCCAACTGATCAACTCTAGCATCTATGAAAAGGATTCCCAGGCGCGAGCTAAAGCCATCGCAGAAACCCAGCAGCAAAAATTACAGCGGCAGGATGAGAAGGAAAAGGCGAAGCTCAAGCATTTCCTTGTGAGTGGAGCCGCAGGCCCTGCGACGACAAGATATGTAAACAACACCACCGGCGCGTTCGAGTTAGACATTGAAGGCATACGCTTCCGAGTCAGCAAAGATGGCGGCAAGCTGGTCAAAGTTCCCGGTACGTTCTTTCATGGGATGGCGATTGTAAACAATCGCCAATCTTCCCCCCAACCCAAAGCCGGTGGCAATTTTTACTGACCCGCATGCAGGTGACATCAATCCTCCCAGCGCTACTCCCAAAACCGCCGTTGTTGGCGGCGTCAAATTCTTTAGAAGTAAAACAGGAAATCTATATCGAGATGGAATCGTCAAGGCGCATAGGTATGGCAGCCCGGCTCATACTGTTAGGTTGCTAACCATGGAGCAATCCGATAGGCGATCTGGAAAATACAAGGTCGATACGCCTTGCAAGACCTTCTCAACAACCGGTAACTCCCACTCTCAGACACAAGACTACAGAAACCGAATCGGCTTCCTTCGCATCCATTCGGAGCTTATCGAGGAGATGATTAGGGTATGTATGGGTTGTGGAGCCCTAACACTAACAAAATTTCTCTTATTTAGGTTCCTGCCCCTTAGGCCCTCGATGCCGGTATCGCCATGACCCGACGAAAGTTGCAGTATGCAAGGATCTGCTACACAAGGGGACCTGCCCCAACGGAGATAACTGTGATCTTTCCCATGAACTCACAGCCGAAAGGACTCCGGCATGCGTGCACTATGCCAGAGGCAACTGTGCTAACCCTAAATGTCCCTATACTCACTCAGATGTATCTCCAGGTGCTCCGGTGTGTCGGCAGTTCGGTCTGTACGGCTACTGTGAAAAGGGATCGCAGTGCGCAGAACGGCACGTATTCGAATGTCCCGATTTCAGCAACACTGGGAAGTGCAAGACCAAGGGATGTAAACTTGTACACCGAGAGAGGGCAAGCGTCCTTCGAAAAGCCGGTCACCAAGAAGGTGGCAATGGCGAACTAGAAGACTTATCCAGTGACAGCGACTCAGTGGCAAGTGACGATGTCGACTCTGACGAGGTTGAGGAATTCTTTGGAGACGACAATCCCGATCAGACAGCCTTCCAGGAGCAACGCGACTACATTTCTTTCTAGGAAATGTTTATTCCCGACCCTTGTATTATCAGTCCTCGCCAGGCTTACATTTTGAATGGGTCCCCTTCTTGTTTCACCCCTCGAAGCCTGCGTATCCCCCCCCTTTGTCTTCGCTGCATATTCTTTTTTCTTTTGTTGACGGTTTTTATCTTTTATGGACCTAAGCATAGCAAGATACCCCATTGAACTCATGGTAATGGAAAACAAAGGGGAGAAGAAAAAAAAAAAGAAGAAGAAGGAAAAGAAGAGAGTTGCCTCGTGCCAGCCGAGAAGAGGAAAAAAGGAAGGAGAGAAACGAGAAAAAGAAAAAAAGCGAAGAGATGGAAGAAGCTTGTGGCTCAAAAATGATTATGATTCTGGGCGGAAGACGCCTGTTAGGTAGCATGATACACTACATAATGCAAAGAAGAAAATGGTTTCTATGGATCTATATGGATTGCATCTAAAAGTGCCAATGTTTTCAAAGTTTCAACAGTGACGACACGACAAGTAGGAGATCTAGTTTATGCCCTAGAGTGTTACGATCACGATCACAACCGTCGATCCTCGAGTCGTTGCTGCCAACTCATTTCCAACCTGACTACCCTATTATCCCGTGGCTGTATCTTACACCAGCGAGAAATCGTCAAGGTCCCCAGCTCTGATGGAGAGAGCTCACTTTCTGCCAGGCCACCGAGTCTTCTTCATCGCCATCCACCAGGCATTCGCTCGTGAGTGAGTGAGGATGACGTCACCAGCTGAGTTACAGGGGATGAGCCAAGGAGCAAGGCGACGGACCCTCTTTGATTTGATCTAAGTTTATGTATGTTTCTCCCACGGAAATCGTGAAATCGTGAAATCGTGCTATTGTGCTATTGAAACCGCCCTCTAATCGATCAAGGACATTTGCAGTAAGTATTATGTTTGCCGACAACAAACAAAGTTCGCCCATGGGTGCTTCCGAATAGCACGGTGGAAGGCCAAGCATGGGAGTGATCACTTCAGAGTGCCCCCCCCCAAAACAAGCGCGTAACTTGAGACAGTTGAGCAACAGTTTTGCAAAGTGGTTCCGGGCATGATGTGTTTTGTCGATTATTCAATCTCGGAGGAAGCAGTAGGGGTCGTCAACGGATGGCACTGAGCTTGCGAATGGAGCGGTTGACCAGACCAGCACTGCCTCACCAACCGTAGGAGTGCTTGGCGAAAGTGTCTGGGCTGTGGGGTCCTAAAAGCCACTGAATCGGCACACACTTAACCAGCTGCGGGACAGCGTTTAATCCGCCGGGTCTGTGAGCTGTGAGGGGGCGGGGTACATAGCAGCACGCCGTTGTGTACTTTGTCTAGTACTCTTACTTTGTACTTGGAGAAGCGGTCTTCCAGCAATCAAATCACGTCGAATCAAATCATCCATCAGTGGACTCAGGCGCTCGCACTGCCGCCGGGCTACGCCCCGCAAGGACGCAAAAAGGGGAAACACTCCATTCGTATCATTACGAGTACTCTCCTGGGCGAGCTGAAATGGCGTCGCTTGTTGAATCGCATTCATCCTTTGATGCAGACGTGTCCAAGCATTCCAAGATATCGTCAGACATCACCCCTTTCAACCCTGTCAACAACGGTGCCTGAACTTAATTGCTTAAGCTATCGAATCTTCGCGCCCCACTAAGATCCGTTTGATTCCTCCCGAGCCGTGTGACGACCCTAAAGTGCCTGCTTGAATCCGAGTGCACCTCGTTACTGAACCCGCAGCGGATGCGACCAGTCACCTACGGATCTACAACGCGAGGAAAAGCAGTACACAAACAAGGCGGACTAGAACCACCATCATGGGACTCCGCGACGTCCTCAAAAAGAAGGATCGGTCCGATTCGGAGCCTCCCACCCCCGAATTCACCCTCATCCGGTCCGATACCTACACGCGAGAAGTCGTCTACCCGCCAGGCGAGAACCCTTTCTCGAGACCACAGCCGCAGCAGCAGCAGCAGCAGCAATCAAGCCACAAACCCCGCCGCAGCCTCGACGTCTTCCGCTCATCACGATCCCGCAGCGCCTCGGCCGCCTCGGCCTCCTCGCGTGGAAGTGACCCGAACTCCCGCAAAGAAGGCAGCCGACTGTCTCGTTTCCACCTGGGACGCGACCATTCTTCGAGTAACATACCGGCCGACCTACCAGAGATCAGCAATGGTGGTGCGTCGGGTGACCCGGATGAGGCGGAGACGGAGTGGGAGAAGCGTGCTATGATTTTGGCCAGGAGTAGACCCTCGTCTCCGAATCCGGACTTGGGACGACTTGGTGGGGGTGTGGTTTCGTCGTCCGAGATTGACGCGATGATACAAAAGGCCATTGCTTTTCATGAGGAGGGTGACTTGGTACAGTCCACACGGCTTTTTGGCCAGTTGGCGGATCCTAATGGCGCGAATAACCCCTTGAGCCAGGTGCTTTATGGGCTTGCTCTGAGGTAAGGCACCTTTTTTTTTTTTTTTTATTACCTCTATCTTTGGCTGGGTAGAGTTATACAGGCGGTCTAGACCTACGACGCTCTCTTTGTATCTAGGAGATGGCTTATGAAGATCTGGACTCATCCCCGTCCTATCGACTAACTTCTACTTTCAGGCACGGCTGGGGGTGTCCTCCTGATCCAGACCGAGCTGTGCAGTTCCTCTCCAAAGCCGCATCCAATGCCGCTGCCGTCGAGCAAATGGCGCTGCAAGCCGGACTCAAGAAGGGTGGCGCCGCCAAGGGAGAACTAGTGCTTGCTATATTCGAACTGGCCAATTGCTTCCGTCACGGCTGGGGTATCGGAAAGGACCCCGTAGCCGCGAAACAGGTGAGCAGTCCACGCCCCGACGTCCTCACCACTTCGGATACGATCTCTAAAGGAATTGAGCTGACCGGTTACGCGTGTGTGTGTGTGCGCAGTATTACGAGACCGCCGCAAATCTCGGCGATACGGGTGAGTTTGAGACATGTCAACCCCTTTCAGATAGCTTTCTCTTGCACCTCACCCCTCTACATTAGAGTTGGGCACAGCTGACAGACTCGGCGTGATTCTGCAGACGCCATGAATGAAATAGCATGGTGCTATCTCGAGGGCTTCGGATGCAAGAAGGACAAGGTGCGTTGATATTTCAGTCGGACATATGGATACTACCTTTTGCTTTTTTCTGCCTTTTTTTTTTTTTCCGAAAGCCCTATTTTATCACATCTTCCCCATACCTGGCGTGATTAAGGCGGTCACCGACGCAAGTGAGCGAAGCGAGACAGGCGAACCGTCAAATCGGATGTCAAAACAAGCTTCCGAGGGGACATGTGGCTGAAGGAGTGAAACTCAACCGAGCGTCGCTCTTGAAAACTTTTGCGGGGAGCGGTCTACTTTGGGCATCAACATGGGCCGAAACTTTAGGGATTTCTGCGAACTTCAGCTGATGTCGAGCGGCTGGTGTCTCGGCTCCGTCGCGCATGGGCTGCAGGCAATGCACGCACTATCACGCTACCCCCTTTCCTTTCTGTCCACGTTTTACGAGCATCTTGAGATTGGGCCCCCACGCTTTCTCGAGTTGTTAAGCTCACCTTAGGCTGAACTTTGTACGACTGACCCGACCCAAATAATAGTTTGCAGCTGCGCGTTATTACAGGCTGGCCGAGAAGAATGGGAACAAAACATTGGGCAATTCATGGTACGTTGCTGCTCCTCTCACCGGCTCGGTGACTCCTGTCATCGTCGTTTACCCGCACCCCTTCCCTGTCGTTTCTTCACTCGGGGATCTTTTGTCGTTCGGTCGTATTTTGTTCTTCTTCCTTTACCCCTCCTTAGAAATCGGGACAGGTCCAGCCACTGGGTCCCTACTGTCCCCCCTCCTTCTTCACGGCTCTATGCGACCTTTTTTTACGACAGCCTGGCATGTGTCTTTCCCCATATCCTACCTCGCGATAGTTCCGGGTGTTAAAGTGATGAGGGTACAACAACAGGCGTAGTGTGCGGCTATTAGTTGCTGTCGTTTCCCCTTGCTTTACGCCTCCAACGGCCCTTACTAGCGTTGCTTTGCACCGCCCATTTTTTTTCTTTCCTGTTCTCCTCGACGCAAGAGGAAACACTACCAGGCGAAAGTCGAGAGGACATTCTCTAACCGAGCGTTGACAGGATTTGGAAAGAAAAGTACGGACCCCCCGAACAAGCGAATACACGCAAGAAGTAAAGCTTAATTCTGCCGACTCTGAGTGGTCACTTCGCAAAAGGGGCCCCCGCGTGGAAGCTAGTTACGGCCTTATGCATTTTTGATGCATGCGCAGGATGCTGCAGGGCGCCGATTAGTGCCTGCACTGGTGACATTTCGAGTATGCGGGCTTTTTTTTTTCTTCTTCTTTTAATTTGCGCCGAGGCTTCATGGGGTGGTGGTTAGTGGAGGAGCTGTAAACCTGCCGGGTAGCAGACTCCCTCTCTAACTCTGTGGAGACTTGATGAGGTGCAGGCGACAAAGTATTGAGTTTGGAAAGTCTGGTGGTTTGTTTGTCTGGCAATTGCGAAGTTTGAAGTTTGGATACCTTTGGGCAGGATGTTTGTTATTTCTTGGGTTGGATGTGATTACTGCTTTGTCTTTCGTGTATCATCAATGAAGGAATGAATCCTTCGCATATATGAAGTATCTTCATCTACTCTGCTACCTCTACTATTATGCCGCTTCTCGGTCAACCGATGCGGTTCCTCACTGCGCACCGCATAGTTCAGGTGGGTTCAAGACAACACGCCAGAGAGATGGCTATAGCACTACATACTACCAAAGCTGTACCAAGTATGTGCGGTTATTTTGGCTGTATCGAATCTGGTCCCTTTGGACAATGATCAAGACCATAGAGAGATCACACACAGCTAAGCAACGGCCTGTCTACAGACATTTCAGTATCACTCTTACACTAACACTCGGGCATATATCAAGAAGTTCCACGTTGTGCTGCAAAGCAGATAGCATATATTGTTCAGGAGCCATGAGGCGTCAACTAACATCTAATACATGTAAATGCTAAATAGCAAAATAATTGCATAGGTGAACACCCGAGATGTGTACACATCTCATCCCACCCACCCAGTAGTAGAGAGGGGGAGTCGAATCTGGTAAAGTTTGAGGATTGTTAACGTGATTTTAAGGCTTTTTTTGGGTGAGGTTGTCAAGAATCATGGCGCAAGTCTTCCATCGAGGGCTTGTTTGTTCCGTTTTGTTTGGTGTTTATGCCTCGGAATCGACTCGAACAGATCAACATGATAATCCAGATATAAACGACCGAGTGTGTATGTTCGCCGCTCTCTACTACCGTGTGTTCACCAGACATCCGGCTGCGCCAGGACGTTTCTCACTGTTCCTCCAAGCAACCCATCTTGATCACATTTCTCGCCCGCGTACAACGAGTCTCTTATTGTCGCCGCCCGCCGCCGAGCATTGGGCTGGCTAGGTCCAGCGTGTCGTCGGAATTCGTCAACCGCAGCTCCCTTCAGGGAGGGGGACGAGGGGAAAGTATTCTGCGACGGCGAAGGAAATGTATATGGCCGCGTGACGGTGCACACGGATAACTGCGCGCCTCCACTTTTTTGCCCCGGGCTAGTCGGTTGGACCGGTTGCGTCTCCAAGCATTGGACTGAAAGTCTTCTTACCTTTCGTCCCCGGGGGTCATTGCCAGCGCAAAACCGGATCTCTCTCTGCTTAAAACATGGGGTGGTGCCCGCCCGACTCCCTCCTCTCCCCTTTGAGGCGAGTCGCGAGGAAAACACACGGGAAGCTTGCCACCTCCGAGAGATTTATTGTGTCACCTATAGCCTTTGCTTCGAAGCAAAAATTTCTTGTCGTGAGAGTGCCGCGCGGGTGCTGAGGTTGGGCCGAAGGATGGGAATTCAGTGTGCGGGGTGGTGATCTTCCATTTGGGATGGGCTCGCCAACTCTTTTGGTTGTTTGCGGAGTGTGATTTTGTTCTGGTTTGTTTCTGGTCTTTTTGTTTGGTTTTTTTTAAGTTTGTATGTTTAGTGAACTCCGTGAGACATGAAAGTTTTTTTGTCTCAAGCGCTGTACATCCATCTCCAAGAATGGGTTCGCGCGGCTCGTTAACCCTTATGTGCTTTAAGTTAGGGGTATGTTTTCTCTTCAGGGAGCTTCATCGCTGGTTTGTTTGGGTAGTGTTGCTCTCGCTCCCCCGAGCCGCTGCGATCCGCAGACGAATTTCTTCCATCTCCATGTCGATAGGCTCGCCGATGCGTCTGGCCTGATAGTAGTGGGCGAGAAGACCGCGATGGTATATCGCTTGAGGGGTCTCGGCCGATTGTTGACGCATGCGATATTCTTCCATCTCCATGTCGACGGGCTCGCCGTACCTTCGTGAGTGAGAAACGCGACGTCCATAGCCGGTGCCGCTTTGATGATGGCCATTTGAATAAAGGGGGCCGACAGTGCCGGGCAATTGCTGGTCCACGTTTGCTTGCCCTGCGGTGGAGTTATTGCCCATGCCAGATGGAAGACGAACGCCCCGTCCCGGCCTAGGATGGGCGTGGGTCGTCTCTCCGGCACGTGTCGCCCTTTGAGGTTGTTCATTGTTGAACCCCGAGACATCGGTGCCGATCTCTCGAGTGTGGACGGAATGGTCATCGTCGTCCGAGCACTCGCACTCGATGCTGACAGATCGTCGCTGCCTGAGAATCCACCACAAGATGTTCTCCTCCTTTTGTTGGGAGACATCCTCGTCAACGAAAGAGAAGAGCTTGCGCTTCTTTCTCTCAAGGCCGTCCTGGGCTAGTATCCTGGTCGCGTTCCGAAGATACTCTCGTGCCGGGCTCAACGGCAGACCGCCGCACGTGCGAGCGCCAGGAGTCTGGTGTCTACTGTTGAATTCGTAGACGGCGCGGTCGCAGTGCTCAATGGCGGCCATGGCGAGGTGGTAGACTACATAGCCGGAGTTCTCGGCAGGTGGAAAGGCGGATCTGAAGATTGAAGGGTTCAGGGCCTGGTTGTTGCCCGAGTTGTCAGTGTTGGTGTTGTTGGACTCCATGTTGAAACCGTAGTGAGCCATGTCGACTAGCGGATTCGTGCTTGACCGGTTTGGTTGAGGATCGGTAAAGGTCAAGTTTTTTCTGGTTTGTTTTGTTTAACGACCGTGTGAGCTTTGGCTAGACAGGGTCGGCGGAAGAGATGCAGTGTCTATCTCTCGCAGTGATTGTTCCTTTTTTTTTTTTTTTTTTTTTTTTTTTTTTTTTCGCGGTTTTTTTAGTTTTTTAGTTTTTTTTTTGGGGGGGTTTGTTTGTTTGTTTGGACCTTGCAAGAGTTGTCTTGTCTTAGGACAAGGTCGATGAATACCAGATGGTATCAGTCAAGTGATGAAGTGCGTATCCTCTTGACAGAATCGTCAAAGACAGAAAGTGACCAAGGTCAAGTTGTCTCGCAGTGGAATGTGTGTGTGCTTGATAACTCAGATTGAGCGCAAGTAAAAATTCCTTGAAAAGTAAGCCGCGAAGCCAAGTCAAGAAATATCCCAAAGGACGATGAAGAAGGAAAATGGAAAAGAAGGATTCCAGGGCCTTGGGGGGGAGGGAGATACCCTTTATATAGTTGATGGTACGTACCTTTGGATGGACGCAATCAGTAAATCAGATGTAAAATCTCTAGGGAATCTTGAAGAACAGAAGAGTACTCGTGAATAAGAGTAAAAATAGAAATTATAACTAATGATGCTAAAGTCAGAAGGAAATCGTGAGTCCCCTGTGAGCTGTGAGCTGTGAGCTTTGCTCGTGCTCGTGGCTGCTTGTGAAGAGACAGACGGATAGAAGACCGAATCGTAAGCTTGTGAAAATCAGGGTTGAAGTATCTGACAGTCCCACGGTATTATCTCCTGCTTCTCCAGGATTCCACTCTGTCTTCTATGTTATCTAGTGTTTGATGTTGAACGAACGTCGTTGCTTGACGTTGTTAGTCCGGTCCCGATGCGGGGCTTGGCACGGGCCGTTCCGGGGCCGTGACCCGGAGACTCGGGAGGCCAGCCAGATTCATCGACAGCGCCACTGTACGCAGTTGTTCCCTCTCGATCAGCCTATTAGGCACAGAATCTGCTTCATTCACCTTCTCTCCTGAAGGAAAAGAGCGAGACATTTCT